CTGAGCCTTCGTAGACTGAACATGGAAAAGACTGTTGTAGAACCTGCTCTTTCCATTACCTCATTGTTTGTGATTTTGTCCTGCCACTTAATGCCAAGTATTCTTCTTAGGCATTGCATGTGAAAGCTATTAAGCCGTCTCTCCTGGTGCAAATAGGTTGACCAAGTTTCACTGCCATAAAGCAGAGTGCTGAGAACACAAGCCTGATAGACAAGGTTTTTTTTTAATTGTGAGCTTTCTGTTCTCCCAAACTCTCTTTGTCAATCTGCTCATTGTTGTTGCTGCCTTACCTATCCTGATGTTGATTTCTTGCTCCAGCGATAGTTTACTATTCACTGTGGAACCCAGATAGGTAAAATGGTCTACTGTCTCAAGCTCTTCACTGTCAATGTAGACTGTAGGTCTATCATTAACACCTTGCACCATACCCTTTGTCTTTTGCTTGCTGACTGTTAGTCCAAATTCACAGCACGCATCAGCAAAGGCAGATAGTAAACATTGCAGCTCCTCCTCTGAGTGGATAGTTATTGCGGCATCATCTGCAAACAGCAGCTCTCTGATAAGTACCTTTCTTATCATGGTTTTGGCCTTCAGCCTGCGAGCATTGTAAAGGCTGCCGTCAGATCGAGAATAAATTAATACACCATCCTCCTGATCTCGAAAGGCATGTGTCAAAAGAAGTGAAAAGTATATTCCAAAGAGGGTAGGAGCAAGTACACACCCCTGCTTCACTCCATTTTTTTATTACAAAATCCTCCGATGTTACACCATCAGAGTTGATTGTACCTTTCATACCTGTGTGGAACGACTCAATAATGCTCAGTAGAGTAGGTGGACACCCAATCTTCTTCAGTGTGTTGAACAGACCTTTTCGACTAACCAAATCAAATGCCTTGGTAAGATCAATAAAAGCAACATACAGTGGTTGATTTTGTTCGCAGCATTTTTCCTGCAACCGTCGTAATGAAAATATCATATCAGTGGTAGATCAGTTCCCACGAAAGCCACACTGGGACTCTGGGTGAACACGATCGCCAAGGATCTGGAGTCTTTGCGGAACAATTCTCACAAGCACTTTTCCAGTTAACCCCCAGTGTCGCCGTCACCTCGCTGAGGTACACCACAACAGTAACCATCCATAGGCTGGCCATTCATGTACATCCTCGGTTAACCCTCAGTGTCGTCGTCACCGCGCTGAGGTACACCACAACAGCAACCATCCATCGGACGGCTAAGCCTAATTGTCCGACAAAACTAGATCATACGGATCAAAATTTGACCATCAAAATTTGTATTGAACTGAAAAAGACCGAATGTCCACACCCAAAGACCCTACTCGCCCGATTGTTGTGACAAAACTGATAACGATATGCCTGATGCAGGATGTAAAATTCTGTCGGGCTAACGGCTCGTCAAAGAAATCTAACGTGCGAAGAAAAAAAGAATGTACCTATCTGTGTGGTCACAAAAGTCCAAAACCCCGGGCTGCTCCCCGCTGACTTCCAGAGGGCGCAGCCCCTGTCGAGCGGGAGGCCTGATATGGTTGTGAGGTTAAGCAGGCATGTGCAGGACGTGGCGATTCCTTGGGTGAGCCCAGAACCAGAGCGTCATGTGCCGGCTCTGCATGCATGGAAGCCTCCTTGGATGGCGGGGAATGCCCATGATCTGCCCCTGCCTTCCCTTGAGGGCTAACTGTTCCACAGGGGGCTGCCCCAAAGGGGTACTCCGAGGGCAATACCTGCGGAGAAGGAGACAAAGTGGACACCACACAAATCAGGCAACGTCTCGACCCGCACAAAACAATGGCCACAGTCAACCTAGAAATAGGCCTGACGTCTTCCTTCGAAGTCGGAGTACAGCTGCCCATGAGGCAGGGAAATGAAAAACGGTTGTACACGCAAAAATCAGGTCCAGATGAAAGCCAAAAGTCCAAGCAGACGATTAACCGGGACCTTCCACTGGAATTCACAGCCGGTGATCGATATAAAAATAAATAAACTTTTTTAACAGTACACAGCTGTGATATTCCCCTGTAGTTATTGCAGTCACTCCGATCACCCTTGTTCTTGTACATAGTTATGATGCTTGCGTCTTTGAAATCTTGCGGAACCTGTCCCTCTTACCAGCAGAGTGTTATCAGCTGATGAGTTTGTGGGGTTAGACTGTCTTTCCCACTCCTGATGATTTCAAAAGGAATTCCATCTCTGCCTGGGGCTTTCCCTGAAGCTAATTCATCAATAGCATTTCCAACTTCTACAACTGTTGGAAATGTGTCCAAGAGTTGGTAGCATCTTCATGTCATTGAGAACACCATCTGCTAGTTTAGTATCAATTGAGTAAAGCTCCAGATAATGTTCCACCCATCTATCTAGATGCTTTTTTCTTGTCATTTATAATCTCTCCATTCAAACTCTTTCATGGTGCACTTTTTTAAATAGTAGGACCGATGGCCTTCTTGATCCCCTCATACATGCCTCTAACATTACCACCACTGCTAGCATTTTGAATGCTTTTAGATAACTGGATCCAGTAGTTGTTGGCACACTGCTTAGTTACCTTTTGCAAATGATTTCTAGCTGCTCTTAATTCCTTGTTGTTCTTTCCTTGTTTCTGAAAACACTTTTCAGGGTCTTAAGTTTTGGAAATATTTAACCTAGTGATATATTTGTTTTCTGAAGTGAAAATTCTCTTTGGTTTCATCCGCTCTTACAACAACTAGGGAATGGTCAGTATCACAGTCATCACTGTGGTAGCTGCGAGTTAGTGATACACAGTTCAAGTGCTGCCTCCTTGTGAGAATAAGGTCCAGCTGGTGCCAGTGGCCAGATCTTGGATGTTTCCATGACACCTTATGGCAGTCTTTAGTTTTGAAAAGGGAGTTTGTGATGCACAAGTCACTTCTAGTTCAGAATTCCAGTAGTCTCTGCCCATTTTTATTCATGTGGCCAACATTATATTTTCCAAGACAAACTGGCCATGAGCATTAAAATCACCAAGTATATAGATGTCAGATTTAGAAAATGATTTCACTGCGTTATCTATGTCCTCATAAAAAGAATACTTTGCGTCCTCTGTTGACGTTAGAGTGGGTGCATATGCAGTAACAAGGGTAATAAAACCGCTTGAGGTAGACAATCATAGGGAAAATATTCTGTTACTTCCTCCAGTTGGACTCTCAACTGATCCTAACAATGAATTCTTTATTGCAAATCCCACTCCATACATCCTGATTTCTTCCTGGCCTCTGCCTTTCCAGAAAAATGTATAATTATTTTCTCTAATAGACCCATCCTCTGGCAGTCGGGTTTCCTGTAGGCCAGCAATATCTTTGTCAAGTCTGTTGAGTTTGGCATCAATGATAGCCGCTTTTCTCACATCATTAATGTTTTCCAGGTCGGTGGAAAACCCTGGACACATGGTTCTCATGTTCCAAGAGCCAAGTCGAAGCTTGGGGTTACATTTCTTTTTATTGCCTGGTGCATTAGTTTTACAGCCTGCAGTTCGGATTTTGTCCTAGCTCTAAGCAAACATTAAAGCATACAAGCTGTGGCAGATCAACACCTTATTGGCTGGGGGCTGCCCAGCTTGAGGTGGGCGATAGTTGATCAATGACATTAAAAAATGTCTCCCACCGTTAGAGGCAACCTGTGGCGCCCCCGTCTACGCCAACTGACAAGAACTTATAACCCGTAACTGCTGCCTCTCGATTTGTTTCCGAGACCGATTAAAGCCAGCGATGAAGTTCCTCCTCTCCATAGCACAAAGCCTGGGCAGTATTGTAGAGATCATATGTTGCCCATGCATAATGATCCCCCCCCTCGACCTGCCTTGTCTGTCCTGCCATAACATAAAGTTTTCAGGTAGCATTTCCTCTTCCTAGGATAAGGCTAGTATCCTCCCCTATGCGCTCCTCCGTCCGAAGCCGTAGGCACAATATGGGATGTTGGGTTAGTATACGCCGCCCTACATTCGGCGTAACAGAAGATGAGTGGTACCGGCTACTATGAAATATGTGAACACACACTATTCTACATGAAATATATGACCACACACAATTTAATATGAAATACATGACCACACATAATTGGACATGAAATATATGACCATACAATTTGATATGGAATATCTAACCACACACTGTTCTACTTGAAATGTTTGACCACACACAATTCGACATGAAATATTTGACCACACAGTTTGACATGAAATATATGACCACACATAATTCGACATGAAATATGTGACCACATACAATTTGACAGGAAATATGTGACCCACACAAATTGACACCAAGAGTCTAATTCACATGCACATCAGATTGTGTGGCTTTGAGGTTTGCGCAATCATTTCTGAATCCAGTCAGTGTTCCTATGTTCATTTCTCTGATAGACAGTTTACAGAATCCAGTCAGTGTTCCTATGTTCATTTCTCTGATAGACAGTTTACAGAATCCAGTCAGTGTTCCTATGTTCATTTCTCTGATAGACAGTTTACAGAATCCAGTCAGTGTTCCTATGTTCATTTCTCTGATAGACAGTTTACAGAATCCAGTCAGTGTTCCTATGTTCATTTCTCTGATAGACAGTTTACAGAATCCAGTCAGTGTTCCTATGTTCATTTCTCTGATAGACAGTTTACAGAATCCAGTCAGTGTTCCTATGTTCATTTCTCTGATAGACAGTTTACAGAATCCAGTCAGTGTTCCTATGTTCATTTCTCTGATAGACAGTTTACAGAATCCAGTCAGTGTTCCTATGTTCATTTCTCTGATAGACAGTTTACAGAATCCAGTCAGTGTTCCTATGTTCATTTCTCTGATAGACAGTTTACACACATTTTTTTGCTCTTATGCTTGTGAGACAGTGGTATAAGAGTCACACCATGGAAGAAGTGACTATGTCATATTTCCAAACACAGCAGTAGAGACACAGTGTTGAGACCGCAGATAGTTTGTTGACAGCACATTAAAATGTTTCAGCACAGATCTTGTGACTAGAGTGATGGCTGACACTGTGTCAGTGTCGGGTCACAGACCCCGCTGCTTCTTTGACATCAGCATTGGAGAACAGGAAGGTATGGACTTGAGTGTCTTCACACATCATGTTTTGCTTGTTTGTCTTACATTAGTTAGTTGGACGCTGCTGTTTGCTAGATTTGGACTGTTATTTGCTGGATGGAGCTGTTGTTTGATGGATGGAGCTGTTGTTTGATGTATGGGGCTTTGTTAAGCAGACTGTTGTTTTGTGGATGTAGCTGCTGTTGTTTTATCAGTCAGGTGATATGTTACATACTTGTTATGTTAGATTGTTTATCAAACATGTGATTTGTTAAGCACTTGTTTAGATTGGGAAAACAATTGGTGATGTGTTACATGCTTGTTGGGTTAGATTGTTTATTAAATGTATGATTTGTTACTTACTTGTTTAAATTGTTTATCAGACAGAAGATGTGTTACATACTTGTTGGGTTAGATTGTTTATTAAATGTATGATTTGTTACTTACTTGTTTAAATTGTTTATCAGGCAGATGATGTGTTACATACTTGTTGGGTTAGATTGTTTATTAAATGTATAATTTGTTACTTAATTGTTTAAATTGTTTATCAGACAGATGATGTGATACGTACTTGTTTGGTTATATTGTTTATCAAACTTGTAATATGTTGCTTGTGTTGTTAATGATTTCATTTGTATTCATCAGTTGGACGTATTGTTTTTGAGCTGTTTGCTGATGTCTGCCCCAAGACTTGTGAGAACTTCAGAGCCCTATGTACAGGTGAATCTGTTGTCACTCTTCATTGTTAATTAATTTACCCATCACAAAGTTGGTGATAGAGAACCCCTACCTTCATTAGTCCAGACATCACAAAGTTTGTGATACAGAACCCCTAACTTCATTAGTCCAGACATCACAAAGTTGGTGATACAGAAATGCTACCTTCATTAGTCCGGACATCACAAAGTTGGTGATACAGAACCCCTAACTTCATTAGTCCAGACATCACAAAGTTGGTGATACAGAACCCCTAACTTCATTGTTCCGGACATCACAAAGTTGGATTACAGAAATGCTACCTTTATTAGTCCAGACATCACAAAGTTGGTGATACAGAACCCCTACCTTCATTAGTCCAGACATCATAAAGTTGGTGATACAGAACCCCTAACTTCATTAGTCCAGACATCACAAAGTTGGTGATACAGAACCCCTAACTTCATTAGTCCGGACATCACAAAGTTGGTGATACAGAACCCCTAACTTCATTAGTCCGGACATCACAAAGTTGGATTACAGAAATGCTACCTTTATTAGTCCAGACATCACAAAGTTGGATTACAGAAATGCTACCTTTATTAGTCCAGACATCACAAAGTTGGATTACAGAAATGCTACCTTTATTAGTCCAGACATCACAAAGTTGGATTACAGAAATGCTACCTTTATTAGTCCAGACATCTACAGTTGGGGTACAGAAACTCTGTCTTTATTAATCACCCACCCACTGCACAACACTGTCAATGATGTAAAAGGTATGCTTCTCAAAAGAGGCTCCCTAATATATATAAAGATATATTCAATGTTATTCCCAATAATAGAGATGTGTGATGTTGTTCCCTGTGATAAAAGATGTGTGATGTTGTTCCCTGTGATAAAAGATGTGTGATGGTTAAATAATGTTTCCTGCAGGTGAGCTGGGCACTAGTGAGAAGACTGGCAACACACTTCATTACAAGGGCTCCCTGTTTCATCGAGTGGTCAAAGATTTTGTCATCCAAGGTGGAGACTTCACCAAATGTAAGTGGACACTTTGCCCTGTTGAATTCCATCCTGCTGTATTATAATGAATAAGGCTTTCATTCCTTGTGTTCTTTTATTTTTCATTTCACAGTTTTGGAACTTGAATGATGCCGAAGCATTCCTAGAATAATATTGATCAAGAATACAGATTACTGACAGGATGTGATTTTTCAGCAACTTTGTTTCAGAAACTAACAATTTTGCCAAATCAGATATCTCAGGGGCTGAAAAACATGATGGACGTACAATTAGGACAACATAGCATGAACATTCATATGACAGAGGCGACCAATGTGAAAATACACATTCAGGACGCCATGGCATGAACATATATATGTATAAATAGGCGGGGACTGACTAACGTGAAGATGTACAGTTAGGACACCATAGTATTACCAGGCGTGTTACAGGGGCTGGCCAGCATGAAGGTGTACATCGTACAGTTAGAACACATGGCAGAAACATGCATGGGACAGGGGCTAACTAACATGGACAAGAACAATTAGGACACACTGGTATGTACATGCATGTGGCAGGGGCTGACCACATGAAGATAGACAGGACACCATATGCAGGAACATCCATGGGGCAGGGGCCAACCGGCATGAACAAGGACAGTTAGGACAACATGGTATGAACATGCATGGGGCAGGGGCTGACCGACATGAAGATGGACACCGGAGAGTTAGGACACTATGGCATGAACATTCATGGTTCAGGGGCTGACCGACATGAAGATGGACACCGGAGAGTTAGGACACTATGGCATGAACATTCATGGTTCAGGGGCTGACCGACATGAAGATGGACACCGGAGAGTTAGGACAACATGCCATGAACATTCATGGGGCAGGGGCTGACCGACATGGACAATTCGGACACCATAGCATGAAAATGTATGCGGCAGAAATCTCAGACATAATTTTTTAATGAGAGCAGTTATTTCTAAAAGACACACCCTGAAGATGATGGTGCCTCTGATTGTATTGTTTTTGTTTCTCTTGTCATACCTACGATTGTATTGTTTTTATTTCTCCTGTCGTACATCCTATTGTGATGTTTTTGTTTCTTGACATACCTCCACATGCGTTGTTTCTGTTTCTCTTGTCATACTTCATTTGAACTGTTTTTGTCTTTTCATACCTCCACTGGTATTGTTTCTGTTTGTCTTGACATACATCCACTTGTATTGTTTCTATTTGTCTTGTCATACCTCCACCTGTGATGTTTCTGTTTCTCTTGTCATACCTCCACTTGTGATGTTTCTATTTCTCTTGTCAAACCTCCACTTGTGATGTTTCTGTTTCTTTTGTCATACCTCCACTTGTGATGTTTCTGTTTCTTTTGTCATACCTCCACTTGTGATGTTTCTGTTTCTTTTGTCAAACCTCCACTTGTGATGTTTCTGTTTCTTTTGTCATACCTCCACTTGTGATGTTTCTGTTTCTCTTGTCATACCTCCACTTGTGATGTTTCTGTTTCTCTTGTCATACCTCCACTTGTGATGTTTCTGTTTCTTTTGTCATACCTCCACTTGTGATGTTTCTGTTTCTCTTGTCATACCTCCACTTGTGATGTTTCTGTTTGTCTTGTCATACGTCCACTTGTGATGTTTCTGTTTCTCTTGTCATACCTCCACTTGTGATGTTTCTGTTTCTCTTGTCATACCTCCACTTGTGATGTTTCTGTTTCTCTTGTCATACCTCCACTTGTGATGTTTCTGTTTCTCTTGTCATACCTCCACCTGTATTGTTTCTATTTGTCTTGTCATAGCTCCACCTGTATTGTTTCTATTTCTCTTGTCAAACCTCCACTTGTGATGTTTCTATTTCTCTTGTCATACCTCCACTTGTGATGTTTCTTTTTCTTTTGTCATACCTCCACTTGTGATGTTTCTGTTTCTTTTGTCATACCTCCACTTGTGATGTTTCTGTTTGTCTTGTCATACCTCCACTTGTGATGTTTCTGTTTGTCTTGTCATACCTCCACTTGTGATGTTTCTGTTTGTCTTGTCATACCTCCACTTGTGATGTTTCTGTTTCTCTGGACCTGTCTCTAATATATTGACTTTTATTATTGTCATATCTATATTTTTTTTTTTTTGCTGGACCATAAACCACTGAGTGATCAGTTGTTATCTTTCTGTTTGCAGTTGATGGCACCGGTGGGGAGTCTATCTATGGAGGAGTATTCTCTGGTAGGTAACATTTGCTGTCCATTAATGATTCTCTTAGCTTGGGCAGATTTTGTCACTAAGTGCAGTCCCACTTGATAGTTCTCTTCTGTTTCATTCACCGAATCAGATGCAAGATAAATTTTATTTAGTTGTCACGAGATTACAACAGCTAGGTATGAAAAGATATCACGAGCCTCCAATCATCTCTCTGGTCGGCCTTCTCTTTCCAATTGGTAACACCAAGTGTTTGCAAGTCTTTTTTGACATTAGCTCTTCTTGGTCTGCCTCATGGTCTAAGATTATTCATCTTCCTTGTGAATACAGTTTTTATCTCTCTGTCTTCTGACCTTCTGTCAATATGACCCAGCTATTTCAACATGTTAGCTGCCATGATGCCTGTGATCAGTAGTAACTTCAACATGTTAGCTCACATGATGCCAGTGATCAGTAGTGACTTCAACATGTTAGCTCACATGATGCCAGTGATCAGTAGTGACTTCAACATGTTAGCTCACATGATGCCAGTGATCAGTAGTGACTTCAACATGTTAGCTGCCATGATGCCAGTGATCAGTAGTGACTTCAACATGTTAGCTGCCATGATGCCAGTGATCAGTAGTGACTTCAACATGTTAGCTCACATGATGCCAGTGATCAGTAGTGACTTCAACATGTTAGCTCACATGATGCCAGTGATCAGTAGTGACTTCAACATGTTAGCTCACATGATGCCAGTGATCAGTAGTGACTTCAACAGAGATTATGAATTGTGTTGTTGATACTCACTCTCCATCCCCCCCCCCCCCCCCAATACTAAACTTGCATTTGATCAATTCTAATGTCCAGTCAGTAAAATATGAAGCGGAAAAACATGGAGAACAACTTAGGCAGTTACTAATAAACTACAAGCATTCATTAACTGGTGTATATTCAGAATAGAGGGATTTAAATGGTATGATAGAATCACTGATGTAGAGCTTTAGGAGAGAACTAGTTCCAGTGGACCAAGAGTTGAAGAAAAGACGCTGGCGTTGGATAAACACACCCGTTGAGGAAACCTGAGAACAATGTAACTAGAATGACCTTGCACTGGAACTCACAGGGGCATAGAAACAAAGGAAGCCCCCCCCCCCCCCCCCCAAAAAAAAAACATGGAGAAGGAAGCTAGAGAGTGAAAAGAAAAGATGGGGAGAGCTACATGTGATAGCGAAGGATAGAAGGACTTGGCATGAGTAGGTTGATGGCCTATGCTCCATTCAGGGTTGAACAGGCAGAAGAAGAAGCAGTCACACTTGATGATCATTGTCCTGAACCCTATAATGTTTTATTAGACACTTCCTAGAGACAACATTAACTAGTCACACCACTAACTGATGTTGGGCTAAGAGACCTGATAACAGAACACCGCTTTATATATGATGTTACTGGTTAGCCTGACACCAGCTAGAGATGTGCACATAACCCTTTATACGTGATGTTATTGGTTAGCCTGACACCAGCTGGAGATGTGGACATAACCCTTTATACGTTATGTTATTGGTTAGCCTGACACCAGCTGGAAATGTGGACATAACCCTATATACAAGATGTTATTGGTTAGCCTGACACCAGCTAGAGATGTACACATAACCCTATATACAAGATGTTATTGGTTAGCCTGACACCAGCTGGAGATGTGGACATAACCCTATATACAAGATGTTATTGGTTAGCCTGACACCAGCTGGAGATGTGGACATAACCCTATATACAAGATGTCATTGGTGAGCCTGACACCAGCTAGAGATGTGGACATAACCCTATATACGTGATGTTATTGGTTAGCCTGACACCAGCTGGAGATGTGGACATAACCCTATATACAAGATGTCATTGGTTAGCCTGACACCAGCTAGAGATGTGCACATAACCCTTTATACGTGATGTTATTGGTTAGCCTGACACCAGCTTGAGATGTGCACATAACCCTATATACGTGATGTAATTGGTTAGCCTGACACCAGCTAGAGATGTGCACATAACCCTATATACGTGATGTAATTGGTTAGCCTGACACCAGCTAGAGATGTGCACATAACCCTATATACGTGATGTTATTGGTTAGCCTGGCACCAGCTAGAGATGTGCACATAACCCTATATACGTGATGTAATTGGTTAGCCTGACACCAGCTAGAGATGTGCACATAACCCTATATACGTGATGTAATTGGTTAGCCTGACACCAGCTAGAGATGTGCACATAACCCTATATACGTGATGTTATTGGTTAGCCTGGCACCAGCTAGAGATGTGCACATAACCCTATATACGTGATGTAATTGGTTAGCCTGCCACCAGCTAGAGATGTGCACATAACCCTATATACGTGATGTAATTGGTTAGCCTGACACCAGCTAGAGATGTGCACATAACCCTATATACGTGATGTTATTGGTTAGCCTGGCACCAGCTAGAGATGTGCACATAACCCTATATACGTGATGTAATTGGTTAGCCTGCCACCAGCTAGAGATGTGCACATAACCCTATATACGTGATGTTATTGGTTAGCCTGACTTACTTACTTACTTACTTAGTTGCTCCTCTTCTACCTTGGGGTGTAGAGGTTTGCCAGAGAGATCGCCAGACGTCTCTATCAGCAGTTTTCTTTCTGGCTTTGTTCCATTCCAGTCCTCTGTCAGTCAGGGACTGTCGGATGTTGTCTTCCCAGCGCACCCTGGGTCGTCCCGGAGGTCTGGTTCCCTGGTTCTTAGCCTCCCATGCTTGCCATGGTGGCCGATTTTCTCCCATTCTGCACACATGTCCAAACCATCGTAACTGTGACTGATCCACTCGGGTTAGTAAGGGCTGGGTATCAAGATCTTGACGTATTGTCTGATTGCGGACTTTGTCCCTTCTTGTCACTTGGACCACCTTTCTCAGGTATCTCATTTCCGAAGCCTGCAGCTGGCTTCTGTGAGCTGTTGTCATTGCCCATGACTCACACCCATAGGTCAGGACTGGTACATAGGTAGAGCGGTAAACAGCCATTTTCGTCCTCTTGCCAATTTCTCTTTTCCTAAGAAACCCTCGGTTTATGGCCTGGAAGAGTCTCCCAGCAGCTGCTTTTCGTGTAGCCAGCTCAGTCTTAATGCCTCCATTTTGGTCTAATACAACTCCAAGGTATTTGAACTGGTTAACCTGCTCCAACGCATACTGACCCATTATGATCTGGTGTTTCTTCTCCTCTCTTGAGATCACCATGGTTTTAGTTTTGGAGACACTGATGGTCATCCCTTTCTTTTCAAGCTCTTCCTTCCAGACAAGTAAGTTGGACTGAAGGTGTGCCTCTGATTTAGCTATCAGGGCCACATCGTCTGCAAAAGCCAGCTCTGATATGCAGATTGGTCTCATCTTCCAGTACCCTACAGAGTACTTCTTTGTCTTCTCCTTACAGGTCTTGATGACATCATCCATCATAAGAATGAAGAGGTAAGGTGAGAGAATATCACCTTGTCTAACACCGCTGGTGGTCTTAAATTCTTCTGACTTTTGGTCTGCTGTTCTTACATAATTTCTGCACTTTTTGTAGAAACTCTGTATTGCACTGATCAGGGGTGCTGGGATGTTTTTCTCTGCCAAGCAGTCCCAGAACTTGTTCCAGGGTACCTTGTCAAATGCCTTTTCCAGATCCAAAAAACATAAGTGAATCTCACTCTTATATTCCAGGGCTTTTTCACTCATCTGTCTCAGTGGTTAGCCTGACACCAGCTAGAAATGTGCACATAACCCTATATACGTGATGTTATTAGTTAGCCTGACACCAGCTAGAGATGTGGACATAACCCCTAATGTGTGATGTTATATGTCTGAAGAAATTATTTGCTTCAATTTAATATGTTTGTGTTTGTCTTTTCTTCTTCGATCCTTCTGTCAGAAAACATATATAAGTAGGCTGGTAGCCTTTATGAAAGCTATCGTGCAGTCCATATCTTCTCGTGTACCATACAGTTTTGTCTTCATTGTGGTTGGCTCTGTTGTCAGCATACAGTTGACAGTGTTGGAGAAGATGCTCAGCATTTTCGGGTGCCACGCTGTAGTGACACATCTCCGTATTTCCTACACCGAAAAATGTGAACACATGTTGGCGAAGTCCGTTGTGCCCAGTCCTTAGTCTAAATATTATACATTGTCCCTGTCTAGAGAGGCATCATATTTTCTGTAGAAAATGTCATGACAGCTCTATCCTTGCCACCTGATTGTTCTATTGAAAATGTCATGTTGGGACAGCTCTATCCTTGCCACCTGATTGTTCTATTGAAAATGTCATGTCATGTTGAAATAGCCACCTGTTATTGGTGTTGATATTTGACACTTTGCCTTTGACAGATGAGAACTTCCAACTGAAACATGACAAGGAGTTCCTCCTGTCCATGGCAAACAGAGGCAAGGACACAAACGGCAGTCAGTTTTTTATGTAAGTTTGTGTGTGTGATCTAACCGGAATATAAACTGGCAGGGTCTGTAATCGACAGATAGACTAACACGTCTGTTACTGATAGATAACTGGGTCTATAACTGATAGATAGCTCACTGGGTCTGTAACTGACACACACTGGCAGGGTCTGTTACAGATAGATAGCTCACTGGGTCTGTAACTGACACACACTGGCAGGGTCTGTTACAGATAGATAGCTCACTAGGTCTGTAACTGACACACACTGGCAGGGTCTGTTACAGATAGATAGCTCACTGGGTCTGGAACTGACACACACTGGCAGGGTCTGTTACAGATAGATAGCTCACTAGGTCTGTAACTGACACACACTGGCAGGGTCTGTTACAGATAGATAGCTCACTAGGTCTGTAACTGACACACACTGGCAGGGTCTGTTACAGATAGATAGCTCACTGGGTCTGTAACTGACACACACTGGCAGGGTCTGTTACAGATAGATAGCTCACTGGGTCTGTAACTGACACACACTGGCAGGGTCTGTTACAGATAGATAGCTCACTGGGTCTGTAACTGACACACACTGGCAGGGTCAGTTACAGATAGATAGCTCACTAGGTCTGTAACTGACACACACTGGCAGGGTCTGTTACAGATAGATAGCTCACTAGGTCTGTAACTGACACACACTGGCAGGGTCTGTTACAGATAGATAGCTCACTGGGTCTGTAACTGACACACACTGGCAGGGTCTGTTACAGATAGATAGCTCACTAGGTCTGTAACTGACACACACTGGCAGGGTCTGTTGCAGATAGATAGCTCACTGGGTCTGTAACTGACACACACTGGCAGGGTCTGTTACAGATAGATAGCTCACTGGGTCTGTAACTGACACACACTGGCAGGGTCTGTTACAGATAGATAGCTCACTAGGTCTGTAACTGACACACACTGGCAGGGTCTGTTACAGATAGATAGCTCACTGGGTCTGTAACTGACACACACTGGCAGGGTCTGTTACAGATAGATAGCTCACTAGGTCTGTAACTGACACACACTGGCAGGGTCTGTTACAGATAGATAGCTCACTAGGTCTGTAACTGACACACACTGGCAGGGTCTGTTACAGATAGATAGCTCACTAGGTCTGTAACTGACACACACTGGCAGGGTCTGTTACAGATAGATAGCTCACTGGGTCTGTAACTGACACACACTGGCAGGGTCTGTTACAGATAGATAGCTCACTGGGTCTGTAACTGACACACACTGGCAGGGTCTGTTACAGATAGATAGCTCACTGGGTCTGTAACTGACACACACTGGCAGGGTCAGTTACAGATAGATAGCTCACTAGGTCTGTAACTGACACACACTGGCAGGGTCTGTTACAGATAGATAGCTCACTAGGTCTGTAACTGACACACACTGGCAGGGTCTGTTACAGATAGATAGCTCACTGGGTCTGTAACTGACACACACTGGCAGGGTCTGTTACAGATAGATAGCTCACTAGGTCTGTAACTGACACACACTGGCAGGGTCTGTTGCAGATAGATAGCTCACTGGGTCTGTAACTGACACACACTGGCAGGGTCTGTTACAGATAGATAGCTCACTGGGTCTGTAACTGACACACACTGGCAGGGTCTGTTACAGATAGATAGCTCACTAGGTCTGTAACTGACACACACTGGCAGGGTCTGTTACAGATAGATAGCTCACTGGGTCTGTAACTGACACACACTGGCAGGGTCTGTTACAGATAGATAGCTCACTAGGTCTGTAACTGACACACACTGGCAGGGTCTGTTACAGATAGATAGCTCACTAGGTCTGTAACTGACACACACTGGCAGGGTCTGTTACAGATAGATAGCTCACTAGGTCTGTAACTGACACACACTGGCAGGGTCTGTTACAGATAGATAGCTCACTGGGTCTGTAACTTATAGACAGCTCACTGATTCTCTAATGGATAGATAGCTCACTGCGTCTGTAACTGATAGATAGCTCCCTTGTCTGTAACCGGACGATAGATTGTCTGGATCTGTAATTAATAGATAGACTGACAGGATCTGTAACTGATAGATATACTGGGAGGGTCTGTAATTGACAGATTTCCTAAGTCTGTAGCTGACAGGTAAATTTACTGAGTCTGTAACTGATAGATAGATTTACTAAGTCTGTAACTGACAGATAGATTTACTGGGTCTGTAACTGACAGATAGATTTACTGGGTCTGTAACTGACCGATAGATTTACTGTGTCTGTAACTGACAGATAGATTTACTGGATCTGTAACTGACAGATAGATTTACTGGGTCTGTAACTGACAGGTTGACTGGGTGTGTAATCAACAGACTTATTAGGCCTGTCACCAACAGATTTACTAGATCTGTAGTCAACAGACTTACTTGGTCTGTCACCAGCATATACACTTCCTAGGTCTGTAACCAGTTCACACACATGCCAGTCTGATAGATGTGCGATAAGTATCAAAAATGCTCCATTTATATCACATACTTTTATCACGGGCGCTCCATATGTATCACTTACATGTTGACTGGGGCTCCATACGTATCACAGACTTGTTCACTTGTGCTCCATACATATCACTGACATGCACACTGGTGCTCCATACATATCACTGACATGCACACTGGTGCTCCATACATATCACTGACATGCCCACTGGTGCTCCATACATATCACTGACATGCTCACAAATGCTCCATACATATCATTGACATGGTCACTAGTGCTTCATACATATCATTGACATGGTCACTGGTGCTCCATACATATCACTGACATGCTCACAGGTGCTCCATAAATATCAGACATGCTTACAGGTGCTCCATGCATTTCACATACATGCTCACTGGTGCTTCGTAAATATCACAGACATGCTCACTTGTGCTTCGTAAATATCACTGACACGCTCACTGGTGCTCCATACATATCACATACATGCTCACTGGTGCTCCATACATATCACATACATGCTCATTGGTGCTTCTTAAATATCACTGACATGCTCACTGGTGCTTCATAAATATCACTGACATGCTCACTGGTGCTTTGTAAATATCACTGACATGCTCATTGGTGCTTCTTAAATATCACTGACATGCTCATTGGTGCTTCTTAAATATCACTGACATGCTCATTGGTGCTTCTTAAATATCACTGACATGCTCATTGGTGCTTCTTAAATATCACTGACATGCTCATTGGTGCTTCTTAAATATCACTGACATGCTCATTGGTGCTTCTTAAATATCACTGACATGCTCACTGGTGCTTCCTAAATATCACTGACATGCTCATTGGTGCTTCCTAAATATCACTGACATGCTCATTGGTGCTTCTTAAATATCACTGACATGCTCATTGGTGCTTCTTAAATATCACTGACATGCTCATTGGTGCTTCTTAAATATCACTGACATGCTCATTGGTGCTTCTTAAATATCACTGACATGCTCACTGGTGCTTCTTAAATATCACTGACATGCTCATTGGTGCTTTTTAAATATCACTGACATGCTCACTGGTGCTTCGTAAATATCACTGACATGCTCACTGGTGCTTCTTAAATATCACTGACATGCTCACTGGTGCTTCGTAAATATCACTGACATGCTCATTGGTGCTTCGTAAATATCACTGACATGCTCACTGGTGCTTCGTAAATATCACTGACATGCTCATTGGTGCTTCGTAAATATCACTGACATGCTCATTGGTGCTTCTTAAATATCACTGACATGCTCACTGGTGCTTCGTAAATATCACTGATATGCTCACTGGTGCTTCGTAAATATCACTGACATGCTCATTGGTGCTTCTTAAATATCACTGACATGCTCACTGGTGCTTCTTAAATATCACTGACATGCTCATTGGTGCTTCTTAAATATCACTGACATGCTCACTGGTGCTTCTTAAATATCACTGACATGCTCATTGGTGCTTCTTAAATATCACTGACATGCTCACTGGTGCTTCTTAAATATCACTGACATGCTCACTGGTGCTTCTTACATATCACTGACATGCTCACTGGTGCTCCATAGATACATAATACCCCCACCCACATGTGTCTATTTTGTTATGTTTTAATAATCGACGTCACTGCACATTGTGCATTCCCATGTGTGATCAGTCCTCCGTTGCAGCAGCTAATCCAAGGTACCTCTGCTGATTGTTTCCATGAGAAGTTGATTATGTCTCCTATCTTGGCCTCACAGGTGGCATAGACATACTTTGCCATGCTGTACCCATGTCACGCAGTCGTGTTAGTGTAAGAGATTAGTTATTATCCACTGGCCCAGTCTGTACAGCGTTGACAATATCTGTGCTGACCAGACTTCTTCCCATAAATGTTGGTGCATTGCCTGCGAGTTGGTTGGCTTGCTTATTACCCTTTACGCCTGCATGACCAGGTATGTAGCAGCCATCTCCATGATCATGCTTGGCGTGCTTGCCTGGTAAGCGCAGCTGTCCTCTTGTATTGTTTTCCCCATTCTTTTTGCTGAGTATGCCCATGCTGACCTTGATCCACGCTTCATGGACCCATTTATATAGATGATGATGTCTTTAGGGTGTGAATGCTGATCTGTCAGTGCCCTTGCCTCTGTGTCTTGTCTATATCACATGCCTGCTGGATTAAATCTTCGGCCTTGACCATCCAGGAGCTACCTCTTGAGAGACATTCCTTTTGTGTCGTGTATAGCTTTGTGCAGTGGCTGGTTAATGTCTGCCGATACCCTTATGTACACCGTGACCTTTGCGATTTTGAATCTGTTAGCCATCGTCTGCAAACCTGGAACATATTGCAGGAGGTGTTTTTGTTGTGCAGCAGAGTATGAGTCACATGGCCTCATTTTGTCTTTCTAGCTGGGTTTTGCTGATAGCAAGGACCGTAGTCAGTGATGCTTAACAAAAGTAAAATGACAGATATGTTTATCCTGATCACATCGTGCTGTAAAACATTCCTTATGCTCAAAATTGATTCCTTTGTTCCATTCTCTTCCCTGCAGCATCTTTCACCATTGTGTCTGGTGTCGCACCTCTATCCTCTCCAATCACCTTTTATCAGAGAATTTCCCTTGAACACCTTTACTTGCTCAATCTATTTGTTTCCTATTTCTGTGCCTTTTTAAAATTTGTTTTCATTTTGTAATGACCTTAGTGTATTGTATGCATCTTATGTGAATGTGCCTTATATAGTATCATTTTCTTTTTGTGTAAAGGTGATAATGGTGTCATTTTTGTTTTATGTAAATGTGATACCAGTGGCTCTCCGGGCATTTCTTTGATTTCCTTAATATATCCCACCTAATTTTTATCAGAATATCTCAGGAATTTGCTACTGAATGCATTTTACTTTTGTTCCAAATCCTCAGTGTTTCTCTGACTTTCACTGACATGAAATAATAGAAGAATTAAAGAAACATGCAATTGTTAATGTTTTAATAGTGTATTCCGTGGCAGTGTTTTCTCTACAATATGTGTTCATCTTCTGTGGCAGTATACAACATTTGTTTATGTTCTGTGACAGTATACAACATTTGTTCATGTTCTGTGGCAGTATACAACATGTGTTCATGTTCTGTGACAGTATACAACATTTGTTCATGTTCTGTGGCAGTATACAACATGTGTTCATCTTCTGTGGCAGTATACAACATTTGTTTATGTTCTGTGACAGTATACAACATTTGTTCATGTTCTGTGGCAGTATACAACATGTGTTCATGTTCTGTGGCAGTATACAACATGTGTTCATGTTCTGTGACAGTATATAACATTTGTTCATGTTCTGTGGCAGTATACAACATGTGTTCATGTTCTGTGGCAGTATACAACATGTGTTCATGTTCTGTGACAGTATACAACATTTGTTCATGTTCTGTGGCAGTATACAACATGTGTTCATCTTCTGTGGCAGTATACAACATTTGTTTATGTTCTGTGACAGTATACAACATGTGTTCATGTTCTGTGACAGTATACATTTGTTTATGTTCCGTGACAGTATACATGTGTTCATGTTCTGTGACAGTATACATTTGTTTATGTTCTGTGACAGTATACAACATTTGTTTATGTTCTGTGGCAGTTTACAACATTTGTTCATGTTCTGTGGCAGTATACAACATGTGTTCATGTTCTGTGACAGTATACATTTGTTTATGTTCTGTGACAGTATACAACATGTGTTCATGTTCTGTGACAGTATACAACATGTGTTCATGTTCTGTGGCAGTATACAACAGGTGTTCATGTTCTGTGACAGTATACAACATGTGTTCATGTTCTGTGGCAGTATACATGTGTTCATGTTCTGTGGCAGTATACAACATGTGTTCATGTTCTGTGGCAGTATACAACATGTGTTCATGTTCTGTGGCAGTATACAACATGTGTTCATGTTCTGTGGCAGTATACATGTGTTCATGTTCTGTGGCAGTATACAACATGTGGATGTTCTGTGGCAGTATGTGTGTTCATGTTCTGTGGCAGTATACAACATGTGTTCATGTTCTGTGGCAGTATACAACATGTGTTCATGTTCTGTGGCAGTATACATGTGTTCATGTTCTGTGGCAGTATACATGTGTTCATGTTCTGTGTCAGTATACAACATGTGATCATGTTCTGTGGCAGTATACAACATGTGTTCATGTTCTGTGGCAGTATACAACATGTGTTCATGTTCTGTGACAGTATACAACATGTGTTCATGTTCTGTGGCAGTATACATGTGTTCATGTTCTGTGGCAGTATACAACTTTTGTTTATGTTCTGTGGCAGTATACAACATTTGTGTATGTTCTGTGGCAGTATACAACAATTGTTTATGTTCTGTGGCAGTATACAACATTTGTTTATGTTCTGTGGCAGTGTTTCCTCTACAACAATTATTTATCTTCTATGGCTGTGTTTCCAGTACAACATTTGTTCATGTTCTGCAACAATTTTTCCTTCTCAATTACAGAGCATGCTTTGGAAAATAGAAACTGGTAGCTTGCTTTGCTTGACAAGACTCATTTGAGAAGCATACATAGATTTTTTTGCCCAAGGGATATGTGTGTGTGTGGTATTGAGAAGGCAGGTAGATTAGCTGCAGCTGCCTCACATCTTGGTGGTGAGCTACTTTAGGACAAAGGAGACATGGTGAAGGCTAGAATCAGTAAACAATATTGCAGAACAGACAGGGCATGTAAATATCTGGAGAGAATGACTCCACTGGGACTGAACAGTGAAGGGTCTAGACCATTTCTTCACCCACAAGAAAGAATTAATGAAACTTTTGAATCATCTTGCAACTGGCATCATCATTATGGGGATTCTTTGTTGGTTACTCAGGAAAGATACAGAGCACATACAGGATTGTCCTAAGTACAGTGATGTCAGTTTATGTATCATGTATCCATCCAACACACAGGTGACATTCAGGTGTACAACATACAGTCTTCAACATGCCGTGTTATCTTCTGTTAAAATTTGAACTGTGACAGTGATAGATTGATCAGTGGTAGTTTTGTCACCCTTTGAACTATGACAGTGATGGCTTGACCTGTAGTGTCATTGTTGACCCTGTTTTCTTTTCCAGCACAACCAAGGCCACTCCACATTTAGACAAGTGAGTAAATCTATTTCCTGCATGGATCCTCATACCTGCTGCTTTCTCTCGTAAATGTTTGTTCATATGTCATATCTTATTACCTGCTGCTTTCTCTCATAAATGTTTGTTCATGTGTCATATCATATTACCTGCTGCTTTCTCTCATACATGTTTGTTCATATGTCATATCATATTACTTGCTCCTTTCTCTCATACATGTTTTTCACCTGCTGCTTTCTATCATAAATGGTTGTTCATATGTCATGTCATATTATTTGCTGCTTTATCTCATACATGTGTGTTTATATGTCACATATTACCTGCTGTTTTCTCTCATAAATAACCATGGTATAGTGGTTAGACGCTCGCCTGCGAATCGAAAGGTCGTGGGTTCTAATCCTGGCAGAGACTTTTTTTTAAAATTACTTTGGCTCCCAGGTTGACCTGTCCTTGAGTGGGTACCAGTTGCAGTCCTTGAGTGGGTACCAGTTGCAGTCCTTGGGTGGGTACCAGGTGCAGTCCTTGAGTGGGGACCAGGTGCAGTCCTTGAGTGGGTACCAGGTGCAGTCCTTGAGTGGGTACCAGTTGCAGTCCTTGAGTGGGTACCAGGTGCAGTCCTTGAGTGGGGACCAGGTGCAGTCCTTGAGTGGGTACCAGGTGCAGTCCTTGAGTGGGGACCAGGTGCTGTCCTTGAGTGGGTACCAGGTGCAGTCCTTAAGTAGGGACCAGGTGCAGTCCTTGAGTGGGGACCAGGTGCAGTCCTTAAGTGGGTACCAGGTGCAGTCCTTGAGTGGGGACCAGGTGCAGTCCTTGAGTGGGGACCAGGTGCAGTCCTTGAGTGGGGACCAGGTGCAGTTCTTGAGTGGGGACCAGGTGCAGTTCTTGAGTGGGGACCAGGTGCAGTCCTTGAGTGGGGACCAGGTGCAGTCCTTGAGTGGGGACCAGGTGCAGTTCTTGAGTGGGGACCAGGTGCAGTCCTTGGAAGTAAAAGCTGCAGATGTGATTCTGACCACATCATCCACTAAGTGCCGATTAGTCTATAAAATATAGCCTATTGGGCCCTATGTGCCCAATACCCTCAAGGCATGGACCAGGGGAATTTTTCTCCATAAATGTTTGTTCACATATCAAATCCTATTACTTGCTATTTTCTCTCATATGTCAGATCTTATTACGAGCTGCTTTATCTTTATTATCTAATTGTTGATGTTTTCTGTATGCCTAATTGTGACCTGATGTCATCTAATTGTTGATGTTTTCTGAATGCCTGCTTGTGTTCTGGTGTCATCTAATTGTTGATGTTTTCTGTTTGCCTAATTGTGTCCTGATGTCATCTAATTGTTGATGTTTTCTGTTTGCCTAATTGTGTCCTGATGTCATCTAATTGTTGATGTTTTCTGTTTGCCTAATTGTGTCCTGATGTCATCTAATTGTTGATGTTTTCTGTTTGCCAAATTGTGTCCTGATGTCATCTAATTGTTGATGTTTTCTGTTTGCCTAATTGTGTCCTGGTGTCATCTAATTGTTGATGTTTTCTGTTTGCCTAATTGTGTCCTGGTGTCATCTAATTGTTGATGTTTTCTGTTTGCCTAATTGTGTCCTGGTGTCATCTAATTGTTGATGTTTTCTGTTTGCCTAATTGTGTCCTGGTGTCATCTAATTGTTGATGTTTTCTGTTTGCCTAATTGTGTCCTGGTGTCATCTAATTGTTGATGTTTTCTGTTTGCCTAATTGTGTCCTGGTGTCATCTAATTGTTGATGTTTTCTGTTTGCCTAATTGTGTCCTGGTGTCATCTAATTGTTGATGTTTTCTGTTTGCCTAATTGTGTCCTGGTGTCATCTAATTGTTGATGTTTTCTGTTTGCCTAATTGTGTCCTGGTGTCATCTAATTGTTGATTTTTTTCTGTTTGCCTAATTGTGTCCTGGTGTCATCTAATTGTTGATGTTTTCTGTTTGCCTAATTGTGTCCTGGTGTCATCTAATTGTTGATGTTTTCTGTTTGCCTAATTGTGTCCTGGTGTCATCTAATTGTTGATGTTTTCTGTTTGCCTAATTGTGTCCTGGTGTCATCTAATTGTTGATGTTTTCTGTTTGCCTAATTGTGTCCTGGTGTCATCTAATTGTTGATGTTTTCTGTTTGCCTAATTGTGTCCTGGTGTCATCTAATTGTTGATGTTTTCTGTTTGCCTAATTGTGTCCTGGTGTCATCTAATTGTTGATGTTTTCTGTTTGCCTAATTGTGTCCTGGTGTCATCTAATTGTTGATGTTTTCTGTTTGCCTAATTGTGTCCTGGTGTCATCTAATTGTTGATGTTTTCTGTTTGCCTAATTGTGTCCTGGTGTCATCTAATTGTTGATTTTTTCTGTTTGCCTAATTGTGTCCTGGTGTCATCTAATTGTTGATGTTTTCTGTTTGCCTAATTGTGTCCTGGTGTCATCTAATTGTTGATGTTTTCTGTTTGCCTAATTGTGTCCTGGTGTCATCTAATTGTTGATGTTTTCTGTTTGCCTAATTGTGTCCTGGTGTCATCTAATTGTTGATGTTTTCTGTTTGCCTAATTGTGTCCTGGTGTCATCTAATTGTTGATGTTTTCTGTTTGCCTAATTGTGTCCTGGCGTCATCTAATTGTTGATGTTTTCTGTATCCCTAATTGTGTCCTGGTGTCATCTAATTGTTGATGTTTTCTGTTTGCCTAATTGTGTCCTGGTGTCATCTAATTGTTGATGTTTTCTGTTTGCCTAATTGTGTCCTGGTGTCATCTAATTGTTGATGTTTTCTGTTTGCCTAATTGTGTCCTGGTGTCATCTAATTGTTGATGTTTTCTGTTTGCCTAATTGTGTCCTGGTGTCATCTAATTGTTGATGTTTTCTGTATCCCTAATTGTGTCCTGGTGTCATCTAATTGTTGATGTTTTCTGTATCCCTAATTGTGTCCTGGTGTCATCTAATTGTTGATGTTTTCTGTATCCCTAATGGTGTTCTGGTGTCATCTAATTGTTGATGTTTTCTGTATCCCTAATGGTGTTCTGGTGTCATCTAATTGTTGATGTTTTCTGTTTGCCTAATTGTGTCCTGGTGTCATCTAATTGTTGATGTTTTCTGTTTGCCTAATTGTGTCCTGGTGTCATCTAATTGTTGATGTTTTCTGTTTGCCTAATTGTGTCCTGGTGTCATCTAATTGTTGATGTTTTCTGTTTGCCTAATTGTGTCCTGGTGTCATCTAACTGTTTTTGTTTTCTGTATCCCTAATTGTGTCCTGGTGTCATCTAATTGTTGATGTTTTCTGTATCCCTAATTGTGTCCTGGTGTCATCTAATTGTTGATGTTTTCTGTTTGCCTAATTGTGTCCTGGTGTCATCTAATTGTTGATGTTTTCTGTTTGCCTAATTGTGTCCTGGTGTCATCTAACTGTTTTTGTTTTCTGTATCCCTAATTGTGTCCTGGTGTCATCTAATTGTTGATGTTTTCTGTATCCCTAATTGTGTCCTGGTGTCATCTAATTGTTGATGTTTTCTGTTTGCCTAATTGTGTCCTGGTGTCATCTAATTGTTGATGTTTTCTGTATCCCTAATTGTGTCCTGGTGTCATCTATAGTTGTGTTCTGGTGTCATCTAATTGTTGATGTTTTCTGAATGCCTGCTTGTGTTCTGGTGTCATCTAATTGTTGATGTTTTCTGAATGCCTGCTTGTGTTCTGGTGTCATCTAATTGTTGATGTTTTCTGAATGCCTGCTTGTGTTCTGGTGTCATCTAATTGTTGATGTTTTCTGAATGCCTGCTTGTGTTCTGGTGTCATCTAATTGTTGATGTTTTCTGAATGCCTGATTGTGTTCTGGTGTCATCTAATTGTTGATGTTTTCTGAATGCCTGCTTGTGTTCTGATGTCGTCTAATTGTTGATGTTTTCTGTATCCCTAATTGTGTCCTGGTGTCATCTAATTGTTGATGTTTTCTGTTTGCCTAATTGTGTCCTGGTGTCATCTAACTGTTTTTGTTTTCTGTATCCCTAATTGTGTCCTGGTGTCATCTAATTGTTGATGTTTTCTGTATCCCTAATTGTGTCCTGGTGTCATCTAATTGTTGATGTTTTCTGTTTGCCTAATTGTGTCCTGGTGTCATCTAATTGTTGATGTTTTCTGTTTGCCTAATTGTGTCCTGGTGTCATCTAATTGTTGATGTTTTCTGTTTGCCTAATTGTGTCCTGGTGTCATCTAATTGTTGATGTTTTCTGTTTGCCTAATTGTGTCCTGGTGTCATCTAATTGTTGATGTTTTCTGTTTGCCTAATTGTGTCCTGGTGTCATCTAATTGTTGATGTTTTCTGTTTGCCTAATTGTGTCCTGGTGTCATCTAATTGTTGATGTTTTCTGTTTGCCTAATTGTGTCCTGGTGTCATCTAATTGTTGATGTTTTCTGTTTGCCTAATTGTGTCCTGGTGTCATCTAATTGTTGATTTTTTCTGTTTGCCTAATTGTGTCCTGGTGTCATCTAATTGTTGATGTTTTCTGTTTGCCTAATTGTGTCCTGGTGTCATCTAATTGTTGATGTTTTCTGTTTGCCTAATTGTGTCCTGGTGTCATCTAATTGTTGATGTTTTCTGTTTGCCTAATTGTGTCCTGGTGTCATCTAATTGTTGATGTTTTCTGTTTGCCTAATTGTGTCCTGGTGTCATCTAATTGTTGATGTTTTCTGTTTGCCTAATTGTGTCCTGGCGTCATCTAATTGTTGATGTTTTCTGTATCCCTAATTGTGTCCTGGTGTCATCTAATTGTTGATGTTTTCTGTTTGCCTAATTGTGTCCTGGTGTCATCTAATTGTTGATGTTTTCTGTTTGCCTAATTGTGTCCTGGTGTCATCTAATTGTTGATGTTTTCTGTTTGCCTAATTGTGTCCTGGTGTCATCTAATTGTTGATGTTTTCTGTATCCCTAATTGTGTCCTGGTGTCATCTAATTGTTGATGTTTTCTGTATCCCTAATTGTGTCCTGGTGTCATCTAATTGTTGATGTTTTCTGTATCCCTAATGGTGTTCTGGTGTCATCTAATTGTTGATGTTTTCTGTATCCCTAATGGTGTTCTGGTGTCATCTAATTGTTGATGTTTTCTGTTTGCCTAATTGTGTCCTGGTGTCATCTAATTGTTGATGTTTTCTGTTTGCCTAATTGTGTCCTGGTGTCATCTAATTGTTGATGTTTTCTGTTTGCCTAATTGTGTCCTGGTGTCATCTAATTGTTGATGTTTTCTGTTTGCCTAATTGTGTCCTGGTGTCATCTAACTGTTTTTGTTTTCTGTATCCCTAATTGTGTCCTGGTGTCATCTAATTGTTGATGTTTTCTGTATCCCTAATTGTGTCCTGGTGTCATCTAATTGTTGATGTTTTCTGTTTGCCTAATTGTGTCCTGGTGTCATCTAATTGTTGATGTTTTCTGTTTGCCTAATTGTGTCCTGGTGTCATCTAACTGTTTTTGTTTTCTGTATCCCTAATTGTGTCCTGGTGTCATCTAATTGTTGATGTTTTCTGTATCCCTAATTGTGTCCTGGTGTCATCTAATTGTTGATGTTTTCTGTTTGCCTAATTGTGTCCTGGTGTCATCTAATTGTTGATGTTTTCTGTATCCCTAATTGTGTCCTGGTGTCATCTATAGTTGTGTTCTGGTGTCATCTAATTGTTGATGTTTTCTGAATGCCTGCTTGTGTTCTGGTGTCATCTAATTGTTGATGTTTTCTGAATGCCTGCTTGTGTTCTGGTGTCATCTAATTGTTGATGTTTTCTGAATGCCTGCTTGTGTTCTGGTGTCATCTAATTGTTGATGTTTTCTGAATGCCTGCTTGTGTTCTGGTGTCATCTAATTGTTGATGTTTTCTGAATGCCTGATTGTGTTCTGGTGTCATCTAATTGTTGATGTTTTCTGAATGCCTGCTTGTGTTCTGATGTCGTCTAATTGTTGATGTTTTCTGTATCCCTAATTGTGTCCTGGTGTCATCTAATTGTTGATGTTTTCTGTTTGCCTAATTGTGTCCTGGTGTCATCTAACTGTTTTTGTTTTCTGTATCCCTAATTGTGTCCTGGTGTCATCTAATTGTTGATGTTTTCTGTATCCCTAATTGTGTCCTGGTGTCATCTAATTGTTGATGTTTTCTGTTTGCCTAATTGTGTCCTGGTGTCATCTAATTGTTGATGTTTTCTGTATCCCTAATTGTGTCCTGGTGTCATCTATAGTTGTGTTCTGGTGTCATCTAATTGTTGATGTTTTCTGAATGCCTGCTTGTGTTCTGGTGTCATCTAATTGTTGATGTTTTCTGAATGCCTGCTTGTGTTCTGGTGTCATCTAATTGTTGATGTTTTCTGAATGCCTGCTTGTGTTCTGGTGTCATCTAATTGTTGATGTTTTCTGAATGCCTGCTTGTGTTCTGGTGTCGTCTAATGGCGGATTTTTTCTGTATACCTAATTGTGTTCTGTGTCATCTAATTGTAAATGTTTTCTGTATGCATAATTGTGTTCTGGTGTCATATATTGTTGATGTTTTCTGTATGCCTGATTGTGTTCCGATGTCATCTAATGGTGGATGCTTTCTATGTACTTAATTGTGTTCTGTGTCATCTAATTGTGGATGTTTTCTGTATGCGTGATTGTGTTCTGTGTCATCTAATTGTGGATGTTTTCTGTATGCGTGATTGTGTTCTGGTGATGTTTTTCTGTATGCCTGATTGTATTTTAGCATCATATAATTATTGATGTTTTGGCTATGCCTGATTGTATTCTGGCATCATCTAAATGTTGATATTTTATGTATGCCTGGTTGTATCTTTAGCATTATTCAACGGTTGATATTTTGTGTGTGCCTGATTGTGTTCTGGCCTCATTAAATAGTTTATGTTTTCTGTGTGCCTGATTTTATTTTGGTATTACAGTCGAGCCTGGATAAGGGACCCAAGAAAGTGCCTCCACTTATTAGGACTTCTACTTATCCAGGCAGCACACACATTAGAGTAAATTACCGGGACTAAGCTGGTCATGACGACTTAACCGAAATTCGACTTATCCGAGTTCGAATTAACTGGACTCGACTGTATCTCATTGTTTTTGTATTTTTTAATACTTGCAGCATCCATGTTGTGTTTGGTCAAGTCTTGAGTGGACAAGATGTGGTCAGAGCAATAGAAAACCTGTCTGTAGATCAGAAAAGTCGACCAACTTCAGATGTGAAAATTACCAACTGTGGCGAGCTGGTTCTGCAGCTCAAGAGTAAATGTAAATATTTGTATATGGTTCATCAATTGTTATTGTCTAGGAATTGATCTCACCTGGGGGGGAGGGGGGTATAGTCCTTTTGGAGGCTCTAGGTTTTGCCCTTTATTTAAAGTTCCTCCCCCTTATATTGTTCGGGGGCTGTGTGGTCTCGAGGCATAGTGTCTGCCTCGAGTGCTAGAGGTTCCAGGTTCAATCCCCAGTAAGAGCTTGGATTTTTTCACGTGGACTTGGACTTCTAGTAATTTCCACTGGTCTCTGAGTAGTGAGATCGGACGCCCGTGTGCATTGTTACGCACGTTAAAAATCCCTTGGCCGTTGGAAATCGAAAAGAGTAGCCTAACGACGCTGCACAGGCAAAAAATTTGAGTTAAATATCTACCCAAAGTATTTCAAGATCCTTGCCTGTGCGCTGTGCTGAGCTTCTTCGGACTCAAGACCAGTTAGAAGTAAAACGGAGCACTAATGGGTTACTGCCCGTGTGCCATGATATAGATCCGTTGTTGAAACCTTCTGTTGTTGCCCTAGTCTTGTCTCTACACCCTCAACACTGTATGCCTGCCACGACTCACTGTGATTGGTCTGAAGAACCAATAACAGAAATAACTAATGGAAGTTGAATAATTCTGTGAACTAATAACAGTAACTGAATTCAAGGAAAAAGGAAAACCTCTAGTAATAATATCTATTTTTGTGTCTGTGTGTATCATATTTCATGTAGAAACAGAAGACAGGCTGAAGAAGCTACACTTGGCACTCATGAAGATATATGCCAACAGCAATAGTTACGGGATAGCATGTTGCAAGAAGTATTCACCCCTGTCTGACATACGGATAACACATTAAGGCATAATAACATTATCATCCTAGTAAACCTTGCACAGTAACACTGAAAAATTGCCAGTATTGATGGCGGGTAAATTTGGTTGCGCCTCATGCAGTCCACGGGTTCCTGAGGTTCTCAAGAGCTGGACTGGATGTCTCTGCAGAATTCTTCTGAACAAAGACACAAGGATTTAGACTTTTTGGGGGAACATATGTACTGAAATCAGATCTCTGTTGATGCACTAAAGTTCTGCTCGCCTGAGAATATTCATTGGTGTCTGAGGTCAACTGTGCTTGTACTCTGCTCTGAGGTCAACTGTGCATGTACTCTGCTCTGAGGTCAACTGTGCATGTACTCTGCTCTGAGGTCAACTGTGCTTGTACTCTGCTCTGAGGTCAACTGTGCTTGTACTCTGCTCTGAGGCCAACTGTGGATGTACTCTTCTCTGAGGTCAACTGTGCTTGTACTCTGCTCTGAAGACTTGGAAGTGTGTTGACTTGATGGAGTCTCAGATCAAACATAGTTCATTGGCTCTTCCTGTGTAGTGAGGCATTTCTATATACTGGCCGTTGATGGTGACATACATTTCCCTGGGTGATGTTTGTTAGCAGGCCTTTGTCTGTCTGTGAGGAACTAGACCCCCTGTCTGTGAGGACATAGACCCCCTATCTGTGAGGACATAGACCCCCTATCTGTGAGGACATAGACCCCTTGTCTGTAAGGACCTAGACCCTCTGTCTGTTGTGAGGACCTAGACCCCCTGTCTGTGAGGACCTATACCTTCTGTCTGTCTGTGGGCACCTATACTCTATGTCTGTCTGTGGGCACCTATACCCTCTGTCTGTCTGTGGGCACTTAGACCCTTTGTCTGTCTGTGAGAACCTAGACCCTCTGTCTGTGAGGACCTAGACCCTTTTTCTGTCTGTCTGAGAACCTAGACTCTGTCTTTCTGTGAGAACCTAGACCCTTTGTCTATGAGGACCTAATTTGTTTTTACCCTGAATATACTCGGCTGATGCACTAGCACAGATTACTTTTAATGGTCTGTTCAATATTTTTTGTTCACTCTTTGTTATTATAGTGTTGGTGGTACGATGTTGCTTGTTTGTACCTGTGCTACCTCAATATATATTTTTTAGCCATCGGCATTGTCGACTAGAGAACTTTCTCATGTCATTGAAGTATAAACATCACCTTTTGCCAAGTATGCAATACCTCCCTCCATATACCATATTACAGTGGTAGCCAAGCCAACTTTAGCATATTACAGGTATACAGTTTACTTAATTAAATCACCCTTGCCTTGCTCTGACAGCTAACATCATTAGAAGCTCGATTTCAAACAGATTTGAGCCAACACTGATAGCCCTTCTAGCTTGAGCTTTAGCAGAAAAGTACATGGTGGTTTTTGTGCCACCTGGTTGCGTACACAAGTAGTGCGGTGTGGATCTGCCATTGGGAGTGAGAAGTACGGTTGCATTTGATAATGTTTAAGTCATCAAATATATAGTGCTGTGCACTGTTCTCTCTCTCTCCCCCCCCCCCCCCCCCCCAATATCCTCTGCCTTTCCAATACCATCATTTCCTGACTGCAAGTCTATTCTCTGCATGGTTTACAGAGAGCACCTGAACTATATCAGTTCACTTTGTTCTAAAAATAAAGGAATGCTGTCATCAAGTAATATTATATTGGTGGTGCCAGTTTCCAAGAACATGTATTTTCATCTCCGGATATCAACTTACAAATAAATGACTAAAATTTGGGGCCAACAAGTGTGGGTTATTTCAAAATACAGTTGTTGTTTCCACAACCATGCAGTCCATTTCATGAATATATGTTGTGTTTTTAGTTCATGAAGATATGCTGTGTGTATAGTTGAGCATTTAGTTCATAATTATATGCTGTGTGTATAGTTGATGAATAATTGCTATAATTGTTGTTTGTGGTTGTATGTTGTTTGTTTAGTTCATGATTGTTTGCTATGTGTATAATTCATGATAGTATGTCATGTGTAGTTCATGGTTGTGTGTATAGTTCATGATTGTATGTTGTGTGTATAGTTCATGATTTTATGTTGTGTGTATAGTTCATGGTTGTGTGTATAGTTTATGATTGTATGTTGTGTATAGTTTTTGACTAACACTTGCCAGGTCATGTAGTTGATAATGGGCTGCTGCCTTGACCAGTGTGAAATGATCTCTTATCAACTAGCAACTGTTCACTAAGACCCTTCTCTTTCACAGCAAAAACTCAGGCTAAGAAAAAGATCAAGGAGGCGGAGTCGGACAGCTCCAGTTCGGACTCTGAAAGGGAAGCCAGGAAGAAAAAAAAGAAGAAGCACCATCATAAAAGAAAGCACAAAAAAGAATCAAAGAAAAAGAAAAAGGAGAAGAAATCTAGATCTGAGGATGAAGAAGAGGGAGGGGAAAAGAAAGAGTAAGTTAATTTCATATTGAGTCATTTGTTTGTTTCATTAGGGGTGTAATGTTCCTCTGCTTGTTGGTAGATTATAGTTCTATGGCTGGTGCTTATAGATTACAGTAGGTGGGTGTCTTGTTTCAGGTGCTGGTTGATAGATGTCCTGGTGTGTTGATGGGTGTCATGTTACAGGTGCTAGTTGTTAGAATACAGTAGGTGGGTGTCTTGTTACAGGTGCTAGTTGTTAGATTACATTAGGTGGGTGTCTTGTTACAGGTGCTAGTTGTTAGATTACAGTAGGTGGGTGTCTTGTTTCAGGTGCTGGTTGATAGATGTCCTAGTGTGTTGATGGGTGTCATGTTACAGGTGCTAGTTGTTAGATTACAGTAGGTGGGTGTCTTGTTACAGGTGCTAGTTGTTAGATTACAGTAGGTGGGTGTCATGTTACAGGTGCTAGTTGTTAGATTACAGTAGGTGGTTGTCTTGTTACAGGTGCTAGTTGTTAGATTACAGTAGGTGGGTGTCATGTTACAGGTGCTAGTTGTTAGATTACAGTAGGTGGGTGTCTTGTTACAGGTGCTAGTTGTTAGATTACAGTAGGTGGGTGTCTTGTTACAGGTGCTAGTTGTTAGATTACAGTAGGTGGGTGTCTTGTTACAGGTGCTAGTTGTTAGATTACAGTAGGTGGTTGCCCCCATGTGGGTTCTGGGGCCCCTTTGTGAGGAAAACAAGAATAGACCCACTGCCTCCCCAAAAGCATGTCGTAAGAGTTGACTAATTGGGGAGCTTCCTTTGAAGTCGGAGTGCATCTGCCGGAGAGGCAAGGAACCAACAGTCTGTATTCAAATGAATGAGATCTGTAAAACTGATGCACGCGCAACACTCAGGTTCTGGAGCAGGACTGCAGTTCAGTAGTGGACGAGCAATCAGAACCTTCCGCCAGAGTGTACAGCTGCTGAACGTGAAGAAGAAGAAGAAGTAGGTGGTTGTCTTGTTACAGGTGCTAGTTGTTAGATTACATTAGGTGGGTGTCTTGTTACAGGTGCTAGTTGTTAGATTACAGTAGGTGGGTGTCTTCTTACAGGTTCTAGTTGTTAGATTACAGTAGGTGGGTGTCATGTTACAGGTGCTAGTTGTTAGATTACAGTAGGTGGGTGTCATGTTACAGGTGCTAGTTGTTAGATTACAGTAGGTGGGTGTCATGTTACAGGTGCTAGTTGTTAGATTACAGTAGGTGGGTGTCATGTTACAGGTGCTAGTTGTTAGATTACAGTAAGTGGGTGTCTTGTTACAGGTGCTAGTTGTTAGATTACAGTAGGTGGTTGTCTTGTTACAGGTGCTAGTTGTTAGATTACAGTAGGTGGTTGTCTTGTTACAGGTGCTAGTTGTTAGATTACAGTAGGTGGTTGTCTTGTACCTCGGGTGCTTAGTTTGTTAGCTAGTTTTAGATTACATTAGGTGGGGTGTCTTGTTACAGGTGCTAGTTGTTAGATTACAGTAGGTGGGGTGTCTTTGTTTACAGGTAGCTAGTGTTAGAGTTGTTTACAGTAGGTGGGTGTCTTGTTACAGGTGCTAGTTGTTAGACGTACAGTAGGTGGTTGTCTTGTTACAGGTGCTAGTTGTTAGATTACAGTAGGTGGTTGTCTTGTTACAGGTGCTAGTTGTTAGATTACAGTAGGTGGGTGTCTTGTTACAGGTGCTAGTTGTTAGATTACAGTAGGTGGGTGTCTTGTTACAGGTGCTAGTTGTTAGATTACAGTAGGTGGTTGTCTTGTTACAGGTGCTAGTTGTTAGATTACATTAGGTGGGTGTCTTGTTACAGGTGCTAGTTGTTAGATTACAGTAGGTGGGTGTCTTGTTACAGGTGCTAGTTGTTAGATTACAGTAGGTGGGTGTCTTGTTACAGGTGCTAGTTGTTAGATTACAGTAGGTGGTTGTCTTGTTTCAGGTGCTGGTTGATAGATGTCCTGGTGTGTTGATGGGTGTCATGTTACAGGTGCTAGTTGTTAGATTACAGTAGGTGGGTGTCTTGTTTCAGGTGCTGGTTGATAGATGTCCTGGTGTGTTGATGGGTGTCATGTTACAGGTGCTAGTTGTTAGATTACAGTAGGTGGGTGTCATGTTACAGGTGCTAGTTGTTAGATTACAGTAGGTGGGTGTCTTGTTACAGGTGCTAGTTGTTAGATTACAGTAGGTGGGTGTCTTGTTACAGGTGCTAGTTGTTAGATTACAGTAGGTGGGTGTCATGTTTCAGGTGCTAGTTGTTAGATTACAGTAGGAGGGTGTCATGTTACATGTGCTGATTGTTAGATTACAGTAGTTGGGTGTCCTGTTTCAGGTGCTGGTTGTTAGATTACAGTAGGTGGGTGCCATGTTACAGTAGGTGGGTGTCAAATTACAGGTGCTAGTTGATTAGAGTAGTTGGGTGTCATGTTACTTGTGCTGATTGTTACATTACAATGGATATGTGTCATGTTACAGATGCTTGTTGTTAGGTTTCATTAGGTAGGTGTAATATTTCAGGTGCTAGTTGATAGATTACAGTAGGTGGGTGTCATGTTGCAGCTGCTTATTTATATATTCCAGTTAATTGATGCCATGTTACAGCTGCTCATTGATAGATTGAAGGAATCAGGTTGGTGTCATCATCATTATTTAGCAGGTCCTTTTGCTGGTGTACTGTCACAGCTGGCTAATGTACTGTCACAGCTGGCTAATGTACTGTCACAGCTGGCTGGTTAATGTACTGTCACAGCTGGCTGGCGTACTGTCACAGCTGGCTAATGTACTGTCACAGCTGGCTAATGTACTGTCACAGCTAGCTGGTTAATGTACTGTCACAGCTGGCTGGCGTACTGTCACAGCTGGCTAATGTACTGTCACAGCTGGCTAATGTACTGTCACAGCTAGCTGGTTAATGTACTGTCACAGCTGGCTGGCGTACTGTCACAGCTGGTTAATGTACTGTCACAGCTGGTTAATGTACTGTCACAGCTGGCTAATGTACTGTCACAGCTAGCTGGTGTACTGTCACAGATGGCTAATGTACTGTCACAGCTAGCTGGTTAATGTACTGTCACAGCTGGTTAATGTACTGTCACAGCTAGCTGGTGTACTGTCACAGATGGCTAATGTACTGTCACAGCTAGCTGGTTAATGTACTGTCACAGCTGGTTAATGTACTGTCACAGCTGGCTAATGTACTGTCACAGCTGGCTAATGTACTGTCACAGCTGGCTGGCGTACTGTCACAGCTGGTTAATGTACTGTCACAGCTGGTTAATGTACTGTCACAGCTGGCTAATGTACTGTCACAGCTAGCTGGTGTACTGTCACAGATGGCTAATGTACTGTCACAGCTAGCTGGTTAATGTACTGTCACAGCTGGTTAATGTACTGACACAGCTAGCTGGTGTACTGTCACAGATGGCTAATGTACTGTCACAGCTAGCTGGTTAATGTACTGTCACAGCTGGTTAATGTACTGTCACAGCTGGTTAATGTACTGTCACAGCTGGCTAATGTACTGTCACAGCTGGCTAATGTACTGTCACAGCTAGCTGGTTAATGTACTGTCACAGCTGGTTAATGTACTGTCACAGCTGGTTAATGTACTGTCACAGCTGGCTAATGTACTGTCACAGCTGGCTGGTGTACTGTCACAGCTGGTTAATGTACTGTCACAGCTGGTTAATGTATTGTCACAGCTTACTAATGTACTGCCACAGCTTATTAATATACTGTCACAGCTGGCCGGTGTACTGTCACAGCTGGCTGGTGTACTGTTACAGCTGTCTTCTGTGCTGTCACAGATGGCTAATGTACTGTCATCACTGGCTAGTATACTGTTAAGCTGGCTGTTGTAAAATTAAGATGTGCTGGTGTAATATTAAATTGTTGATCTATTCTCAGGAAAGCAGAAGACAAGGCCCAGGCCAGTTCAGAATTTGCTGATATCCGAGTGGATGAGATTCCTGATATTCCGTTTCAGAACTTTTTGTACCGAGGCCAGAAGGTGGAGGAAGAAAGCAAACAGAGCAAAGCTCAAGAAGAAATTGAAGCAAAACCGTGAGTTCTATCAATCCTGGTCACACATCTATGTTAGGTCTCATGCATTCTATAGTTAGTTGGATGTCTTGTTGGGTCTCCTGTGTTCCATAGTTAGTTGTAGGATATGGCTTCCAGGAATATAGCCAGTGGTGTATGTTTATAGGTTGTCAGTATGGATTGTCACTATCAATAGGGTTCATAGCCGAACAAGGCAAAAATACCTTGCATCAGCATTACACCTACACAACCTTGAAAAAACTAAAAATACCTTGAAAATCCGTGAAATTTATTGGTAAATTTGGCTTCGAACCCTGTATAATACGTGACCATACATTGTACATGGGTTGTCACGGTCATATAGGATCATGCATTGTACATGGGTTGTCAGTCATATAGGATCATACATTGTACATGGGTTGTCACAGTCATATAGGATCATACATTGTACATGGGTTGTCACAGTCATATAGGATCATACATTGTACATGGGTTGTCACAGTCATATAGGATCATACATTGTACTTTGGTTGTCACAGTCATAAAGGATCATACATTGTACATGAGTTGTCACTATCATACATGACCACATTATACATAGGTTGTCAAGGTCATATAGGACAGTATTTATTCCTAGGTTGTTACAGTCAAATAACATCAAATATTGTTTATAGTTTCTCATGGTCATATAGGACCATATGTTGTTCATGGTTGTCACTGTCATATAGGGCCATATATTGTTCATAGTTTTTCATGGTCATACATGACCATATATTTTTCAGTTTGTCAGTCATACATGACATATATTGTTTGTAGATTGTCGCTGTCATATTCAGCCATATATTATACATGGTTTGTCACTGTCGTACATGACCATATATTGGACATGGGTTTTTACTGTCCTACATACATGACCATACTGGAATACAGATACATGATAAGGCAGATGTGGTTAGTGCCTTGTGGGAGAGCGTGTGCAGTTCGGAGGAACAGATGGATCACCACAGTCTGGTGAGATTGGGGGGGAGGGGTATACGAGAGGGTCTGGTAGATGCTCCAGGCTCAGAGGAAAGGCAAGACAGACGTTTAATCAGAATGCTACTGGAACCATTAATATTGGTCGCTGGCTGCTGAAGATGGGGACGGAGCGCTTATGGGAATGCCCCAAGTGTTGTGATGTCGGTTCTTGAATTGAATCAAATCAAGTCAACATGACCATACATTGTACATGGGTGTTTTACTGTCATACATAACCATACATTGTACATGGGTGTTTTACTGTCATACATAACCATACTGTAAATACTGTCATACATGATACTGGGTGTTTTATTGGTTAGTGCCATTGTACAAAGGGTGTTTTACTGCGTACATAACCAGTTACATGGACTGTCATACATAACCATCATGGGTGTTTTATGGATCATAACCATACATTGTACATGGGGTATTTACTGTCCACATAACCATACATTGTACCATGGGTGGGGGGGGGGGTTTTACTGTAACCATACATTGATGGGTGGGGTACATTTTAGGATGTGTTTACTCATTACAGGCATACAGATGGGGTTTTACTGTCCAACATAACCATCCAGACAAGGGTGTTTTACTGTTACATAACCATACATTTTAATGCTACTGGAACCATTTTTACATGGGTTTTTACTGTCATACATAACCATACATTGTACATGGGTGTTTTACTGTCATTTTTTTTTTTTTGCATGACCATACATTGTACATGGGTGTTTTACTGTCATACATGACCATACATTGTACATGGGTGTTTTACTGTCATACATTACCATACATTGTACATGGGTGTTTTACTGTCATACATTACCATACATTGTACATCGGTGTTTTACTGTCATACATAACCATACATTTTACATGGGTGTTTTACTGTCATACATAACCATACATTGTACATGGGTGTTTTACTGTCATACATAACCATACATTGTACATGATAATGCATGCAGCCAGTCTTTGGTGATGTGTGGCGATCAGTTTGAATACCAACGAGTTAATACAGTATGGAAACAAACTAGACAAATCCCAAAACTATGTTTATGATTTAGCACCATGAACAGTGGGAAAAGGTCCGGTAGGAACAATCTGTAACACCGGAAATGTCACTAGGAACAAGTGGGCAACAACTAACAATCAGCTTGAAGAAATATTCATGTTATTTAACTTGACAAGACTGTGTGCAGAAGATACCATAAGTGTATTATAAATCCCATTCCAAAAAGGTGTGCAAACATGGTAAGTGAAAAGTGAACTCAACAAAATTCAACATAAACCAAATCAATCCTGTCACTCTCATTCTAGCTCTCTAAGAAGTTTGGATTCGCATAAATCTGCATCTATAGGATCACCATCTTGACCTTGAAAACTCCATAATGAATCTACGTCTTATTTCCAGTAGAAATGCTGACAGGCAGGGAAAATGCAGTTACTTTATAACAATTGTGCGTCTTGTATCCAGCAAAAATTCGAACATGCAAGTAAACTACAATTACTTTATATAAATCCAGCAGATACACCACTTCTACTTAGATTAACAATTCATTCATGTGACAATGAACGTCCCAGCATGATAAGGCTGTTATTGACTGTGGCATCCAGAGTCAGTCATTCTTCTGGGATCCACAGAACACGGGCACACAAGTCCTGCTTCTTCAGGTGCTTTGCTGCTAATCTTCCCTTGGGGCTAATCTCCTAACAGCAACATGACAATGCGCACTAACTTCTTACGTAGCGACAGCCCCCTCCCCTCATTTAGCTGCGAATTTTAACTTGTTGAAGTCTCTTTTGGGGAAATTTGGACTCTTCTCATGGGCAAACGGGAAAGCTAATCTAAAAGCACAAATACTGTGGCTGACTTAACCAAGCACCGATGTCATTCTTATGAAGATATACCGTACATAACTTAGAAACATGGCATGCAGTAGTAATCTTTCATCAATATGACATGTGATAACACCAAATCCTCAATGTTACTTGGTCAAAATTGTCATCATCAGATGTACACACACATACAACAACAACTAAGAATGTTAACTCTGCAGTGGCAATATTAGCGTCCATGATAAAATGTCAGCCAGGACATTTTCTTTTCTCGGGCAATAAATGACTGTAAAGTTGAATACCTATAGATACATCATCCACCTTAGGATGCGGGTGTTCTTAATAAATCCCGAGGCCAGTACCTAGATTGGACGATGATCTATTTAAATGTAAAAGTGTCTTTCCAAATAGAAATCTTGTAAATAATTAAGGCTGACCAAAAAAATCACTAGTGCCTCTCTCTATCATCCACACTATAACGGCATTCATTAGGTGGCATTTTCTACTTGTGTGTACACTGGAAGCAATGTAGTTTGTTTTATTTGCATCAAAGTTGCTCCAAAGGTGACACCAGACACGTCAGTTTTAACACCAACAAGACCTAATATTCCATAACTACTACTTCTTGGCTTTCACCAACAGTAAGCTCCAGCAGAAAGTTATGGTTGTTCGTACATTGCCTGTTTCTTAATTTGACTTTTTTGTGAACATCTGTTTGACAGATCTAGCTTATTTGTATGCAGAGTGTTGGTTCCTCACCTCTCAGGCAGATGCATTCTGACTTAGAATTAATCTCCCCTAATGAGTCGCCTTGTACGGCATGCTTGTTAGGAAGGCAGTGGGTCGATTCTTTTCCCCCCAGAACAGAATAGGGCTCTCAAACCCACACAGGAAGCACCTTAACATGAAAGGTGACTTATTAAGGGTTTATCAGAAATGGATGTGAACGGCCGAGAGGAGAATATATTGCAGCCTTGCTGTTAACCACAATACAGTGTGCCAACTAGCATTTTAAGGGTGAACACAGAAGAAGCATTAGTCATGAAAGAAACCCACTCCATTTTGATTGTGCAACAAGCTGGGGCATTGTATTTATTGGGAGATTTATAACATTGTATTGGTTGTGCAACTAAATGGGAGATTTATAACATTGTATTGGTTGTGCAGTAAAATTGGGCATTAAAGCGTATTATTTGTACATCAAGCTGTTCCAGATTTAGCATTGTATTGATTGTACAACAAGCTGTTCCTAATTTAGCATTGTATTGATTGTACAACAAACTGTGGCATTTATAGCATTGTATTGATTGTACAACAAGCTGTTCAAAATTTAGCATTGTATTGATTGTACAACAAACTGGCATTTACAGCATTGTATTGATTGTACAACAAGCTGTTTCAAATTTAGCATTGTATTGATTGTACAACAAGCTGTGGCATTTATAGCATTGTATTGGTTGTACAACAAGCTATGGCACTTATAGCATTGTATTAATTCTACAAGCTGTGGCATTTATAGCATTGTATTGATTGTACTAAAACGACAACTGATAAATTGCACATTTATACCAACCCTCTGCTACCAATGCCAAACCTGGTCCCTAACAAGAGCACAGGAGAAAAAGATCACGACGTGCGAAATGAGATGCTTACGTAAGGCTGCCAATGTCACAAGGAGAGACAGAGTTCGAAACGAGAACATTAGATCAATTGTAGGAACCACACCATGCCTGCAATACATAAAGAAGCAACAAATCGAGTGGTTTGGCCATTTGATGCGAATGCAAACCGACCAACTGCCTCTACGAGCATACAACGAACAACACTACTGCCCTAGAGCAAGAGGCAGACCGAGAGTACGATGGATAGACAATATATCAGAGATCCTGAGGCAACACGGACTAACAACAACACATGCAACACACCTGGCCCAGGATAGAAAACTGCGACTCCCCACTACGCTGTGAGGCAATTGTGGACAAGACAAGATTGATTGTACAACAAGCTGGAGCATTTATATCCTTGTATTGATTGTGTAGCAAGCTCAGGCATTTATAGCATTGTATTGATTGTACAACAAGCTGGGGCATTTATATCCTTGTATTGATTGTGTAGCAAGCTCAGGCATTTATAGTTTTGTATTGGTTGGCAAGCGATGATCTGGTGAATTTACTATAGTTGGTTTTTCATGTGTTTCTCGATCACCTTCTACAAGTGTTGTATGTCTCTAGAAATAAATCTGAACAAGATCACCTTCTACATGTGTTGTATATCGGTAGAAATCTGAACAAGATCACCTCTTACATGTGTTGTATATCGGTAGAAATCTGAACAAGATCACCTCTTACATATGTTGTATATCGGTAGAAATCTGAACAAGATCACCTTCTACATGTGTTGTATATCGGTAGAAATCTGAACAAGATCACCTTCTACATGTGTTGTATATCGGTAGAAATCTGAACAAGATCACCTCTTACATATGTTGTATATCGGTAGAAATCTGAACAAATTCACCTCTTACATATGTTGTATATCGGTAGAAATCTGAACAAGATCACCTTCTACATATGTTGTATATCGGTAGAAATCTGAACAAGATCACCTTCTACATGTGTTGTATATCTTTAGAAATTTTAACAAGATCACCTTCTACGTGTTTTTTTTTCTTCTTTTTTTATATCTAGAAATCTGAACAAGTTCATTTTTTACGTATGTTGTATGTCTCAAGAAATCTGAATAAGATCACCTACTACATATGTTGTATATAGCTCTAGAAATGTAAAGAAGATCACCTTCCACGTGTGTTTTGTATGTCTCTAGTGATAGTGAATAGGAATGGTTAACATGCCTCAGAACCAATTCAGCTGAGTGCTGATGATTGGCTGTTGATATCTGCAGGGAAAAGATCAGCCCCAGACGAAAGGATTCCAGGAATAGGCGACCTGTGGTGTCAGCTTCTGGGCGTAAACTCAAAGGCAGAGGGGTCATTGTAAGTTTTATCTGCTAGGTGCCAAAGGGCATGTATGAACTTGTGTTTTGTCAGCTTGTTTTTCCTGTCACTGAACTGTATGTGTGACTTGGTGCACGAGCTATTTCTTCGTTTGCCCTTCTCTCTCTTGCCAGAAGTCTGTTCAGCTGTTTCATGTTGCCAGTCTGTCCAACTGTTTCATGTTGCCAGTCTGTCCAACTGTTTCATGTTGCCAGTAGTCTGTCCAACTATTTCATGTTGCCAGTAGTCTGTCCAACTGTTTCATGTTGCCAGAAGTCTGTCCAACTGTTTCATGTTGCCAGTAGTCTGTCCAACTATTTCATGTTGCCAGTAGTCTGTCCAACTATTTCATGTTGCCAGTAGTCTGTCCAACTGTTTCATGTTGCCAGTCTGTCCAACTGTTTCATGTTGCCAGTCTGTCCAACTGTTTCATGTTGCCAGTCTGTCCAACTGTTTCATGTTGCCAGTAGTCTGTCCAACTGTTTCTTGTTGCCAGTCTGTCCAACTGTTTCATGTTGCCAGTCTGTCCAACTGTTTCTTGTTGCCAGTCTGTCCAACTGTTTCTTGTTGCCAGTCTGTCCAACTGTTTCATGTTGCCAGTCTGTCCAACTATTTCATGTTGCCAGTCTGTCCAACTGTTTCATGTTGCCAGTCTGTCCAACTGTTTCTTGTTGCCAGTCTGTCCAACTGTTTCTTGTTGCCAGTCTGTCCAACTGTTTCATGTTGCCAGTAGTCTGTCCAACTGTTTCATGTTGCCAGTAGTCTGTCCAACTGTTTCATGTTGCCAGTCTGTCCAACTGTTTCATGTTGCCAGTCTGTCCAACTGTTTCATGTTGCCAGTCTGTCCAACTATTTCATGTTGCCAGTAGTCTGTCCAACTGTTTCATGTTGCCAGTAGTCTGTCCAACTGTTTCATGTTGCCAGTCTGTCCAACTATTTCATGTTGCCAGTAGTCTGTCCAACTGTTTCATGTTGCCAGTAGTCTGTCCAACTGTTTCATGTTGCCAGTCTGTCCAACTGTTTCATGTTGCCAGTAGTCTGTCCAACTGTTTCATGTTGCCAGTAGTTTGTCCAACTGTTTCTTGTTGCCAGTCTGTCCAACTATTTCATGTTGCCAGTAGTCTGTCCAACTGTTTCATGTTGCCAGTCTGTCCAACTGTTTCATGTTGCCAGTAGTCTGTCCAACTGTTTCATGTTGCCAGTCTGTCCAACTGTTTCATGTTGCCAGTCTGTCCAACTGTTTCATGTTGCCAGTCTGTCCAACTGTTTCATGTTGCCAGTCTGTCCAACTATTTCATGTTGCCAGTAGTCTGTCCAACTGTTTCATGTTGCCAGTAGTCTGTCCAACTGTTTCATGTTGCCAGTCTGTCCAACTATTTCATGTTGCCAGTAGTCTGTCCAACTGTTTCATGTTGCCAGTAGTCTGTCCAACTGTTTCATGTTGCCAGTCTGTCCAACTGTTTCATGTTGCCAGTAATTTGTCCAACTATTTCATGTTGCCAGTCTGTCCAACTATTTCATGTTGCCAGTAGTCTGTCCAACTGTTTCATGTTGCCAGTAGTCTGTCCAACTGTTTCATGTTGCCAGTCTGTCCAACTGTTTCATGTTGCCAGTCTGTCCAACTGTTTCATGTTGCCAGTCTGTCCAACTGTTTCATGTTGCCAGTAGTCTGTCCAACTGTTTCATGTTGCCAGTCTGTCCAACTGTTTCTTGTTGCCAGTCTGTCCAACTGTTTCATGTTGCCAGTCTGTCCAACTGTTTCATGTTGCCAGTCTGTCCAACTGTTTCATGTTGCCAGTCTGTCCAACTGTTTCATGTTGCCAGTCTGTCCAACTGTTTCATGTTGCCAGTAGTCTGTCCAACTGTTTCATGTTGCCAGTAGTCTGTCCAACTGTTTCATGTTGCCAGTATGTCCAACTGTTTCATGTTGCCAGTAGTCTGTCCAGCTGTTTCATGTTGCCAGTAGTCTGTCCAGCTGTTTCATGTTGCCAGTAGTCTGTCCAACTGTTTCATGTTGCAAGTCTGTCTAACTGTTTCATGTTGCCAGTCTGTCCAACTGTTTCATGTTGCCAGTCTGTCCAACTGTTTCATGTTGCCAGTCTGTCCAACTGTTTCATGTTGCCAGTAGTCTGTCCAACTGTTTCATGTTGCCAGTAGTCTGTCCAACTGTTTCATGTTGCCAGTAGTCTGTCCAGCTGTTTCATGTTGCCAGTAGTCTGTCCAACTGTTTAATGTTGCCAGTAGTCTGTCCAACTGTTTCATGTTGCCAGTCGTCTGTCCAGCTGTTTCTTGTTGCCAGTAGTCTGTCCAGCTGTTTCATGTTGCCAGTAGTCTGTCCAGCTGTTTCATGTTGCCAGTAGTCTGTCCAACTGTTTCATGTTGCCAGTAGTCTGTCCAGCTGTTTCATGTTGCCAGTAGTCTGTCCAGCTGTTTCATGTTGCCAGTAGTCTGTCCAACTGTTTCATGTTGCCAGTAGTCTGTCCAACTGTTTCATGTTGCCAGTCTGTCCAACTGTTTCATGTTGCCAGTAGTCTGTCCAACTGTTTCATGTTGCCATTAAACTGTCCAACAAATAAAATAATAGTTGTACCATTCTCAGCGATTCCGCAGCCGCTCACGCTCCACTACTCCACCACACTGGAAACAGGAACAAAGAAGAGCCATCCCCATGCACAAGGCCAAGGAGATGGAAGAGAAGAAGTGGAGCAAAGGCGAAGCTATTGCGGCACCAAGTTCCCACAGAAAGGAAGAGAAGAAGTGGAACAAGAGGGAAGATATTGAGGCACCAAGTTCCTACAGACAGGACCACAAGGCTACATTATCAGCTGGCTCTGTGGGTAGAAGGCATCATTCCAGTGATGTTGTGGAGCCAGAGAAGTAGGTTGTTGTCCATGCTTCTGCTTTCCAAAGAAGTGTCTCCTTTATTTTTCTGGGTCTCTCTCTTTCGTATTCATTGGACCCAGATTGTTGTCTAGGGGGTCACTGATGTAGAATAGATGAGGCATACTATCTTCCATCAACAATCACACTACTCCAAATGATAGTCGACAATGACCAGTTTTACTGTATCTCAAATACACAACAATAATCAAATGACAATCTAACTTATGCACTCCAGTCAAGAATCAGTTGCTGTCATGTTTGGGCACACAGCCGCACCACATTTGACGCTGACCTATGCGCAGTCAGTACCAGTTAATCGAACATTGCCATTGTCCTAAGATATTATTCCACGTAGATTTTCCACAATTAATTCCTAGCCACACAGAAATCAATTCCACTTCATTTCAATTTGAACGCACTTTCATTCTGAAGACACTGATTCCATTCCAAAATGACTGACTACCTCATCCGCAAACCCCCAATCTTGCATTCACACGTGAATTGCTCAGTTCTGTTCTTTCACCATCTTCCCGTGGAACCTATGCTTCTCATCCTAGGGACTTTCCCTGTCAGTCAGCCATTTCCCCATGACCCATGATTCTCACACTAGGGACTTACCCAGTTCTGTCACTCAGTCATACCCTGACGTTATCCCTATTTATAGCATCATTACACTAACAGACATCAGTTCGTGAACAATAATAATAGCTCAGTGTAGAATATGGTTTGTTGTGGCATGTGCGTGATATGAGCTAGGGTGGCCTATTGTAGCATGTAGGAGACATAAGTTAAAGTGATTTATTGTGGCTTTTGTGTGCTATCTGAGTTACACACTAATCAGCACACTGCCAAGTGTCTGTAGGTATAACTTTTTGCCCCAACACTCTCGCACGGGACTTGACGACAGTAGTTTCGTCATACAATAGATTTATTCGACAGATCAAAAGAGGGTAGTTATAAGCCCTCACACCGACACACCTGCAGATGTAGACATCGATCCTGATTTAACATTCGATATAGTCTCTCTCTCTCTCTCTCTCTCTCTCTCTCTCTCTCTCTCTCTCTCTCTCTCTCTCTCTCCCTCTCTCTCTCTCTCTCTCTCTCTCTCTCTCTCTCTCTCTCACACACACACAACCTGTAGCGGCCTCTTCCCTGACCACTACAACTCCGAAAGTCTACAACTTCCCACAACTCTGGGGTCGCTGTACAGAAGAACAGGAAAACTCTTATACCAACTGGACCTTAATATTACTTCAGCAGACAACGGCTGACTGGAGACAGACTTCACTTGCTCGTCCTTACTTCGCCAGCAGGACTATACCTTCGACCCGTACCGTAACCACAATCCTTACTCAGGCCTTGCTGCCTGATAGTTGCACGGTACTCTGTCTGACTCAAGAGATAATAACTCTGACCCTGTCTCGGACTCTGACTGACTCGTTCACTGGCGTACAGCATTCTCGTGCTGGGTATGTACTACATCCGCACTTCCTCAGTACTTTAGGTCTGGCTACAGCTCACTGACTTGGACTGTCTACACAGCCCCAATGTATCCCTGCCAAACACATGTGGGCTACTGATGTTACCATAGAGTCAAGCTTATGTGGGTGGCCGATGTTACATGAAAATCACGCTGTCACGTAATTAATACTTTCTCTGTGTGTCTTGTTAGCCCCAACTGTGAACCCACGCATCTACTTTCAAGGGACACTACACTTCTCACTGGTCCCAACATTGTCTCCCCCTTACCACTTGGGCCGATGTTGACACTGTTCACAGGCCATTCCCTTGATCTCTTCAGAAAATACTATCATACCACTCTGTCCCTTCACACAATATTACACTCTCCCTTAACACAGTATTACACTCTCCCTTCACACAATATTACACTCTCCCTTAACACAGTATTACACTCCCATATCAGCACGCAACAATGGCACATGAGCTAGAGTGGTTTATTGTAGCATGTGAGTGACATGGGCTAGTGTGGTTATTTTGTGGCACATTAGCTAGAGTGGTCAATTGCAACCTGTGGGAGACCTGAGCTAGCATGGTCTATTGTAGCAAGTGGAGACATAAGCTAGAGTGGCCTATTGTAGCATGTGGGAGACATGAGATAGAGTGGCCTATTGTAGCATGTGGGAGACATGAGATAGAGTGGCCTATTGTAGCATGTGGGAGACATGAGATAGAGTTGCCTATTGTAGCATGTTGGAGACATGAGATAGAGTGGCCTATTGTAGCATGTGGGAGACATCAGCTAAAATGGTTTATTGTAGCTTATGGGAGACATGAGCTAGCGTGGTTTTATTGTAGCACGTAGGAGACATGAGCTGGGATTGTTTATTGTGACAGGTGGGAGACATGAGCTAGGGATGTTTATTGTGGCACATGGGAGACATGAGTTAGGGTAGTTTATTGCTGCATGTGGGAGACAGAGTGGTTTATTGTGACACAGAGACCTGCACTAGAGTGGTTTATTGTGACACAGAGACGTGCACTAGAGTGGTTTATTGTGACACAGAGACTTGCACTAGACTGGTTTATTGTGACATGTGGGAGACATAAGTTAGGGTAGTTTATTGTGACATGTGGGAGACCTGAGCTAGAGTGGTTTATTGTGACATGTGGGAGACATGCACTAGAGTGGTTTATTGTGACATGTGGGAGACATGCACTAGAGTGGTTTATTGTGACATGTGAGAGACATGCACTAGAGTGGTTTATTGTGACATGTGAGAGACCTGAGCTAGGGTGGTTTATTGTGACATGTGAGAGACATGAGCTAGGGTGGTTTATTGTGACATGTGGGAGACATGCACTAGAGTGGTTTATTGTGGCATGTGGGAGACATGCACTAGAGTGGTTTATTGTGACATGTGAGAGACATGCACTAGAGTGGTTTATTGTGGCATGTGGGAGACATGCACTAGAGTGGTTTATTGTGGCATGTGGGAGACATGCACTAGAGTGGTTTATTGTGGCATGTGGGAGACATGCACTAGAGTGGTTTATTGTGACATGTGGGAGACATGCACTAGAGTGGTTTATTGTGGCATGTGGGAGACATGCACTAGAGTGGTTTATTGTGACATGTGAGAGACATGAGATAGGGTAGTTTATTGTGACATGTGGGAGACCTGAGCTAGAGTGGTTTATTGTGACATGGAGACATGCACTAGAGTGGTTTATTGTGACATGTGGGAGACATGCACTAGAGTGGTTTATTGTGACATGTGGGAGACATGCACTAGAGTGGTTTATTGTGACATGTGGGAGACATGCACTAGAGTGGTTTATTGTGACATGTGAGAGACATGCACTAGAGTGGTTTATTGTGGCATGTGGGAGACCTGAGCTAGGGTGGTTTATTGTGGCATGTGGGAGACATGAGCTAGGGTGGTTTATTGTGGCATGTGGGAGACATGAGCTAGGGTGGTTTATTGTGGCATGTGGGAGACCTGAGATAGAGTGGTTTATTGTGACATGTGGGAGACATGCACTAGAGTGGTTTATTGTGACATGTGGGAGACATGCACTAGAGTGGTTTATTGTGACATGTGGGAGACATGCACTAGAGTGGTTTAATGTGACATGGAGACATGCACTAGAGTGGTTTATTGTGACATGTGGGAGACATGCACTAGAGTGGTTTATTGTGGCATGTGGGAGACATGCACTAGAGTGGTTTATTGTGACATGTGGGAAACATGAGCTAGGGTGGTTTATTGTGGCATGTGGGAGACCTGAGCTAGGGTGGTTTATTGTGACATGTGGGAGACATGAGCTAGAGTGGTTTATTGTGACATGTGAGAGACATGCACTAGAGTGGTTTATTGTGGCATGTGAGAGACATGAGCTAGGGTGGTTTATTGTGGCATGTGGGAGACCTGAGCTAGAGTGGTTTATTGTGGCACATGGGAGACATGAGTTAGGGTAGTTTATTGCTGCATGTGGGAGACAGAGTGGTTTATTGTGACACAGAGACCTGCACTAGAGTGGTTTATTGTGACACAGAGACGTGCACTAGAGTGGTTTATTGTGACATGTGGGAGACATGAGCTAGGGTGGTTTATTGTGACATGTGGGAGACATAAGCTAGAGTGGTTTATTGTGACATGTGAGAGACATGCACTAGAGTGGTTTATTGTGACATGTGGGAGACCTGAGCTAGAGTGGTTTATTGTGGCATGTGAGAGACATGAGCTAGGGTGGTTTATTGTGGCATGTGGGAGACCTGAGCTAGAGTGGTTTATTGTGGCACATGGGAGACATGAGTTAGGGTAGTTTATTGCTGCATGTGGGAGACAGAGTGGTTTATTGTGACACAGAGACCTGCACTAGAGTGGTTTATTGTGACACAGAGACGTGCACTAGAGTGGTTTATTGTGACATGTGGGAGACATGAGCTAGAGTGGTTTATTGTGACACAGAGACCTGCACTAGATTGGTTTATTGTGACACAGAGACCTGCACTAGAGTGGTTTATTGTGACACAGAGACATGCACTAGACTGTTTATTGTGACATGTGGAAGACATGAGCTAGAGTGGTTTATTGTGACATGTGGGAGACCTGAGCTAGAGTGGTTTATTGTGACATTTGGGTGACCTGAGCTAGAGTGGTTTATTGTGACATGTGGGAGACCTGAGCTAGAGTGGTTTATTGTGGCATGTGGGAGACATGCACTAGAGTGGTTTATTGTGACATGTGGGAGACCTGAGCTAGAGTGGTTTATTGTGACATGTGGGAGACCTGAGCTAGAGTGGTTTATTGTGGCATGTGGGAGACATGAGCTAGGGTGGTTTATTGTGGCATGTGGGAGACATAAGTTAGGGTAGTTTATTGTGACATGTGGGAGACCTGAGCTAGAGTGGTTTATTGTGACATGGAGACATGCACTAGAGTGGTTTATTGTGACATGTTGGAGACCTGAGCTAGGGTGGTTTTTTGTGGCACGTAGGGGACAATATCTTATGCAATAAATCACTCTCATTTAATGTCAGAAAGAGGGTGCTAAAATGTTACATATAACCTGTTCTGCTGTATGGCAGCCAATCTTGGAATGTCAGTGAAGAAATTAGGATGAATTTGGAAGCAACAGAGATGTGGTTTCTGAGATGAATGTTATATTGGAAAGACGGTTAGAGTACGTGGGAGACCTGAGTTAGTAGAGTTTATTGTGGCATGTGGGAGACCTGAGTTAGTAGAGTTTATTGTGGCATGTGGGAGACCTGAGTTAGTAGAGTTTATTGTGGCATGTGGGAGACCTGAGTTAGTAGAGTTTATTGTGGCATGTGGGAGACCTGAGTTAGTAGAGTTTATTGTGGCATGTGGGAGACCTGAGTTAGTAGAGTTTATTGTGGCATGTGGGAGACCTGAGTTAGTAAAGTTTATTGTGGCATGTGGGAGACAAGAGCTGGAGTGATTTGTTGATAATTTGTAACATGTGGCAATTATTAAAAGAATTAGTTAATTGTAACACGTAATAACTACATAAAATTAGAAAATAAATGTAGCTTTTAAAAAAACCATAGCAACTACATCCCAGGAGTACTTACATTTAGCAATACATGACAGGAGTACACAATCGTAGCACATAGTGACTATATGACAAGAGTACATAATTATAGCACATAATGACTATACAGCAGTATATATGAATTTAGAACATAGCAACTATATGGCAAGAGTACATAATTATTGTGTGTATTCACTATATGGCAGGAGTACATAGATGTAGCACATGGCAACTACACGACAGGTGTATATAATTATAGCACATAGTGACTTTATGGCAAAAGTTTAAAAAAATTAACACATGGCGACTACATGGCTGGAGTTCATAAACGTAGCACATAGCGACTATATGGCAAGAGTACATAACTGTAGCACATAGCGGCTTTATGGCTAGAGTACATAATTATATCCCATATTGACTACATGGCAGAAGTACATAAATGTAGCACATAGCGGCTTTATGGCTAGAGTACATAATTATATCACATATTGACTACATGGCAGAAGTACATAAATGTAGCACATAGCGGCTTTATGGCAAGAGTGCATAATTATATCCCATATCGACTACATGGCAGAAGTACATAAATGTAGCACATAGCTGCTTTATGGCAAGAGTACATAATTATATCCCATATCGACTACATGGCAGAAGTACATAAATGTAGCACATAGCGGCTTTATGGCAAGAGTACATTATTATAGCACATAACGATTACATGGCTGGAGTACATAAATGTAGCAAATATTGATTACATGGCTGGAGTATATAAATGTAGCAAATATTGATTACATGGCTAGAGTACATAAATGTAGCAAATATTGATTACATGGCTGAAGTAGATAAATGTAGCAAATATTGATTACATGGCTGGAGTACATAAATGTAGCAAATATTGATTACATGGCTGGAGTATATAAATGTAGCAAATATTGATTACATGGCTGGAGTATATAAATGTAGCAAATATTGATTACATGGCTGGAGTATATGAATGAAGCATATAGCGACTACATGGCAGTAGTACATGAATGTAGCAAATATTGATTACATGGCTGGAATATATAAATGTAGCAAATATTGATTACATGGCTGGAGTATATAAATGAAGCATATAGCGACTACATGGCAGGAGTACATGAATGTAGCAAATATTGATTACATGGCTGGAGTACATAAATGTAGCAAATATTGATTACATGGCTGGAGTACATGAATGTTGTAAATATAGATTACATAGCTGGAGTACATGAATGTAGCACATAGTGACTATATGTCATGAGTACATAATTGTAGCAAATAGCTACAGACAGACAATCATTACTTTTTTTTTTACCTGGTTCCCATTTGAGGCAGGTCAGTTGTACAAATCTGCCTCAACTGGACCTATGACAGTTGGACAGACAGACTAGTGTACTGTAGTTGGACAGACAGCTGTAGTTGGACAGACAGACTAGTGTACTGTAGATGGACAGACAGACTAGTGTACTGTAGTTGGACAGACAGCTAGTGTACTGTAGTTGGACAGACAGACTAGTGTACTGTAGATGGACAGACAGACTAGTGTACTGTAGTTTGACAGACAGCTGTAGTTGGACAGACAGACTAGTGTACTGTAGATGGACAGACAGACTAGTGTACTGTAGTTTGACAGACAGCTGTAGTTGGACAGACAGACTAGTGTACTGTAGATGGACAGACAGACTAGTGTACTGTAGATGTACAGACAGACTAGTGTACTGTAGATGGACAGACAGACTAGTGTACTGTAGATGGACAGACAGACTAGTGTACTGTAGATGGACAGACAGACTAGTGTACTGTAGTTTGGACAGACTAGCTGTAGTTGGACAGACAGACTAGTGTACTGTTATTTGTTGCTGGTATTTGCAGCGCTGTGAACATGTCTGTCTGTCCCAACACCTTGCCAGTATGTCGCAATATTCATCACAGCGTTCTCTTTTTCTGTGTTTTTTGTTCATCTGTTGGTCTAGTGTCAGCATTTTCATGTGTATATCTGTCTCCACAGAAGCCTCGAGAATGGCAAACATAAAAGAAGTCCAAAAGACAAGGATGACAGCAGAAAAGAGAAGAAGAAAAAAAGATCTGGTCTAGACATGTCCAGTCATGATGACAAAGGTTGGGTGATCATGTTGTGGTTACTTTGGTCTTCAGTAAATCATTGCTTCACTTGACATCTGCAGAATCATTCATTTATATGACCTGGTAAATCTAAGGCTGACCTCACCTTTGGGTAATGATTCCCCAGCCTCACCTGTAGGTAATCATTCCCCAACCTCACCTCTGGTTAATAATTCCCCAGCCTCACCTCTCTTAGTCCCTTAGTGAACTAAACTCATTTTTGACTTTATGTGTATCCATGTCTTCTAGTGTATCACTGGTATTTGTGAACTCATTGTTGACTTTGTGTGTATCCATGTCTTCTAATGTATCACTGGTATTTGTGAACACATTGTTGACTTTGTGTGTGTCCATGTACTCTAGTGTATCACTGGTATTTGTGAACTCATTGTTGACTTTGTGTGTATCCATGACCTCTAGTGTATCACTGGTATTTGTGAACTCATTGTTGACTTTGTGTGTATCCATGTCCTCTAATGTATCACTGGTATTTGTTAACTCATTGTTGACTTTTTGTGTGTCCATGTACTCTAGTGTATCACTGGTATTTGTGAACTCATTGTTGACTTTGTGTGTGTCCATGTACTCTAGTGTATCACTGGTATTTGTAAACTCATTGTTGACTTCATGTTTGTCCATGTACTGTAGTGTATCACTAGTAATTATGAACTCATTGTTGACTTCATGTGTGTCCATGTTCTGTAGTATATCACTGGTATTTGTAAACTCGTTGTTGACTTCATGTGTGTCCATGTTCTGTAGCATATCACTAGTATTTGTGGACTCATTGTTGACTTCATGTGTGTCAGTGTCCTCTAGTATATAACTGGTATTTGTGGACTGATTGTTGAATTCAAGTGTGTCCATGTTCTCTAGTTTATCACTGGTATTTGTGAACTCGGTGTTGACCTTGTGTTTATCCATGTTCTCTATTGTATTAGTTGTATTTGTGAACTCATTGTTGACTTTGTCTGTCCACGTTTTCTAGTTGAGAAGAAACCAAAGGACAAGGGCCCTAAAGATCAGTCTGAAGACAGTGACATTGAGACTGGCTCTGGTTGTGAGGATGGGGAGATCACAAGTAGACAGGACAACAATCTAGCAAAAGAACGAAGCAAGGAAGCACGCAGTAGACGTGAGAAAGAAAGAAATCGGTCTGACTTGTAAGTATTTATAAGGGCTACTCTATATTACTTATTGGATCAAACAGCACAAAAAGAGACAGGGTTACGAATTCCAACATTAGAAAGAAAGTTGGAATAAGACCATGCCTAGATTATATTGACAGACAAAGAATGAAATGGTTGAGTCATCTCGTGAGAATGCAGCAATGCCAAACTGCATGAAACACTTTTAAATAGCAGAACATCTGGGAGGATGACCAAGAAAAAAATGGATAAGTGATGTTTCCAAAATTTGCAAACAGATGGTATCAATGAGACGGCAAAACTGGGCTACACCTGGTATCAATGAGACACAAAAGAAGTATGACCTAGCTTACAAAATTGGCTGTATTGTCTCCCCTTGACACCAGCTTCTTTCTGTATTATCTATCTCTGTTGTCTCTCCATGACATCAACTTCTTTCTGTATTATCTATCTCTGTTGTCTCCCCATGACATCAGCTTCTTTCTGTATTATCTATCTCTGTTGTCTCCCCATGACATCAGCTTCTTTCTGTATTATCTATCTCTGTTGTCTCCCCATGACATCAGCTTATTTCTATATTATCTATCTCTGTTGTCTCTCCATGACATCAACTTCTTTCTGTATTATCTATCTCTGTTGTCTCCCCATGACATCAGCTTCTTTCTGTATTATCTGTCTCTGTTGTCTCTCCATGACATCAACTTCTTTCTGTATTATCTGTCTCTGTTGTCTCTCCATGACATCAGCTTCTTTCTGTATTATCTATCTCTGTTGTCTCTCCATGACATCAGCTTCTTTCTGTATTATCTATCTCTGTTGTCTCTCCATGACTTCAGCCTCTTTATGTATTATCTATCTCTGTTGTCTCCCCGCGACATCAGCTTATTTCTTTATTCTCTCCCCATCACATCAGCGCCTTTTTTGCATTAGTATTTATCTCTGTTGTCTGCCAGTGACATCAGCTTCTTTCTTCATTATCTATCTCTGTCGTCTCCAAGCTACATCAGTGTCTTTCTGTATTATCTGATGTCTGCCAGGACATGTATGTGTTGTGTATGTGGGTGACTGATATTTCCCTCATTCTATCTGCAGCTCCTCTCCAGATGCTAAGAAGGGTAGCAGATCTGAAAGACATAACACGAAGTTGGACAAAACAACTGATCGCGGAGAGAGAAAAGATTCACAGAAACGTGAGAGGAGAAACAGTTGGTCCAAGGACAAAAGTCGAGGTTCTCGTGAGAGACGTGCCTCATATTCTACCCAAGCAGACAGTTCAAACACCAGCAAGAGTGCTAAACATGGTCAAGAAGAATCACTACGCCGTCAGGAAAAGAAACCCGACAGATTTGAGGATGCAACATCCAGACAACGAAAAAACAGATCCAGGACACCAAAACGGTCAGCGAAATCCAAGTGGAATGATGGGAAACATTCACGGTCAAGGTCCAGGTCTCCTGCCTTCAGGAGAAAGCCTTCCTATGATGGCAAGCACCAGTCCAGATCTGAAGAGAAGAGGCCGTCTCGATCTCAGTCTAAAAGTGATACCCGTTATAAGTGGCGAGATGAGAGGTCACGGGATCTGAAGAAGCGGCGGCCGTCTGAGTCCAGCAGTTCAGAGGATAGAGAAGACAAGAGAAGGAAAAAAGACAATAGTTCACCAGGTGTTCAGCGGCGTAAGTTGGAGCAGGAGAAAAAGTGGAATATGATTAAGAGGTTGGTTAAATCGTCTTTTGTAAACGTTTCTCATTGTAACCTCACAAATTCTATCTTGTTCTTATTATATAATTTATTCCAATCACATTATAAACTGTTTATCCCATTCTCATTGAGCAGGTTATTCCAGTCTCACCAAGCTTTTATCCCGCTCTCATTAAACTATGTTTATTTCAGTCTCACTAAACTGTTTATCTCAGTCTCACCAAATTGTGTTTATTTCAGTCTCACTAATCTGTTTATTTCAGTCTCACTAAACTGTTTCATCATCACAGTCTCACTAAACTGTTTCATCATCACAGTCTCACTAAACTGTTTATTTCAGTCTCACTATACTGTTTATTTCAGTCTCACTAAACTGTTTCATTATCAGTCTCACTAAACTGTTTCATCATCACAGTCTGACACTGCACCAGGGCCTGATGGTGTCAGGTATGGTCAAATGAAGGCTTTGAGTGATGTAGACCTGGCAGAGACGGCCAACTGTTTTAACCAGAGTATTAAGACAGCATTAGTACCGCAGGACTGGGTGCACAGCTATCTAATCCCATTACCAAAACCTTGTAAAGATCATTCTAAGCTTAGTGGCTTTAGAATCATCACATTACAAAACACATTTGGGAAGGTCTTGGAGAAGATAGTTGCTGTAAAGTTACAAGAATTTTTGGAAAGGGGGAAGCTTCTCCCAAGAGGTCTGGGAAGTTACAGGCCAGGAAAGGACACTTGGGCAAATGCAGCCACTTTTGCTTTTGACGTCTATGAAGGGTTCCAGAACAGACAGGAAACTATGGCGGTAGGACTGGATCTCGAGGATGCTTATAACAGAGTGAGATACGACATCTTAATGACTGCACTGAGGGAGAAGGAGGTCAATCCATGCCTTGTGAATTGGGTTGCAGCTGTCCTGTATTCATGTCGGGTTGCAGCTGTCCTCGTCCTGTATTCACATCGGGTTGCTCTCCGACTGGGCTCATGCATTTTGGCTCCAGGACTGCCACAGGGATCCGCCATCTCGCCTGTGCTCTTCAACGTGTATACGAGCAAAATTGCAAGCCTAGAAGCACCAGGAGTTGGAAGGATACTGACTTTTGCAGATGATATACTTGCATATAGGCAGGGGGAAGAAAGAGAACAAACAGCTCGGAAGCTACAAGCGACAGTCGACAAAGTGACTTAGTGGTGTACAGAAATGAGGGCTGTCGTCCACCCGGAAAAGGCGTCTGTTTTGTGGTGTTCTCTGGACAACAGAATCGTTAAAACTAATGTCCCAAGTCTCACGATAGATGGTAGAGACGTCAACAGAGAGAGCAAACTGAAGTATCTGCGAATTACATTTGACAGGAGCCTGTCATTTAAGGACCATGTGGAGAGTGTTGTGACGAGATACCAAAAAGGACTTAGTGCACTTAAGACTATGGCTGCAATTGACATAGAGCAGAGAATGCTTTTCACACTATATCAGCACCTGATCCTGTCAGTGATGGATTATGGCCTGGGACTACTTATCATCTCAAAGAGTCATATGGACAAACTAGAGCGCATACAGAAAGCAGCTATGCAGGTCATTCTGGGTTGCATCAGAGACACCCCAGTGGTGTGTGTGCGATAAATCCTTGGTTTGCCGACGGTTGCAGGTAGGCACAAGGTGCTGCAGGTGAAGTCATATCTCAGGGTAGCTGCAGACACAGACCATCCCCTGCATGAAGCTCTGGGTGCAGTTAAGGGTCAGCGGCTGATAAGAGGGAGGTCATGGATGGCTCAGGCAGAAGACACAATCAGACAGGTTTGCACCCTTGAGAACATTAAGCGAGGAGAGGAGTTGGTCAAAGTGCCACCTGAGCAGTCAGACTTGTGTAGAGTCATAATCACGCTGAGCCGGGAATGCAGAGACTGGCCAGCAGGTGCCACAGAGGTGGAAATTCAGCAATTAATTCAAGATAATGCTTGCTCAGAGGATTTGATCATTTACACAGACAGTTCAGTGTCAAGAGGCAAAAGAAGTGCTTGGGGCTTCTTAGCAAACGTTAATGGTCGACGTTTGGTGCAGGAGAGCCTAGCATATGATACCAAAACATCCAGTTTAAGGGTGGAGGTGGTCACTGCAGCTTTCCGCTAGCTAGAGAATACGACAAACACACACACCGTGATTGAACTGATTCAGAAAGCATGCTGAGGAAGATCAGAACTGGTATGCTTCGTGCAGAGTGGCATTCTTTGCTGCAGAGGACACGAGTGAGGAGTATTGTCTGGATTTTTGCGCCGGTGTGTTAGGGAAATAAACAGGCCGACAGACTGGCTGGCTCTGCACAACTTGGTGAAAATACTGCTACATGATAGGGCAGACGTGGTTAGTGCCTTATGGGAGAGCGTGTACAATTCGGAGGAGCAGATGGATCACCACAGTCTGGTGAGATTGATGCAGTTGGGGTTGACGAAAGGATCTGCTGAAGGGGATGGAGCGCTTATGGGAATGCCCCGAGTACTGTGATGTCGGTTCTTGAATCAAATCAAATCAGTCTGACTAAGCTGTTTATCACAGTCTCACTAAGCTGTTTATCACAGTCTCACTAAGCTGTTTATCACAGTCTCACTAAGCTGTTTATCACAGTCTCATTAAGCTGTTTATCACAGTCTCATTAAGCTGTTTATCACAGTCTCACTAAGCTGTTTATCACAGTCTCATTAAGCTGTTTATCACAGTCTCATTAAGCTGTTTATCACAGTCTCATTAAACTGTTTATCACAGTCTCATTAAGCTGTTTATCACAGTCTCATTAAGCTGTTTATCACAGTCTCATTAAGCTGTTTATCACAGTCTGACTTAGCTGTTTATCACAGTCTCATTAAGCTGTTTATCACAGTCTCACTAAGCTGTTTATCACAGTCTCATTACGCTGTTTATCACAGTCTCATTACGCTGTTTATCACAGTCTCATTAAGCTGTTTATCACAGTCTCATTAAGCTGTTTATCACAGTCTCATTAAGCTGTTTATCACAGTCTCATTAAGCTGTTTATCACAGTCTCATTAAGCTGTTTATCACAGTCTCATTAAGCTGTTTATCACAGTCTCATTAAGCTGTTTATCACAGTCTCACTAAGCTGTTTATCACAGTCTCACTAAGCTGTTTATCACAGTCTCACTAAGCTGTTTATCACAGTCTCACTAAGCTGTTTATCACAGTCTAATTAAGCTGTTTATCACAGTCTCATTAAGCTGTTTATCACAGTCTCATTAAGCTGTTTATCACAGTCTCATTAAGCTGTTTATCACAGTCTCATTAAGCTGTTTATCAGTCTCATTAAGCTGTTTATCAGTCTCATTAAGCTGTTTATCACAGTCTGACTAAGCTGTTTATCACAGTCTCATTAAGCTGTTTATCACAGTCTCATTAAGCTGTTTATCACAGTCTCATTAAGCTGTTTATCACAGTCTCATTAAGCTGTTTATCACAGTCTCATTAAGCTGTTTATCACAGTCTCATTAAGCTGTTTATCACAGTCTCATTAAGCTGTTTAATCATCACAGTCTCATTAAGCTGTTTAATCATCACAGTCTCATTAAGCTGTTTATCACAGTCTCATTAAGCTGTTTAATCATCACAGTCTCATTAAGCTGTTTATCACAGTCTCATTAAGCTGTTTAATCATCACAGTCTCATTAAGCTGTTTAATCATCACAGTCTCATTAAGCTGTTTATCACAGTCTCATTAAGCTGTTTATCACAGTCTCATTAAGCTGTTTATCACAGTCTCATTAAGCTGTTTATCACAGTCTCACTAAACTGTTTAATCATCACAGTCTCACTAAGCTGTTTAATCATCACAGTCTCACTAAGCTGTTTAATCATCACAGTCTCACTAAACTGTTTAATCATCACAGTCTCACTAAACTGTTTAATCATCACAGTCTCACTAAACTGTTTAATCATCACAGTCTCACTAAACTGTTTAATCATCACAGTCTCACTAAACTGTTTAATCATCACAGTCTCACTAAGCTGTTTAATCATCACAGTCTCACTAAGCTGTTTCATCATCACAGTCTCACTAAACTGTTTAATCATCACAGTCTCACTAAACTGTTTAATCATCACAGTCTCACTAAACTGTTTAATCATCACAGTCTCACTAAACTGTTTAATCATCACAGTCTCACTAAACTGTTTAATCATCACAGTCTCACTAAACTGTTTAATCATCACAGTCTCACTAAACTGTTTAATCATCACAGTCTCACTAAACTGTTTAATCATCACAGTCTCACTAAACTGTTTTATCATCACAGTCTCACTAAACTGTTTAATCATCACAGTCTCACTAAACTGTTTTATCATCACAGTCTCACTAAGCTGTTTAATCATCACAGTCTCACTAAACTGTTAAATCATCACAGTCTCACTAAACTGTTTAATCATCACAGTCTCACTAAACTGTTTTTTTTATCACAGTCTCACTTCTTCTTCTTCATTTCCTCTTTTACCGCTGTGGGTGTCGAGGGAGATGTAAGGTTCTGTTTCTGGCTCTTCTGGCCGCCTCGACCATAGGCTCATCGTGCTGTTGTAGAGCTTTTCTGATGTTATCCTTCCATCTTGTTCTTGGTCTACATCTTTTCAAATAACATCTGGTTTAAAGCAAGTTGATGCTCTGTGCCAACTTCTTTTCAACTTGACCCCGGAGAAATTTATAAGGAAATTGAAACAAGATTGTACTATAGGAGAAACTACAAGGAAACTTAGATATGCTGATGGCATTGATATCGTTGGAAAAAATGAACTAGAGACTGTTCAAACACTGACTCTCCTAAAAGAATCAGCTCAGAATATGGGACTAGATATCAATCAGGACACAATACATAATAATAACTAGACAGGGAAAGGATATAAACTCCTGTCATACACAAGTCGATAATATTAAAAATTAAACGAACGAAAACATAAGTACTTAGGTGCAAAGTTCAACTGCTCCAACATGCTGAGAGAAGAAATACTATCTAGAATACAATCTCGAAATAAAATATACTATGTCCTTTAACATCTGCTAAAGTCAAAGTGTTTTTCTCAAAACACCAAGATCAAAATATATAAAACGTTAAGACCAGTCGTTTTATATGGCTTTGAAACTTGGAGCACAACTAATAGAGATAAGCGTTATAACATGTTTTAGAAAACATGGTCTTATGACGAATCTTTGGACCCATCAAAGATGCGGGCAGCAGTGAATGGAGAGTGAGAAGCAACAAGGAAATTCATAATCAATTTAAGTCACCACTGATCAATGGCATCATGAGATCTAATAGACTGAAATGGCTGGGGCAGATTGAAAGAATGTCAGATGACAGAGAAGTAAAAACTGTATACACGAGGGAGATTAATGGTCGCAAACCAAGAAGACAATGGAGAGATAATATCCAGACAAAGCTTGCAAAAACTTGGTGTCACCAACTGGAAAGAAAAGGACAAACAGAGAGGTGAATGGGGGCTCGGAATGCTGAAGAAGAAGAAGATAATGCATTATGGACAGAGAAGGCCAACCAGAGAGATGAATGGAGGCAGGTGATATCTTCAACAGTAAACCTCAAGGGCTTGAAATGCTGAAGAAAAAGAAGAAGAAGAATGCATTATCCTTTTATAATCAGATTGTGTGAGAAGTACATATGACTGTGCGATATAAATCTATAAGTATGTGTGTTTGTGCATGAATGGAAATGTATGTTGAGATAGTTGTGTGTGCATGTACCTATGTTGTGTATCTGTGGGTGCTTGTCTCTGTGTAGGTATATGTGTGTGTGTGTGCGTGGGTATTGTGCATGTACCTATGTTGTGTATCTGTGGGTGCTTGTCTCTGTGTAGGTATGTGTGTGTGTGTGTGCATGGGTATTGTGCATGTACCTCTGTTGTGTATCTGTGGGTGCTTGTCTCTGTGTAGGTATATGTGTGTGTGTGCATGGGTATTGTGCATGTACCTCTGTTGTGTATCAGTGGGTGCTTGTCTCTGTGTAGGTATATGTGTGTGTGTGCATGGGTATTGTGCATGTACCTATGTTGTGTATCTGTGGGTGCTTGTCTCTGTGTAGGTATATGTATGTGTGTGCATGGGTATTGTGCATGTACCAGTGTTGTGTATCTGTGGGTGCTTGTCTCTGTGTAGGTATATGTGTGTGTGTGTGCATGGGTATTGTGCATGTACCTTTGTTGTGTATCTGTGGGTGCTTGTCTCTCTGTAGGTATTTGTGTATATTTGTGTGCATGGGTATTGTGTTGTGTATCTGTGGGTGCTTGTCTCTGTGTAGGGATTTGTGTGTATGTGTGTGCATGGGTATTGTGTTGTGTATCTGTGGGTGCTTGTCTCTGTGTAGGTATTTGTGTGTGTATGATTTTTGGGGGTTTACGTATGGGTGTGTTTGAGTATAGGATTGTATGGGTGTGTGTATCTATATGATGTATGAGCGTAACTATGTTTGAGTGTTTGGCATGCTTGGATATTTAACAGAAAATGTAAAAGTGGATATTTAAAAGTGTTCGTACACATGGCTGTATATGTGTATGTATGAATGTTTTAGTGTATATATGTGTATGGACGTGAGTTAGTGTGTGTGCATATGCGCATGCCATTTACCAATCTATGCTTTTGTGTTTACCTTTGATATTCGTATTATGCTCACCTTCAAACCTTCCTCCCATTTTCCACGGTGTGGCCACAGCTCAGTTAAACACAGAAATTTGTGAGTGTTTCCCTGCTAATTCTACTCACTTGACTTAGCTTTGACTCTATACATCATATGGTGAACCCTTTGGGATCCATCCATCATTAAGCGACTCAGTTTGTAACCCTTTTTAAATAAAAAATTGTCCATAATGTCATCAGACACCTGTTTACAACTATACTCTGTAGAGTAAGTAGCCTTTGTTACTGTAAACCCTTTAAGTGACTGCCTGCGTAAGTCTTAGTCCAAGTCCAGTCTGTCTGATCTATGCCTGCGTAAGTCTTAGTCCAAGTCCAGTCTGTCTGATCTAGCAGTGATTAGTAAGGATTATTATCATACCACTCCAGACAGATCCATAGGTGATCTGATCTCTTCAGATTTAGGTTTAAACAACGGATCAACATCATGGCACAAGGGTAGTAGCCCATAAGTGCTCCGTTCTACTTCTAACTCAAACCTGAGTCCAAAGAATCTCAGCGCAGTACACAAACTCTGTCGCACCGGCAAGGATCCTGAAATACTTTGTGTAAATTTTTAACTCCAAATTTTGCCCAGGCAGCGCTGTTAGGCTACTATTTTATATTTCCGACTGCCATGCGCAACTGTACACACGAGCATCCGGTCTTGCTACCCAATGACCAGGAGAAATTAATAGAAGTCTACATGGAAACATCCCAGCCTTCACTGGGGCTTGAACCCGTGACATCCAGCACTCAAGGTGGATGCCATGACTCGAAACCGCGCAACCCCCTCCCAATCTCTTCAAAGCCTCCATACGTGTCAGATGACTGACTGGCCAGAAGACACTCAAGAATGGCAACAGAGCTGACAAGTAAGTGTGTCAGTCATCTCAACCAGCTGGTTTGTTCATGCAGTGTTTGTATGTGTTAGCTCAACTAGCTGGTTCATGCAGGTGTGTAAGTGTGACATGTTTATGTGTAATACATATGTATGTGTAGGCGTGCTTGTGTATCTATGATTCTGTTTGTGTATCAGTGTGTGCATGGGTAATTATGTACTTTTGGGTGTTTTATGTATGTATGGTTCTTTTTGTATGTTTAGGCGTTTGTGTATGTGTGGGTATATTTGAGAATGTATGTATGAGCGAGAGTGCATGTGCGTATGTGTGAGTGTTTGTATGACTTGTGTTGCACGTATGTGTCTATTTCTGTGTGTATGTCTCTATGTATGTATGTGTGTGTGTATCTGCACAAGTGTGTGTGTGTCTACATGTGTAACTGTGTGTCTTTATGCATGAATGCCTGTCTGTATGTATGTTAATGACGTGAGTGTGTGTGTGCGGGCACGCATGAGTATGCACATGCATTTTACCACTAATGCTTTTGTGTCTTTTCACGATATTGATGATATGCATATGATATCAACATACAACTGCTGTGTGAAAGATTGGTGTTTGGGAGGGCGAACGTAAGAAGTGCTAGATGCCCAATTTGTGACCATTTGAAAAGAAAAAGTTTGTTCTCCAACACTCAAGAATCACCTCTTGTGTCTATGTATGACTCCAACACTCAAGAATCACCTCTTGTGTCTATGTATGTTCCCCAACACTCAAGAATCACCTCTTGTGTCTATGTATGTTCTCCAACACTCAAGAATCACCTCTTGTGACTGTATGTTCCCCAGCACTCAAGAATCACCTCTTGTGACTGTATGTTCTCCAGCACTCAAGAATCACCTCTTGTGACTCTGTATGTTCTCCAACACTCAAGAATCACCTCTTGTGACTCTTGTGTTCTCCAACACTCAAGAATCACCTCTTGTTTCTCTCTGTTCTACTACAGACTCCAGAACCCACTGGATGAGGCATCCTTGTCCATGCTGCAGGAGACGGAAGCATTTCTCAAAGCTCAGTTGGCAGCAGAGAATATCGACGAGAGCCTCTCAGTAGCAGGTTCAAACACTGTTACCAGCAACTCCAAGATACTCTACAAGTTGGACTCTGGAGAGCAGATACAGTACAATGTCACTTCAGGTACAGCACAGTGTTACATAATGTACAGTGTATCTGACCAACAACAGTATTTTTGCAGTGTCACATCAGGTACAGTGCCGTGCACGTGTATGATGTGACCTGCAGATCTTCTCCTTAGACATACAGAAGACACTTTGTGTGTGCCGCTCTCTCTGGACAACCAGAAGACTGAGTGTGAGGGGGAGAGAGAGAGATCCTCTCCCTGGACACACAGAAGACAGTGTGTGAGTTATGGAGAGAGAGAGATCCTCTCCCTGGACACACAGAAGACAGTGTGTGAGTTATAGAGAGAGATCCTCTCCCTGGACACACAGAAGATAGTGTGTGAGTTATAGAGAGAGAGAGAGATCCTCTCCCTGGACACACAGAAGATAGTGTGTGAGTTATAGAGAGAGATCCTCTCCCTGGACACACAGAAGATAGTGTGTGAGTTATAGAGAGAGATCCTCTCCCTGGACACACAGAAGATAGTGTGTGAGTTATAGAGAGAGATCCTCTCCCTGGACACACAGAAGACAGTGTGAGAGAGAGAGAGATCCTCTCCCTGGACACACAGAAGATAGTGTGTGAGTTATAGAGAGAGATCCTCTCCCTGGACACACAGAAGACAGTGTGAGAGAGAGAGAGATCCTTTCCCTGGACACACAGAAGACAGTGTGTGAGTTAGAGAGAGAGAGAGATCCTCTCCCTGGACACACAGAAGACAGTGTGAGAGAGAGAGAGAGATCCTCTCCATGGACACACAGAAGATAGTGTGTGAGTTATAGAGAGAGATTCTCTCCCTGGACACAGAGAAGACAGTGTGTGAGTTATAGAGAGAGAGACATCCTCTCCCTGGACACACAGAAGTTAGTGTGTGAGAGAGATCATCTCCCTGGACACACAGAAGTTAGTGTGTGAGAGAGATCATCTCCCTGGACACACAGAAGTTAGTGTGTGAGAGAGATCATCTCCCTGGACACACAGAAGTTAGTGTGTGAGAGAGATCATCTCCCTGGACACACAGAAGACAGTGTGTGAGTTATAGAGAGAGAGAGAGATCCTCTCCCTGGACACACAGAAGATAGTGTGTGAGAGAGATCATCTCCCTGGACACACAGAAGTTAGTGTGTGAGAGAGATCATCTCCCTGGACACACAGAAGACAGTGTGTGAGAGAGATCATCTCCCTGGACACACAGAAGTTAGTGTGTGAGAGAGATCATCTCCCTGGACACAGAAGACAGTGTGTGAGAGAGATCATCTCCCTGGACACACAGAAGTTAGTGTGTGAGAGAGATCATCTCCCTGGACACACAGAAGACAGTGTGTGAGTTATAGAGAGAGAGAGAGAGATCCTCTCCCTGGACACACAGAAGATAGTGTGTGAGTTATAGAGAGAGAGATCCTCTCCCTGGACACACAGAAGATAGTGTGTGAGTTATAGAGAGAGAGAAAGATCCTCTCCCTGGACACACAGAAGATAGTGTGTGAGTTATAGAGAGAGATCCTCTCCCTGGACACACAGAAGACAGTGTGTGAGTTATAGAGAGAGAGAGATCTTCTCCCTGGACACACAGAAGATAGTGTGTGAGTTATAGAGAGAGAGAGATCCTCTCCCTGGACACACAGAAGATAGTGTGTGAGTTATAGAGAGAGAGAGATTCTCTCCCTGGACACACAGAAGACAGTGTGTGAGTTATAGAGAGAGAGAGATGCTCTCCCTGGACACACAAAAGACAGTGTGTGAGTTATAGAGAGAGAGATCATCTCCCTGGACACACAGAAGATAGTGTGTGAGAGAGAGAGAGATCATCTCCCTGGACACACAAAAGACAGTGTGTGAGAGAGAGAGAGATCATCTCCCTGGACACACAGAAGACAATGTGTGAGAGAGAGAGAGATCATCTCCCTGGACACACAGCAGATAGTGTGTGAGGGAGAGATCCTCTCCCTGGACACACAGAAGATAGTGTGTGAGTTATAGAGAGAGAGAGAGATCCTCTCCCTGGACACACAGAAGATAGTGTGTGAGTTATAGAGAGAGAGAGAGATCCTCTCCCTGGACACACAGAAGACAGTGTGTGAGTTATAGAGAGAGAGAGATGCTCTCCCTGGACACACAAAAGACAGTGTGTGAGAGAGAGAGATCATCTCCCTGGACACACAGAAGACAGTGTGTGAGAGAGAGAGAGATCATCTCCCTGGACACACAGAAGATAGTGTGTGAGAGAGAGAGAGATCATCTCCCTGGACACACAAAAGACAGTGTGTGAGAGAGAGAGAGATCATCTCCCTGGACACACAGAAGACAGTGTGTGAGAGAGAGAGAGATCATCTCCCTGGACACACAGAAGATAGTGTGTGAGGGAGAGATCCTCTCCCTGGACACACAGAAGATAGTGTGTGAGGGAGAGATCCTCTCCCTGGACACACAGAAGATAGTGTGTAAGAGAGAGAGAGAGAGAGATCATCTCCCTGGACACACAGAAGATAGTGTGATAGTGTGTAAGAGAGAGAGAGAGATCATCTCCCTGGACACACAGAAGATAGTGTGTGAGGGAGAGAGAGAGAGATCCTCTCCCTGGACACACAGAAGATAGTGTGTGTGTGAGAGAGAGAGATCATCTCCCTGGACACACAGAAGATAGTGTGTGAGTGAGAGAGATCATCTCCCTGGACACACAGAAGAGAGTGTGTGTGGGAGAGGGAGAGAGAGACCCTCTCCCTGGACATACAGAAGATAGTGTGTGAGAAAGAGAGAGAGATCATCTCCCTGGACACACAGAAGATAGTGTGTGAGAAAGAGAGAGAGATCATCTCCCTGGACACACAGAAGAGAGTGTGTGTGGGAGAGGGAGAGAGAGATCCTCTCCCTGGACACACAGAAGATAGTGTGTGTGTGAGAGAGAGAGAGAGAGAGATCATCTCCCTGGACACACAAAAGACTGTGTGTGAGAGAGAGAGAGATTTTCTCCCTGGACACACAGAAGACAGTGTGTGTGAGAGAGAGAGATCTTCTCCCTGGACACAGAAGACTGTGAGGGAGAGAGAGAGAGATCATCTCCCTGGACACACAGAAGATAGTGTGTAAGAGAGAGAGAGAGAGATCCTCTCCCTGGACACACAGAAGATAGTGTATGAGGGAGAGAGAGAGATCATCTCCCTGGACACACAGAAGACAGTGTGTGAGAGAGAGATCATCTCCCTGGACACACAGAAGATAGTGTGTGTGTGAGAGAGAGAGAGAGATCATCTCCCTGAACACACAGAAGATAGTGTGTGTGTGAAAGAGAGAGAGAGATATCATTTCCCTGGACACACAAAAGACTGTGTGTGAGAGAGAGAGAGATTTTCTTCCCTGGACACACAGAAGACAGTGTGTGAAAGAGAGAGAGATCTTTCTTCTTTCTCCCTGGACACAGAAGAAAAGATTTTCTGAGAGAGAGAAAAACTTCATCTTCTCCCTATACACACAGAAGAGAGAGTGTGTGAGAGAGAGAGATCCTCTTTTGGTTTCACAGAAGAGAGTGTTTGAAGAGAGAGATCCTCTCCCTGGACTCACAGAAAGAGAGTGTGTGAGAGAGAGATCATCTCCCTGGACACACATAAGATAGTGTGTGAGAGAGAGAGAGATCATCTTCCTGGACCCACAGAAGACAGTGTGAGAGAGAGAGAGAGAGAGAGAGAGAGAGATCCTCTCCCTGGACACACAGAAGATAGTGTGTTAGAGAGAGAGAGAGATCATCTCCCTGGACACACAGAAGACAGTGTGTGAGAGAGAGAGAGATTTTCTCCCTGGACACACAGAAGACAGTGTGTGTGAGAGAGAGAGATCTTCTCCCTGGACACAGAAAAGACTGAGAGAGAGAGATCATCTTCTCCCTATACACACAGAAGAGAGTGTGTGAGAGAGAGAGATCCTCTCCCTGGACTCACAGAAGAGAGTGTGTGAGAGAGAGATCCTCTCCCTGGACTCACAGAAGAGAGTGTGTGAGAGAGAGATCATCTCCCTGGACACACATAAGATAGTGTGTGAGTTTTTTTTTTTCCTTTCTTCCTGGACCCACAGAAGACAGTGTGAGAGAGAGAGAGAGAGAGAGATCCTCTCCCTGGACACACAGAAGATAGTGTGTGAGAGAGAGAGAGAGATCATCTCCCTGGACACACAGAAGACAGTGTGTGAGAGAGAGAGAGAGAGAGAGATCCTCTCCCTGGACACACAGAAGATAGTGTGTTAGAGAGAGAGAGAGAGATCATCTCCTGGACAAACAAAAGACAGTTTCTGTGTGATCCTGTGTTCAGACAGTTGAAGTTTTTCTCTACATCATAGACCATTTTTGAAGTCACACATTAGACAGTGTCGAGTTAATGGACTTAGAATTCTTTTCTATTTGGTTGCTTCAGATCATCAGTCTTCGGTAACTGCTGCTGGAGACAGGAAGCAGGAAGGTCAAGCCAAGTCCAGGGCACTAGCAAGATCCTCCAGCAGGTCAAGGTCACAGTCTTCATCCAGAAGTTCTTCTAGATCCAGGTCACGGGCCAAAGAGCTGAAGGCAAAGGTCAGCAGGGACAAGAAACAGAGAAGGTTTGGGGTAAGTACACTTGATGCAACTGCTCTAGTGTGTCCCAGAAGTCCTGTGCAACTGCTCTAGTGTGTCCCAGAAGTCCTGTGCGAACTGCTCTAGTGTGTCCCAGAAGTCCTGTGCAAACTGCTCTAGTGTGTCCCAGAAGTCCTGTGCAACTGCTCTAGTGTGTCCCAGAAGTCCTGTGCAACTGCTCTAGTGTGTCCCAGAAGTCCTGTGCAACTGCTCTAGTGTGTCCCAGAAGTCCTGTGCAACTGCTCTAGTGTGTCCCAGAAGTCCTGTGCAACTATACCAATATGTAACTCAGAAACCGTTGGATGTCAGTTGTTGAAATCTGGCATTGCAGCCTGTTCAAAATAATGTCCTTGAGAGTATATTTTTTCTTAAGGTAAGCATTTAGTTTTCATTTTGCCTAATTTGTGGTATTTTAAAAAAAAAAACACCAGTTCAAAGCAGTTGTAACGTGCGTAGGCTTCATTGGAACGAGTGTAAAAGTGACTAGGGGGTGTCGCAATGTAACAAAAGGCATCAACACTTAACATGCCACTGGCCAAGAGTAACACAACATGATGAATGCTGAAGCTGCCAAACGTAGCGGAACGAGAACTCTCTTTAAAAGTTCCATTTGTGTATTGACAATATCGATAATCAACACAATGAGAAATATGCAAGTATTAATTCAACTCGTTCAACCAAAGCTCGCTCGTACATCCATGGACTGATATGTCCTCACGATAGGTCGCAGTCCGACCTTGAGATCCAGACAATCATCTTTGTGTTCAGTTCATCCGTCTGAATCAAATAATGAAGTATACCGGCTAACTGCCGAAATGTAACGTTCACCAGCTTCCTGATGAGGTCTATCTTGGAGTCCCGGGGTAAAACGTCCTCAAGGATCCAACTTTATATAACGTTTGCTTCCGTGGGATCCCGGGGTAAAGCGTCCTCAAGGATCCACACGTCCGTCTCCTTCGGACTATAAACATCGACTGCCTTTGACAACAATACCTTCACAACGTTACGTATTGTTTTGACGTCTTATTTGCTTACTCAGTACCGGTGCGTTCTAGTGCACATTCGCACACGACAGCAGTCAGTCAGCATTCTTACAGTAACTTGAGTCAAATGAGTAAGGGGAATTTATCAAAATATTAGATTGCCCATGTGTCATCGGCGTTTCACTCTCAGGTGGTCATCAACCAGCATTAGATGCCAGAGTCACAGCCTGTGTTGTGTGTGCATTCCTATGCTAGAGGCACAGCCTGTGTTGTGTGTGCATTCCCATGCTAGAGGCACAGCCTGTGTTGTGTGTGCATTCCCATGCTAGAGGCACAGCCTGTGTTGTGTGTGCATTCCCATGCTAGAGGCACAGCATTCAGCTCATTCTCTCATTCACCCTGTTCTCTCCTGTATTTCCCTCATTCACCCAGTTCTATCCTGTATTTCCCTTATTTACCCAGTTCTCCTGTATTTTCCTCATTCATCCTATTCTCTCCTGTATTTCCCTCATTCACCCTGTTCTCTCCTGTATTTCCCTCATTCACCCTGTTCTCTCCTGTATTTCCCTCGTTCACCCTGTTCTCTCCTGTATTTCCCTCATTCATCCTGTTCTCTCCTGTATTTCCCTCATTCACCCTGTTCTTTCCTGTATTTCCCTCAATCACTTAGTTCTATCCTGTATTTCCCTTATTTACCCAGTTTTCTCCTGTATTTCCCATATTTACCCAGTTCTCTCCTGAATTTCCCTCATTCACCCTGTTCTCTCCTGTATTTCCCTCATTCATCCTGTTCTCTCCTGTATTTCCCTCATTCATCCTGTTCTCTCCTGTATTTCCCTCATTCACCCTGTTCTTTCCTGTATTTCCCTCATTCACCCTGTTCTTTCCTGTATTTCACTCAATCACCCTGTTCTCTCCTGTATTTCCCTCATTCACTTTGTTCTCTCCTGTATTTCCCTCATTCATCCTGTTCTCTCCTGTATTTCCCTCAATCACCCTGTTCTCTCCTGTATTTCCCTCATTCACCGGGTTCTTCCTTGTTTGCCCCATGTTATTATCTTCTGTTATTCACTGCATGTTCTTCTTTAGAGTCCGTGTTGTGTGGCGTTGGTAGTCATGTCTATCCACATGTTCTTCTTTAGAGTCCCGTGTTGTGTGGCGTTGGTAGTCATGTCTATCCTCGTGTTCTTCTTTAGAGTCCGTGGTGTTGGTAGTCATGTCTATCCACATGTTCTTCTTTAGAGTCCGTGTTGTGTGGCGTTGGTAGTCATGTCTATCCTCGTGTTCTTCTTTAGAGTCCGTGTTGTGTGGTGTTGGTAGTCATGTCTATCCTCGTGTTCTTCTTTAGAGCCCGTGTTATGTGGCGTTGGTAGTCATGTCTATCCACATGTTCTTCTTTAGAGTCCATGTTGTGTGGCGTTGGTAGTCATGTCTATCCTCGTGTTCTTATTTAGAGTCCGTGTTGTGTGGCGTTGGTAGTTATGTCTATCCACATGTTCTTCTTTAGAGTCCATGTTGTGTGGCGTTGGTAGTCATGTCTATCCTTGTGTTCTTCTTTAGAGTCCGTGTTGTGTGGCGTTGGTAGCCATGTCTATCCACATGTTCTTCTTTAGAATCCGTGTTGTGTGGCGTTGGTAGCCATGTCTATCCTCGTGTTCTTCTTTAGAGTCCGTATTGTGTGGCGTTGGTAGTCGTGTCTATCCTCGTGTTCTTCTTTAGAGTCCATGTTGTGTGGCGTTGGTAGTCATGTCTATCCACATGTTCTTCTTTAGAGTCCGTGTTGTGTGGCGTTGGTAGTCATGTCTATCCTCAGTGTCTTCTGTCTCATGTACTTTCAATCAACTCTGACACCGATGATCTTTCATGCCATGATGCTAGACTGTCCAACATCTGTTTTTTCAGTCTCCCCTATGATGTACTTCAGTTTTCTCCTTCTCATCACATGACCAAAGAATGTAGATTGTCTCTTTCTAATGTGTGCAATCAGTTTTCTTCGTGATCCAGTTTCTTCATTACTCTGTTTATCTGTAAACGGTATTCTCATCCTTCATCTGTTTATCTGTAAACGGTATTCTCATCCTTCATCTGTTTATCTGTAAACGGTATTCTCATCCTTCATCTGTTTATCTGTCAACGGTATTCTCATCCTTCATCTATAAAACCACATCTCTGTTTTCGCTAGTTTAATAACTGTGTATGATTCACACCTGTATATCAATATAGGATTTAAATAGCTTTTAAGAATTCTCTTTCTCGTCTCAGTTGACTAAGAAAGATTGCATAAAAAATTCTTCATTTGCTTGAGCTATTTGACATTTAACTTCTTTAATACATCTTCCTTCTGATGTTATCAGGGTACCCAAGTACTTAAACATATTAGTTTGCTTGAGCTATTCGACATTTAACTTCTTTATAATACATCTTCCCTCTGATGTTATCAGGGTACCCAAGTTCTTAAACATATCAGCTTGCTTGAGCTATTCGACATTTAACTTCTTTAATACATCTTTCATTTGATGTTATCAGGGTACACAAGTACTTAAACATATCAGCTTGCTTGAGCTATTCGAAATTTAACTTCTTTAATACATCTTCCGTCTGATGTTATCAGGGAACCCAAGTACTTAAACATATCAGCTTGCTTGAGCTATTCGACATTTAACTTCTTTAATACATCTTCCGTCTGATGTTATCAGGGAACCCAAGTACTTAAACATATCAGTTTGCTTAAGCTATTCGACATTTAACTTCTTTATAATACATCTTCCGTCTGATGTTATCAGGGAACCCAAGTACTTAAACATATCAGCTTGCTTGAGCTATTCGACATTTAACTTCTTTAATACATCTTCTATCTGATGTTATCAGGGAACCCAAGTACTTAAACATATCAGCTTGCTTGAGCTATTCCACATTTAACTTCTTTAATACATCTTCCATCTGATGTTATCAGGGAACCCAAGTACTTAAACATATCAGCTTGCTTGAGCTATTCCACATTTAACTTCTTTAATACATCTTCCATCTGATGTTATCAGGGAACCCAAGTACTTAAACATATCAGCTTGCTTGAGCTATTCGACATTTAACTTCTTTAATACATCTTCCATCTGATGTTATCAGGGTACCCAAGTACTTAAACATATCAGCTTGCTTGAGCTATTCGACATTTAACTTCTTTATAATACATCTTCCGTCTGATGTTATCAGGGAACCCAAGTACTTAAACATATCAGCTTTCTTGAGCTATTCAACATTTAACTTCTTTAATACTTCTTCTATCTGATGTTATCAGGGAACCCAAGTACTTAAACATATCAGTTTGCTTGAGGTATTCGACATTTAACTTCTTTAATACATCTTCCCTCTGATGTTATCAGGGTACCCAAGTACTTAAACATTTCAGCTTGCTTGAGCTATTCGACATTTAACTTCTTTAATACATCTTCCCTCTGATGTTATCAGGGTACCCAAGTACTTAAACATATCAGCTTGCTTGAGCTAAATGTGTCTGTACTCACATACAGGCATTGTTAAGTGTCTGTACTCACATACAGGCATTGTTAAGTGTCTGTACTCACATACAGGCATTGTTATGTGTTGCCGGTCTGTACCGACATACAGGCATTATTCTCTGTTGCGTGTCTGTACTCACATACTGGCATTGTTCTGTGTTACGTGTCTGTACACACATACAGGCATTGTTCTGTGTTGCATGTCTGTACACACATACAGGCATTGTTCTATGTTGCATGTCTGTACACACATACAGGCATTGTTCTATGTTACATGTCTGTCCTCACATACAGGCATTGTTCTATGTTACATGTCTGTCCTCACATACAGGCATTGTTCTATGTTGCATTTCTGTACACGCATACAGGCATTGTTCTATGTTACGTGTCTCTACTCACAAACAGGCATTGTTCTGTTGCGTGTCTGTACTCACATACAGGCATTGTTCTATGATGCGTGTCTATACTCACATACAGGCCTTGTTCTATGTTGCATGTATGTACACACATACAGGCATTGTTTTATGTTGCATGTCTATACTCACATACAGGCCTTGTTCAATGTTGCATGTCTGTACACACATACAGGCATTGTTCTATGTTGCATGTCTGTACTCACATACAGGCATTGTTCTATGTTGTGTGTCTGTACTCACATCCAGGCATTGTTTTATGTTGCGTGTCTGTACTCACATACAGGCATTGTTCTATGTTGCGTGTCTGTACTCACATACAGGCATTGTTTTATGTTGCGTGTCTATACTCACATACAGGCCTTGTTCTATGTTGCATGTCTGTACACACATACAGGCATTGTTCTATGTTGCATGTCTGTACACACATACAGGCATTGTTCAATGTTACATGTCTGTACTCACATACAGGCATTGTTCTATGTTGCATGTCTATACTCACATACAAGCCTTGTTCTATAATTGCATGTCTGTACACACATACAGGCATTGTTCAATGTTACATATCTGTACTCACATACAGGCATTGTTCTATGTTGCGTGTCTGTACTCACATCCAGGCATTGTTCTATGTTACATGTCTGTACTCACATACAGGCATTGTTCTATGTTGTGTGTCTGTACTCACATCTAGGCATTGTTTTATGTTGCGTGTCTGTACTCACATACAGGCATTGTTCTATGTTGCGTGTCTGTACTCACATACAGGCATTGTTTTATGTTGCGTGTCTATACTTACATACAGGCCTTGTTCTATGTTGCATGTCTGTACACATACAGGCATTGTTCTATGTTGCATGTCTATACTCACATACAGGCCTTGTTCTATGTTGCGTGTCTGTACTCACATACAGGCATTGTTCTATGTTGCGTGTCTGTACTCACATACAGGCATTGTTCTATGTTACATGTCTGTACTCACATACAGGCATTGTTCTGTGTCTGTATTCACTTGCAGGTATTCTTCTATGTTTATTTTATTTTTTTAATGGATCAACATCATGGGACACAGTTGTGACCTATAAGTTCTCCGTTCTACTTCTAACTCCAGCCTGAGTCTGAAAAATCTCAGTTGTGAGGATCCTGAAATACTTTTATTTTGTACTTCAAATTTTGCCCGGGCGGCTCCGTTAGGCTACTCTTTTTTTTTTAAATTTCCAACTGCCAAGGTATTTTTTTTCTACATGCTCAGCAAAACACACTGGCTACAGTAGGCTACACTGGCTACAGTAGGCTACACTGTCTTACTATCCAGAGACCAGGGGAAATTACTAGAAGGTTACGTCAAAAAATCCCCGCCCTAACTAGGGTTTGAATCCAGGACCTCCAGCACTCGAGGCAGATGCCATACCTGTTATTCTGTGTTGCATGTCTGTACTCACATTCAGGCATTGCTCAGTGTTGTGTGTCTGCACTCACATATGGGCATTGCTCAGTGTTGTGTGTCTGTACTCACATACAGGCATTGTTCTATGTTACGTGTCTGTACTCACATACAGGCATTGCTCAGTGTTGTGTGTCTGCACTCACATACGGGCATTGCTCAGTGTTGTGTGTCTGCACTCACATACAGGCATTGCTCAGTGTTATGTGTCTGCACTCACATACTGGCATTGCTCAGTGTTATGTGTCTGTACTCACATACATGCATTGCTCAGTTTTATGTGTCTGCACTCACACACAGACATTGCTCAGTGCTATGTGTCTGTACTCACATACAGTAGGCTACTATTCTTTATATGATATGTGTACTCATTCTCCTACAGGGACAGATGAAGTGGGAGCCTCCTTTAGAACCTGAAGATGCTGACAGAGATCCTGAGCTGTCACAGGTGAGAGATTCTTGTGTGTGTTTTGGTACTTTTTGTACTGTCACTTGCAGGCTGGAATGTCTCTTATAGGGTACTTTTTTTGGGCTGTCTCCTAAAGGCTACCTTCTGGTCTGCCTTGTGGACTGTCTCTTATGGTCTATCTTTTGGACTGTCTTGTATGGTCTGTCATTTGGATTATCTCTTGTGGGCTACCTTTTGGACTCTTACAGGTTGCCTTCAGGACTGTCTTTAGCGGGCTGAGTTTTGGATTGTCTGGTTAATTGCCTTTTGGACTGTCTCTTGCAGGCTGTCTTTTGGACCCTCTCTTGCAGGCTGTCTTTGGACCCTCTCTTGCAGGCTGTCTTTTGGACCCTCTCTTGCAGGCTGTGAAAATTGTGCTGCAGTGTTTCAGACATAATTTGTTTCATGACCAAGTAGTTGCAACATCCTGTATGTTTTCTTTTGCAACTGCATGTGTGTATGTTTCTTCTTCTTCTGCGTTTGACATCAGTCATGCTAAACATTGAGTACCATCTGGGTCACAAATAAGATAGTGCATTTAAGGTCGCCACCGGTCCCCCATAGCTTCTCTTGCAATGTGGCTCCCTTGGGCCAGATCCACAGTCTTTGCTGGGAGAGGTTAGGGCAGTACTGTAGTATGTGCTCAGGGGTCTGTCTTTTTGCTCCATAGTCACAGGCAGCAGATTCTTTTATACCCATCCTGTACAGGTGTGCTCGAAGACCACAGTGTCCAGTCCTAAAAATTGATGTTTGTTCTTTCCTGTTGAGTATGTTTATGCTGTCACTCTCTGGTCTGTAATCTCCATTCTGCCTTCTCCACTCCTGCCTTCTTTACTTGTAGCTGTGTGGTGGATGAGGTTGTGGAAGATTACTCCCAGCTTTTGCCAACCCATCTGCTCTCTCATTTCCTTGAATACCACAGTGGGCTGGTATCCACTGCAAGATCAGTTCTGCTTCCTTGGAGAGTAAGCCAATGTTGGTCCTTAGATCTGCAATTAGTTTAGCTTGTTTTTTGCTTGATAGTGCTTGGAGAACAGACAATGAGTCACTAAGTATAACCATTTTGTGCCCTCTGCATTCTTGAGTGATGAGATGTTGGACTGCAGAGAAAGAGAGCAGTTGCCTCAGCTCTGAAGTTAGTGCAGATGTCACCTGCTGGTAGAGAGAGAGTTTCTGCTCTACTGTTAGGGGGTTTAATGAATATTCCACAACTCTCCTTTCTGACTGCTTCTGTAGCAGAGCTGTCGCTGAAAACCTGGGTCCAAGTGGTGTTTGTATACTTCTCATCAAGCATAGCAAGAGCCAGGGTTCTCTGTTGTCTCCATCTGGGCACCTTTTGAAATGATCCCTGGTACCTTTAGGACTACATTTGCCTTCTCTGGCTTGCTGGTCCATGGTTCTGGCCTAATTTTTTCGCACAGTGCTACATCTCTTTCAAGCAGATCTCGGTGCGGTCTGTACAGTTCTCTAGCAAGGTGGTTGGGGCTCTGACGCTTCAGTCTTCTTTTTCTTCTTCATTCACCGGCTGTGAATTCCGGCAGAAGGTCCAGGTTAATCGTCCGCTTGGACTTTTGGCTTTTACCTGGACCTGAGTTTTGCATGTACAACCGTTTTGTTGTTCCCTGCCTCACGGGCAGATGTACTCCGACTTTGAGGGAAGACGTCAGGCCTATTTCTAGGATGACTGCGGCAATTTTTTTTGTGTGGGTCTAGGCGTTGCCTGATTTGTGTGATGTCCTCTTTGTCGCCTTCTCCGCAGGTGTTGCCTTTGGGGTAGCCCCTTGTGGAACGGTTAGCCCTCAAGGGAAGGCAGGGGCAGATCATGGGCATTCCCGGCCATCCAAGGAGGTTTCCATGTATGCAGAGCCGGCACATGGCGCTCTGATTCTGGGCTCACCCAAGGAATCATAACGTCCTGCACATAACTGCTTAACCTCATAACCGTATAAGGCCTCCCGCTCGACAAGGGCTGCGCCCTCCGGAGATCAGCGGGGAGCAGCCCGCGGGTTCTGGACTTTGTGACCACACGAATAGGTACATTCTTTTTCTTCGCACGTTAGATATCTTTGACGAGCTGTTAGCATGACAGAATTTAACATCCTGCGTCAGGCATATCGTTATCTGTTTGGTCCCAACACTCGGGCGAGTGGGGTCTTTGGGTGTGGACATTTGGATTTTTTCCCATTCAATACGATTTGTGATGGTCGGAATTTTGAACTTACTCGTGTGCTGTAGGATCTAGTTTTGTCGGACATTTAGGCTTAGCCAGCCAGTGGGCTGTTGCTGTTGTGGTGTACCTCAGCGCGGTGACGACGACACTGAGGGTTAACAGAGGATGTACATGGGTAGAATCTTGCTGCGAGACGATACCCCCAGGAGATGTTACTCGTCTGTGCTGCGGGTAAATCTCTCGGTCAAGGGTTGAGTCTCAGCAGAACAATGTTCTCTTCACTCCCCAAACTTTTAACCAAGTGTTGTAATTTTAGTTGTACATTTGGCATGCACTTTACTCATGTTCCTAATGAGTTTTGATAACCTTTTTCACCCAAGCGTTTGGGGGCGGGCTGATGAGAGCCACAAGGACACATCACCTCTGAGGGCCGCCAACTCCGAGATCCCCTGACAGCTCTGTTAATGCTCATTTGAGACATTATCCGTGGCGCACGACGAGGACGTGCTGCAGGTGTCTTGCGTGAGGTTCCGTAAAACCAGAGCAGTGAATTACTGGCGCCCGAGTGACGTACAGAGTATCTCCTTATACACATCATGTTGGACTTAACTTTCCCTCACGCCTGTGATCTAAATCACCACGCCACACGCTTCAGTCTGTTTTTTTTTTTGTTCTCTCTTGAAATTTAAAATGCAGTGAGTGACTTTGAAGTCTTTTTTAATTTCTCATACTGTAAAAGAGTTTTGAATTGTCTTCTGGGTTCGAGTGATTCAATATCTGCTATCCTTTCTATCTCTCTGATGGGGGTGGTTTTCATGGCTCCGAGAACAATCCTTAATCCCATATTCTGAACCGTGTCCAGTTTTATCATTTTTGTCTTGGCTGCTGCAACCCATGCAGTGGAGGCATAATCCATGACTGGCCTGACTGCTCCAGTACATACGTTTCAGGATTCTAGAGTTAGCGCCCCATGTGGTACCCGCAAATTTTTTTCATCACTGCAAGCTTCTTGAATGCTTTCCCCTGTACTGCTTCTACATGTGACTTCCAAGTTAGTCATGAATCAAGTGTAACGCCAAGAAATGTAGGAGTGTTAGTATGTGGAATGAGATGGTGTTTTATCCAGATTTAGATTTTTTTTTTGGGGGGGGAGAAAAAGAAAAGTGATGCTTTGCTTTTTGAATTATTTAGCTTTAGACCCCACTTTTCGGTCCAGGCTTCTACATTTTCCACAGTTTTCTGTGACAGATATGAGGCTGTGGTAGTGTATTTGGAGGCTGTCCAACATGCAAAGTCATCGGCATGTAATGTATTAGAAACGTGCTGGTGGCAGGTTACTGTGATATCATTTATGTGTGTATGTATATTTACACACACACACACTATTTTCACTTTAAACTGGACACTTCTCAAACCACCTTGGACATTTTTCAAATCAAGCTGGATGATCTTTAAAGTACCTTGTAAGTTTTTCAAACCAAATTGAACAATTTTTAAACCACCTAGAACATTTTTCAGATCGCACTGAACAATTTTCAAACCATCTAGGACTGACTACGGTCTGGGCCTCCTCACTGTCAGCAGAACCCAGCTAGAAAAGACTGGACCGGGTACAAAATGAGGCCATGATGCTCATACTCGGCTGCACCAAAGACACCTCCTGCAAATCCATGCTTTATGTCCTGGGTTTGCCGACGATGGCTAACAGACACAAAGTCGCACAGGTAAAGGCATACATGAGGGTATCAGCAGACATGAACCACCCACTGTATATAGCTATACATGACACAGAAGGAATGCATGTCAAGGCTCTGCAGGGATCAGGTTCTTGTGGCCATAAACACAAAGGTAAGGGCACTGATACATTAGCATTCAGACCCAGAAGCTATCATCATCTACACAGATGGATCCGTAAAGTGAGGATCAAGGTCAGCATGGGCACACAGCCCAAAAATCGGGAAAATAATACACGAGGACAGCAATACTTACCAGACAACCAGGTCAGGCATGACAATGGAGATAGCCGCTGCTTCTAGAACACTAGCATGGTTATCTGAGCCAGACATGCAGTCATTGTTTCCATGACTCCTTGAGCATGTTTCAGAAGAAAGCAACAGGCCGTATGCCCTCTGAATGGGTAGAAAGCATTCGAAAATCCCTTACCTGGATCGACACATCTGGTCATGCGGGCATACCAACTTGCAAACAATGCACCAACTCATGTGGGAAGAAGCATGGACAGAGCAAATATAGTCAACGCTGTACGGACTGGGCTGGTGGATAATGGGAATCCCTGACACTAACACGATTGCGTGACATGGAAGTGAAGCAGCATGCCGTCTTCGAGATAGGAGACAATATAACCAGCTTTTCATGGGAACAATTAGTAGGACTGAGCATGCATGGGAATGCCCAGTGTGCAGTGACGTCGATTGTGATAACAAAACATATGCTTCAGATTCACCACCCCTGTCATGTGATCTCACAGTTCTGTCCTTTACATTCACCGCCCCTGTCATGTGATCTCACAGTTCTGTCCTTCACATTTACCACCCCTGTCATGTGATCTCACAGTTCTGTCCTTCACATTCACCACCCCTGTCATGTGATCTCACAGTTCTGTCCTTCACATTCACCACCCCTGTCATGTGATCTCACAGTTCTGTCCTTCACATTCACCACCCCTGTCATGTGATCTCACAGTTCTGTCCTTCACATTCACCGCCCCTGTCATGTGATCTCACAGTTCTGTCCTTCACATTCACCGCCCATGTCATGTGATCTCACAGTTCTGTCCTTCACATTCACCGCCCCTGTCATGTGATCTCACAGTTCTGTCCTTCACATTCACCGCCCCTGGCATGTGATCTCACAGTTCTGTCCTTCACATTCACCGCCCCTGCCATGTGATTTCACAGTTCTGTCCATCACATTCGCCACCCCTGTCATGTGATCTCACAGTTCTGTCCATCACATTCGCCACCCCTGTCATGTGATCATATATTGCTACTCCATGGCAGGCGCTGAATGCTAGTGTAAAAGACCAGGAGAAGACCACTATGGAGGAAAGTCCAGGCATACATATTAAGACACCAGCATTACCTCCCGCTAGAGAAAGTAATACAGAAGACACACGAGCTTGTTAAGTGAGTAAAAGGGAATGACAGATGTCTGCTGAGTGTTTTTGTTTTGTGTGTTGTTGATCGTACCACTGTGAGATGTCTGCTGGTGGTTGTTTTCTGTGTTGTTGATCGTACCACTGTGAGATGTCTGCAGTTTGTTGTTTTCTATGTTGTTGATCGTACGACTGTGAGATGTCTGCCGGTGGTTGTTTACTTTGTTGTTGATCGTACCACTGTGAGATGTCTGCAGTTTGTTGTTTTCTGTGTTGTTGATCGTACCACTGTGAGATGTCTGCCGGTGGTTGTTTTCTGTGTTGTTGATCGTACGACTGTGAGATGTCTGCAGTTTGTTGTTTTCTGTGTTGTTGATCGTACCACTGTGAGATGTCTGCAGTTTGTTGTTTTCTGTGTTGTTGATCGTACCACTGTGAGATGTCTGCCGGTGTTGTTTTCTGTGTTGTACCACTGTGAGATGTCTGCAGTTTTGTTGTTTTCTGTGTTGTTGATCGTACCACTGTGAGATGTCTGCTGGTGGTTGTTTTCTGTGTTGTTGATCGTACTACTGTGAGATGTCTGCTGGTGGTTGTTTTCTGTGTTGTTGATCGTACCACTGTGAGATGTCTGCTGTTTGTTGTTTTCTGTGTTGTTGATCGTACCACTGTGAGATGTCTGCAGTTTGTTGTTTTCTGTGTTGTTGATCGTACCACTGTGAGATGTCTGCTGGTGGTTGTTTTCTGTGTTGTTGATCGTACCACTGTGAGATGTCTGCTGTCTGCAGTTTGTGGTGTTGTTGTTTCTCTGTTTTCTGAATTGTTTGTTGATCGTACCACTGTGAGATGTCTGCTGGTGGTTGTTTTCTGTGTTGTTGATCGTACCACTGTGAGATGTCTGCAGTTTTTTTGTTTTCTGTGTTGTTGATCGTACCACTGTGAGATGTCTGCAGTTTATTGTTTTCTGTGTTGTTGATCGTACCACTGTGAGATGAGTTGTTGATCGTACCACTGTGTATGTTGATCGTACGACTGTTGTCTGCAGTTTGTTTTTTTTGTTTTCTGTGTTGTTGTGATCGTACCACTGTGAGATGTCTGCTGGTGTTGTTTTTTTGTTTACGACTGTGAGATGTCTGCAGTTTGTGTTGTGGATCGTACCACTGTGAGATGTATGCTTTGTATTGTTTTCTGTGTTTTTGATCGTACCACTGTGAGATGTCTGCAGTTTTTTTGTTTTCTGTGTTGTTGATCGTACCACTGTGAGATGTCTGCAGTTTATTGTTTTCTGTGTTGTTGATCGTACCACTGTGAGATGTCTGCAGTTTGTTGTTTTCTGTGTTGTTGATCATGTCTGCAGTTTGTTGTGAGATGTCTGTGAGATGTCTGCAGTTTTTTTTTTGTTGTTGATTACCACTCTGTGTTGTTGATCTGTTGTTGATCGTGTATGAGAGATGTATGCTTTGTATTGTTTTCTGTGTTGTTGATCATACATCTGTGAGATGTCTGCTGTTTGTTGTTTTCTATGTTGTTCATCTGTAAGATGTCAAACTGTTGAAGTGATTGTGTGGAAAATAGATCATTGAAGTATCTGTATGGAAGATAGATTATTGAAGTGTTTGTGTGAAAGATAGATCATTGAAGTGTTTGTGTGGAAGATAGATCATTGAAGTGTTTGTGTGGAAGATAGATCATTGAAGTGTTTGTATGAAAGATAGATCATTGAAGTGTTTGTGTGGAAGATAGATCATTGAAGTGATTGTGTGGAAGATAGATCATTGAAGTGTTTGTGTGGAAGATAGATCATTAAAGTGTTTGTGTGGAAGCCAGATCATTGAAGTGATTGTGTGGAAGATAGATCATTGAAGTATTTGTGTGGAAGATAGATCATTGAAGTATTTGTGTGGAAGCTAGATCATTGAAGTGATTGTGTGGAAGATAGATCATTGAAGTATTTGTGTGGAAGATAGATCATTGAAGTATTTGTGTGGAAGCTAGATCATTGAAGTATTTGTGTGGAAGCTAGATCATTGAAGTGTTTGTGTGGAAGATAGATCATTAAAGTATTTGTGGGGAAGATAGATCATTGAAGTGTTTGTGTGGAAAATAGATCATTGAAGGGAAATTATACATTGAGTGGACCTCCATCTGCCTAGCACTAGGGAAATTATACATTGAGTGGACCTCCATCTGCCTAGAACTAGGGAAATCATACATTGAGTGGACCTCCATCTGCCTAGAACTAGGGAAATCATACATTGAGTGGACCTCCATCTGCCTAGAACTAGGGAAATTATACATTGAGTGGACCTCCATCTGCCTAGAACTAGGAAAATTATACATTGAGTGGACCTCCATCTGCCTAGAACTAGGGAAATCATACATTGAGTGGACCTCCATCTGCCTAGAACTAGGGAAATCATAAATTAATGGACCTCTATCTGCCTAGAACTAGGAAAATTATACATTGAGTGGACCTCCATCTGCCTAGAACTAGGGAAATCATACATTGAGTGGACCTCCATCTGCCTAGAACTAGGGAAATCATACATTGAGTGGACCTCCATCTGCCTAGAACTAGGGAAATCCAACATTGAGTGGACCTCCATCTGCCTAGAACTAGGGAAATCATACATTGAGTGGACCTCCATCTGCCTAGAACTAGGGAAATCCAACATTGTGTGGCCTAGAACTAGGGAAATCCAACATTGAGTGGCCTAGAACTAGGGAAATCCAACATTGAGTGGCCTAGAACTAGGGAAATCCAACATTGAGTGGCCTAGAACTAGGGAAATCATACATTGAGTGGCCTAGAACTAGGGAAATCCAACATTGAGAAGGTATTGTATAATTGTTAATTGGATGCTGCCATGATCTAACAGCTGTTCGCTCGCCTGCAGATTGTAAGTTCCTGGGTTCCGTTTCTAGCGAAGACTGGGTCAAACATGACTTTGGCTCCCAGGTCGACCCAACCTTGAGCTGGTACCAGGTACGGTCCTGGGAAGTAAAGGTGGCTGGTGTGATGCTGACCACATCAACCACCAAGTGCCGTTTGGTCTATCAAATATAGGTCTAGCCCTATATGCCCAGTGGAAAAGGGTCCTTGACTTTTATCATTGGTAATTCTCTAGTGGGCATCTCATTGTTGTTTGTGGGGGTCTGTGAGTCACTTTGTGTCTTCATGTCATTTATTTGTTTCAGGCAGAAACATCAGAATACACCACTGGAGAATGCCCCCCGGCTGGCTGTGAGAAGGTCAAGTTCATCATCGCCATCACCAGCCCGAGATAAACATAGATCTAGATCACACTCTAGTTCCAGATCTGTGTCACATTCCAGATCTGGCTCAGAGTCGCCGTCCCATTTGAGGGCATCACTTCTGGAGCAGAAGAGACACAAGGCCAGTATGGGAGAAGAAAACATTCGGACAGAGCCAGGAGAAAATGGAGGGAGAGCAGCTGTGAATGAGGAGAGACAAATAAGTGTTGGAAGCAGAGATGTAATCAATGAAGACGGCCAGCTGGCTGGTGGAGAGAAGAGACCAGCCCAGGATCTGGATAGAGACAGGTCTAGGTCATCGTCATCATCACCAGAGCCTCCCCCTGTCATACCTCGGGTACATCGATCCCACTCCTCATCTGCCAGCCTTGCTGAACTTCCCCCTGGCCAGACTGAACTTTCTGCGGAAACTGTAGCTGCAGGTGAAACTGTTGTGCCTGAGACTTCAGATGCAGTATCTGCTTTACCTTCTGATGGCTGTGTTCAGTCCCCGCAGCATCCAGCAGACACTCCACAAGACAGCTGTGGAGACACCAGTGTTCCATGTGTGGGCATGCAGGATTCAGCTAGGCTGCTGTCAGATATGCCACTGGATGCCATATCTGATCCTCACACCTCAGTTCTTGTACGACCACCTCCATTGCCACCATTACCAGGATCCTTGTCTGCTCCAGCACTGCCCCCTGTACCCATTGATAGACCTGTGTCCACTTCTGCTCCAGCCTTGCCCCCTGTACCCATTGATAGACCTGTGGCCACTTCTGCTCCAGCCCTGCCTCCTGTACCCATTGATAGACCTGTGTCCACTTCTGCCGCTGTGGCTGCAGCCCCTGTACCAATTGATAGGCCAGTGTCTACTTCTGTCCCAGCTCAACCACCTGTACCCAGGGACTTGTCTGAAATTAAGTCTATCCCCATGCCTCCATTGGACCACAAAGAGGCGGTGTTGGCTGCAGCAACACTGGACCCTCTGCAGCTGGCTAATGTCCCCTTACCAGCAGATCTCGGCACCAGCTTGGACAAAGCTTGCAAGAAATGTACCAGTATAACAGACTTGGAGACAGCAGCAGACTGCAACAAACCCCTCTCAGCACAGACTCTTGCGGACACTACTGAGGCTAGCAGAGCTTCACAAATCCCAGCAGAAAGAAGGTCCAGGAGAAGTGGCAGTCAGTCAGATCAATCTAGGGGATCATCTTCATCTTCTTCATCGTCAGGAAAGAGAACAAGGAGAGTTGTTCCTGCCAGTAACAAGCCTAATGACAAGGATAGTGAGAAGACTGTTGACTCACAGATGCAACATACAACAGATACAAATAGAGAAACAACAAAGAAACACACCAAGGAGGCTGCCTCAAATAAATCATCAAAGTCCTTGGAAACAGCAGCAGCTGCAAAATCCAAACATTCAGAGAAAACAGCATCTATTGATCAGGAAAGTTCTAGATCAAAAAGACCTAGTAGCTCCTCCGTTCGCAGTAAAAAACAATCCAAGAGTCGTTCCCGGTCACAGGATAAGAAGGCTCACAAGAGGTCACCAACATCAGTCAGTAGGCGAAGGTCATCTTCAAGGAGAGACAGAAGAACTCCCCATAAACGCAGGAGTAAGTCACGCTCACCGCGAAGGAGAACTCCACCAAGGTATTCACTGATGTCCTTGAACATATGCATGGCATTTTGTCTGTCCATCTGTAAGTGTATCACATCTCACTATTGTCTGTCCATCTATAAGTGTATCACCTCTCACTGTGTTGTCTCTCCATCTGTAGGTGTATCACCTCTCACTATTGTCTGTCCATCTGTAAGTGTATCACATCTCACTATTGTCTGTCCATCTGTAGGTGTATCACATCTCACTATTGTCTGTCCATCTGTAGGTGTATCACCTCTCACTATTGTCTGTCCATCTGTAGGTGTATCACATCTCACTATTGTCTGTCCATCTGTAGGTGTATCACATCTCACTATTGTCTGTCCATCTGTAGGTGTATCACATCTCACTGTATTTGTCTGTCCATCTATAAGTGTATCACCTCTCACTGTATTGTCTGTCCATCTGTAGGTGTATCACCTCTCGCTATTGTCTGTCCATCTATAAGTGTATCACCTCTCACTGCATTGTCTGTCCATCTGTAGGTGTATCACATCTCACTGTATTGTCTGTCCATCTGTAGGTGTATCTCCTCTCACTATTGTCTGTCAATCTGTAGGTGTATCACCTCTCGCTATTGTCTGTCCATCTATAAGTGTATCACATCTCACTATTGTCTGTCCATCTGTAAGTGTATCACCTCTCACTGCATTGTCTATCCATCTATAAGTGTATCACCTCTCACTGTATTGTCTGTCAATCTGTAAGTGAATCACTTGTCACTGTACTGTCTTTGATTGTTTGCCTAAAGCCACAGGAGAAATCACTGTGCCAATAATTTCAGTGACAAGAAAACAATCCTGTATCTTTCTGTAGGTCTGCCTGGCCATCCCGCAGAAGTGGACGCTATGACAGGTCGCCGCCCCTTAGACGAAGGTCAGTAATCATGTGAAATGTGTTGTTAAGGCTTTATACATCTACAATATACTATTTCTACAAATGTTACATCTACACCCTTCTTAGGGCAGTTAACCACCATTAGGCTAGGTCTGGCAATCAGCTCTCTCCTGTAGCTCCCAGCAGCTGTCAGCATGCTACAGTGGCCACCACCTGGGCAACAGCTTTGACGGGCTGGCTAAACCAGGAGAGGGTAGCCGACCTGGTTCTAAACCACTCAGGGATTGGGATGCCTACCCTGCATGCAAATACGGCTGCGGATTGTGTGGATAACACCTCTTGTTGGTTCAACGAACATCTCTACAAATGTTGCAGTCTACACTCACATGTGCTGTCTCCACAAATGTTACATCTACACCCACATATGCTATCTCTACAAATGTTACATTTACACCCACATGTGCTATCTCTACAAATGTTACATCTACACCAACATGTGCTGTCTCTACAAATGTTACATCTACACCCACATGTGCTATCTCTACAAATGTTGCATCTACACCCACATGTGCTATCTCTACAAATGTTACATCTACACCCACATGTGCTATCTCTACAAATGTTACATCTACACCAACATGTGCTGTTTCTACAAATGTTGCCATCTACACCCACATGTGATCTCTACAAATGTTACATCTTCACCCACATGTGCTATATCTACATCTATATATTACATCTACACCCACATGTGCTATCTCTACAAATGTTGTTACATCTACACCTACATGTGCTATCTCTACCAATGTGACATCTACACCCACATGTGCTATCTCTACTAATGTTACATCTACACCCACATGTGCTATCTCTACAAATGTTACATCTACACCACATGTGCTATCTCTACAAATGTTACATCTACACTCACATGTGCTATCTCTACAAATGTTGCATCTACACCCACATGTGCTATCTCTACAAATGTTACATCTACACTCACATGTGCTATCTCTACAAATGTCGCAGTCTACACCCACTTGTGCTATCTCTACAAATGTTGCAGTCTACAGCCAACCAAACTCTGTCTCTTATTTCTCTTATCTCTGGCCATTATTTCTGTCATTTGACAATCCTGTATGCTATTTCTGTCATTTGTCTAATCTTGTCTGTTATTTCTTTCATCTGTCTAACCCTGTCTGTCTGGCTAACCTTAACCTTATGTCTTTGACATTTATATTTTACCTGGTGATCATATATTTAATTGAATCCTTGATCAAGAAGTCGCAGCAAAGATCGTCAGAGTCATCGAGTTAGACGGCGATCCGACAGTCATTCAAGGTCTGGAAGCAGTAGCCACAGCAGTGACAGCAGCAGCCGGTCTTCATCTTCATCTAGTGATTGAACTGTCTAAGGTATATTTGACATTGCTGTACAGAAATGGTTTATTGGAGATGTTTTTTTTCTAGTTGCCCACAAAGGAGTGTTTGGAACAGCCTGCAGGCTGTTGGTTGCTAGAACTTGGCAGCAGCAGTAGGCAGCGATAGTCACAGAGAGCATGCTCCTGGAGTTTGTTGCCACAAAACAAGATGCCTGTCTGCGGCTGTTAGGCTGACCACAGCTGGTACAGAAGACTTGCCACTGTTTGAATATTTGTCCTTGTGGGCAAAGAAAACTTTATTGTTGTTGATTTCTGATTATTAAATGAGGATCTTTTTAATTGCCTTGGTGTGATGTCTCCTGGCTATGGTAGAAGGTAGAAATGGCAGATCAAGATGGCAAATGACTGTCATGTTACAGTTGACCATGCCCTGAAACAGCTGACTGAAAGACACCATGCCCTGAAACAGCTAACTGAAAGACACCATGCCCTGAAACAGCTAACTGAAAGACACCATGCCCTGAAACAGCTAACTGAAAGACACCATGCCCTGAAACAGCTAACTGAAAGACACCATGCCCTGAAACAGTTAACTGAAAGACACCATGCCCTGTAACAGCTAACTGAAAGACACCATGCCCTGAAACAGCTAACTGAAAGACCTTGCCCTGAAACAGCTAACTGAAAGACCTTGCCCTGAAACAGCAAACTGAAAGACCTTTCCCTGAAACAGCAAACTGAAAGACCTTGCCCTGAAACAGCTAACTGAAAGACCTTGCCTTGAACAGCTGACAAAGCATACCCTGAAACAACTGACTGACCATGTCCTGAAACAGCTGACAGAGCATGTCTTTAAACAGCTGACAGAGCATGTCCTGTGACAGCACCTACCCTGAAACAGCTGACAGAGCATGTCCTGTAACAGCTGACAAAGCATGTCCTGTAACAGCTGACAGAGCATGTCCTGTAACAGCTGACAGAGCATGTCCTGTAACAGCTGACAGAGCATGTCCTGTAACAGCTGACAGAGCATGTCCTGTAACAGCTGACAGAGCATGTCCTGTAACAGCTGACAAAGCATGCTGACCATGTCCTAAACAGCTGACAGAGAGCAGAGCATGTCCTGTAACAGCTGACAGAGCATGTCCTGTAAAACAGAGCATGCTGTAACAGACAGAGCATGTCCTGTGACAGACAGCTAACAGACGCATGCCCTGAAACAGCTGACAGAGCGCCTGTAACAGCTGACCTGTTCTAACAGCTGACAGAGCATGTCCTGTAACAGCTGACAGAGCATGTCCTGTAACAGCTGACAGAGCATGTCCTGTAACAGCTGACAGAGCATGTCCTGTAACAGCTGACAGAGCATGTCCTGTAACAGCTGACAGAGCATGTCCTATAACAGCTGACAGACATGCCCTGAAACAGCTGACAGAGCATGCCCTGTAACAGCTGACAAAGCATGTCCTGTAACAGCTGACAGAGCATGTCCTATAACAGCTGACAGACATGCCCTGAAACAGCTGACAGAGCATGCCCTGTAACAGCTGACAGAGCATGTCCTATAACAGCTGACAGACATGCCCTGAAACTTAGAAAGTGATTTCATGTGGGTCAGGCTAAGAAATGGGACACCATGGAGTTTCTGTTGGGGGGAATTGTTTCACAGTAGTCCCTGCCACACTTGGCTGATAAATGATCATGTGTGCTGTTTTCATGCATTGTATTAAACAACAGGAAATGGAACATTGTGATTTTATCCCTGTTGTTGGTTGTCAATTACTTTTATTGAATGTGATTGTTTTATATTAAATATGGAATATTATTGATTGTGTTTCTTTGAATCTGTAAGCATTTTGGTGTGTTGTATGAGATCTGCAAGCAGGATTGTCTGGATGTGTGTTCTTATTCATAAGCATGATTGTCTGGGTGTGTGTTCTATCTAATTCATAAGCATGATTGTCTGGGTGTGTGTTCTATCTAATTCATAAGCATGATTGTCTGGGTGTGTGTTGCATCAAATCTATAAGCATATGACTGTGTGGGTGGGTATTTAATCAATTCTGAAGGCATATTGATTGTCAAGGTGTATCCATTGATTGTCCAGATGTGTGTGGTGTATAAATGATTGTCCAGATGCATGTGGTGTATCTGTAATTGTCCAGATGTGTGTGGTGTATCAATGATTGTCCAGATGTATGTGGTATATCAATGATTATCCAGATGTGTGTGGTGTATCAGTGATTGACCAGATGTATGTGATGTATCAGTAAGTGATTGTCCAGATGTGTGGGGTGTATCCATGATTGTCCAGATGTGTGGGGTGTATCCATGATTGTCCAGATGTGTGGGGTGTATCCATGATTGTCCAGATGTGTGTGGTGTATCCATGACTGTCCAGATGTGTGTGGTGTATCTGTAATTGTCCAGATGTGTGTGGTGTATCTGTAACTGTCCAGATGTGTGTGGTGTATCTGTAACTGTCCAGATGTGTGGGGTGTATCCATGATTGTCCAGATGTGTGTGGTGTATCCATGATTGTCCAGATGTGTGTGGTGTATCCATGATTGTCCAGATGTGTGTGGTATATCCATGATTGTCCAGATGTGTGTGGTATATCCATGATTGTCCAGATGTGTGGGGTGTAACTGTCCAGACGTGTGTGGTGTATCTGTAACTGTCCAGATGTTTGTGGTGTATCAATGTTTGCTGTCCATCTTATTCTGCCTGTAAGCTGACATGGAGACTAAGACATCATGAAAACAGCTGGCTCACAGGGGCAGCAAGTTCTCGGGAAGTCATGAAACAGCTGGCTCACAGGGGCAGCAAGTTCTCGGGAAGTCATGAAACAGCTGGCTCACAGGGGCAGCAAGTTCTCGGAAGTCATCAGCTGGACAGGGGCAGCAAGTTCTCGGGAAGTCATGAAACAGTGGCTCACAGGGGCAGCAAGTTCTCTGGAAGTCACGAAACAGCTGGCTCACAGGGGCAGCAAGTTCTCGGGAAGTCATGAAACAGCTGGCTCACAGGGGCAGCAAGTTCTCGGGAAGTCATGAAACAGCTGGCTCACAGGGGCAGCAAGTTCTCGGGAAGTCATGAAACAGCTGGCTCACAGGGGCAGCAAGTTCTCGGGAAGTCATGAAACAGCTGGCTCACAGGGGCAGCAAGTTCTCGGGTAGTCATGAAACAGCTGGCTCACAGGGGCAGCAAGTTCTCGGGAAGTCATGAAACAGCTGGCTCACAGGGGCAGCAAGTTCTCGGGAAGTCATGAAACAGCTGGCTCACAGGGGCAGCAAGTTCTCGGGAAGTCATGAAACAGCTGGCTCACAGGGGCAGCAAGTTCTCGGGAAGTCATGAAACAGCTGGCTCACAGGGGCAGCAAGTTCTCGAGAAGTCACGAAACAGCTGGCTCACAGGGGCAGCAAGTTCTCGGGAAGTCATGAAAACAGCTGGCTCACAGGGGCAGCAAGTTCTCGGGAAGCTATCAAATACTAGATAGCCGATGAATAAATAGCAATGCAAAATCAAGTAGTTATTTATTATTGGACCCTAAAAACAACAAACTAGAAAAGATCAGATTTATTATTGGACCCTAAAAACAACAAACTAGAAAAGATCAGATTTATTATTGGACCCTAAAAACAACAAACTAGAAAAGATCAGATTTATTATTGGACCCTAAAAACAACAAACTAGAAAAGATCAGATTTATTATTGGACCCTAAAAACAACAAACTAGAAAAGATCAGATTTATTATTGGACCCTAAAAACAACAAACTAGAAAAGATAAGATTAATTTTTTTTTTAAAAAAAGTAAAGGTCCATTTTCCAGGCCTTTAGGCATATAATGCTAAACCTATATTTTTATAGACTATCGGTACAAGATAGGTGATGTATCAGCATCACGCCGGCCGCCTCTACTTCCCGGGCCTGCACCCGTTATTCAAGGCTTGGTCGACCTGGGAGCCAAGGTCATTTTTGAAAAAAGTCCGGCTCCAGCAGGGAGCGAACCCACGACCTTCCGATCTGCGGTGCGTGGTTTAGCCGCTCCGCCATGGGGACTCCCAGTCTCTTTCAGCCGTTAGGTTATATTTAGGGCAGCCTGCAAGAGCCAGGGTAGGCCTTCAAAATGATTAAAAATACAGGGGGGGGGGGGGAGAAAGAAACTACTGTGTCAAGCAGCAACTGGACTTGTACTTTTTTTTGTTTTATTTTTAGAACAGTACAAAGGCCTTGGGCACGACAATATGAACAGTGCATGGCTTTCCTGCCGTGTCCCGACGCTCGTGTGTCAAATAGGACTTTTGACAGTTGGAGATTAGAGCCAATCAGCTGGCTGACCATAGCAAATTGTCGTGGTGTTCATTAACATGACGGTCCAAATTTTTTTTTCTTAAAAGAAATCGGTCACGAAGACGCTGTGGGCTGATACGCAGCGAGACATCAGCCGCAAGTGTTACTCACCTAAGCTACGAACAAATCTCTTGGTGTAGTCTTTGCTTTTGTCGTCTCACTGTTACCAGGCTGTAACCCAGTGTCATAGTTTTCTATATTTTTCTTGTGCTTCTCTGGGGTTTGGCTGATGGATTTGTCCCAATTTTTTGCAGCTTTTGTCTACACCATTTATCCATCTCTTTCTTTTGTCTTCCTCCCAGATGGTCTACTATAAAAAGTCCCATATGCCGTCTGGTCTGGCTGCATTCTCACTAGATGGCCAAACCATTACTCTTTGTCTGTCAATAAAATCCAGACATGGTCTCATTCTAATGCCATAATCTTTTAGAATCTTCCATTGTTTGCATCTGTTGTCTGGATCAAATGCCTTCTCTTGATCTATAAATATAAGATGTTGACTTCTTTTATATTCTGCTCTCATATCTGACCTAAAAAAAATTTTTGCACCTGTACAGCTCCTCTTTAATAGTGAGTGATTTCGGCACTCCTTGCAGATCCGGACGAGGGTTGGATGCGGACTGGACGACTTAGTTCAGGTTAGTGGGAGTTCTCTCCCTTGGTCGCACTCGAAACTGAGCGAAAAAGTCACGAAACAAATGACATACCTATCATCATACGGTTGCGTAGTCATCATACGGTTGCGTGTAGGGCTCTCGTCAAAAGAATATCACACTGATGCTTGACTTAAGTTGTTCCATCTATACCATGTTAATATCTGACTTCTTCAATGTTGATAAAAGGTGTGACTGATAATCATTGCACATAGATTCAGCAGTTAATTCTCCACTAGAATTACATTCAGTTGTATCGAAGGGTCCCAGATATCTGCCATAGCGTTCTGCGCTCCTCAACTTTTCCATTCAAATCTCTCAGTAAGTACAAGCTGTCAGGATCTTTAATTAACTTTACTGATAGTTTTACTTAATTTGTCGAAGAATTACATTCTTAAAGCTTGTGTCATTAAATGGGGCATATACTTGGATGTATGTTAACTGTCTAGTATTTGCCTGATGCTTTTAATTAATTCTCTTTAGTACGAAATCTGTTTCTAGATTTCCGAAGCAGTAAGGAAACCCACTATAATAAAATAAGGTTAGGCGAGTTGAATAGAGTACGTATATCTAAACGAAGCCGTGACATCTGACGGATGAATACGCATGATAGCAAGCAAGCCAGAAAACTAGAACGTTGGTCAGAAAAGACCACGCGACGATGCAATAAGACAGATTGGCAAAAGACAACGAGAAAGTACACGGGTGTCAAGAAGATAGGACGGACGAGAGGATCAAGGAATGCAAAAGATCACGTACAGACGATCGCAAACGACCACCTGGAATTTTAACAGTTTAGTCTTTTTGCCAAACATCCCGCTGATGTTCAAGTAGCCATCCTAAACTTCTCGTCTATCCTCAAACTAACAGTCGGCAAAGATGGCGGCCGCAAAAATACCCTTTCTAGTCACAGTCGCGCGACTTAATTTGTTGTTCTCCGGCGACTATCGCGACCGCCACACGAGCAAGGGCTGAACTAGATGGCTAGGACCCACGAGACTGCGACTCTAAAGGATATTTTGCGGCCTCCACCTTTTAGTCGGAGGATAGCCTTTATCTTTTTACCCTTTAACGTTGCCGATCCGATAAACGCCCTATAATGTTTCTCGGTTGTTGTCCTGTTAGAGGCCTTATTTTTATAGACCAATCGGCACAAGATGGGTGATGCGCAGCATTACTCAACCGTCTTTACTTCCCGGGACTGCACCCAGTACCCACTTAAGGCTGGGTGGATCCGGAAGCCTAGGACATTCGCGATCTTCCGATCCGCCACGGTGACTTTACTGATGGTTTCACTTAATTTGTCAAAGAATTCTAGTTTTTTTTTTTTCCAAGTCTGTATTTTTACATGAAGCGTATAATGGATGCATGTTGACCTTTTCTTACTAAGTACTAGCCTGATGCTCATAATTCTGAGTCTGTTTCTAGTATAAATTTAGCTATTTCTGGAGCAGTGATGAAACCCACCTTCTCTTTATACCTTGCCCTTTTATATTCAATATACCATTTAAATTTTTACCGTAAACTACCATTCCATTGATGTTTCAAGCAGCCATCCTTAACGTTCTATCTCCTACTATCTCCTATGTCCGCAAGAGATTCTCGTGCTTGGCTGTGCCCATTTTTCTCCCAATTCTCATATTCTTTGTAGTGATGTGGACAAGCTTTCAAAATCATCGGCGAAACCTGTCTCTTTAAAGCACTGACAATGAGTGATCCATGGGACGGCTATCTTCACATAATTAAAGCTATTTTTATTACCAACAATACCTGCATTCCTTGGGACAAAGTTGAAGCGAACTGCCCACACAGGAGATTTTGCAATCGACTGTAACCAGCCTGCCTCGACCCGCCTGATCATGCTCAAGGAATCACGGTCCTGTAATTCTAGCCATGTGAAAGCTTCTGTCACCGCTGACTTCTTTTGCCTAAAGAGCGAGCTGTGAATGCACACATGTACTGTTCTGTCCTCATTGTCAAAATCAGCACATCTTTCTTGCCACTGATAAGCGAACATACCTCGGCGAAGACAGCAGTGTAATTCTGCTCCCGATAGCTATCAAGCGTTGACACCAAGAGAAAGGCTTTAGACGCTGGTATCCATTCCTTCAGGAATTTCTTCTGTATTGCATAACATGGTCAATATATTCTTAAATGACACTGCGGATCAATGCTCACTCCGAGGTGTCATTCAATTTGTTCTCTAAATTTCCTCGCTTTCTTTAATGCTCTATGTAATGATACATAGACAACTGCAGGGTCATTTACCAGAGCATTTTCAAATCAACCACAAAGCAACATTCACTAGGAGAAAGCAGTTTATTGGTCCTATAGTAAACTTGTTAACTAACATCAAACTAATCTGCTCTCCACAAAAAACTACAAAAACTGACAACACAGACACCAAGTAAACCAGGCGCTAGCCATCCAAGATTTAATCGACCTCCTCAATGGTTGGCCCACTGCTTCCAGAACCAGCTGCCCCGGCTCCTGCACCACCAGCATTAAAGTTGGGCATACCAGCACCGGCTCCAGCCCCGCCCTGGTACAACTTGGAGATGATGGGGTTGCAGACACCTTCAATCTCTTTCTGTTTGTGCTCAAACTCCTCTTGTTCACCCAATTGGTTGGCATCCAGCCAGGCGATCACCTGTAAAACAATGTCTCATTATGTCAACAATTCAATACTAAGCAGTAATACCAAAATATCCTGTCCGCTACATCCTTAGATGATGTAACTATCGTGTGTCAGCTGTCTTAAATGATTAACCTGTGTTATCAAACATGTTGGCATGGTGAAGACAAATTGTGGATAATTATGAAATATTTTGTGAAGACTACTACTATTTTAAGTTCACATGCAGACTCGGTGGAAAGTTCAGATTGTTCATCCACCTCTGGACTTTCTGACACTTGTATGCATATTGTTGATTTGTCTCTTGGGTAGTGTCAAGTGCTTGGGGCTTCTTAGCAAAGTTAATGGTCGACGTTTGGTGCAGCAGAGCCTAGCATATGATACAACATCCAGCTTTAAAATGGAGGTAGTGGCGGTCACTTCAGCTTTTCGTTGGCTAGAGAACAGAACACACACACATCGTGATTGTAACCGACTCAGCATGCTGAGGAAGATCAGAACAGGTATGCTTTGTACAGAGTGACATGCTTTGTTGAGGATATGGGTGAGGAGTATTGTCTGGATTTTTATTACCGGAAAACGCTGGTGTGTTGGGAAATAAACAGGCGGACTGACTGGCTGGGTCTGCACAACTTAGTGGAATACTGATACATAAGACAGACTACAAACTGGGGTAAGTTTCGCTTAATAATCATCTAGGCCAGTCAAGGAGGCACTTACTAGTAACAAAGATACATTCTTCCATTAGGTCGGGTTTTTTCAATGGCCTGAAGGAATTGGGATATCCTAGAATAGATTAAATGCATATACACACACAATCACAATTGATACGTTTCACGTTTCAATAAAGTACTGTAATCCTATCCTGCTGATCTTGTTCTGTGAATGACCACTACAAAATTGAAATGGATGCCACATGTAACCTGATGACCACAAATATACACAACAGAAACTGACCTCAGAGCATTTGTCGCTGATGGTTTTTCTGTCGTCAGCATTTAGTTTGTCCTTGAGTTTTTCATCTTCAATGGTGGATTTCATGTGGAAACAGTAGCTCTCCAGTGCATTCTTGGCAGAGATGCGAGCTTTTTGTTTCTCATCCTCATTTTTGTACTTCTCTGCATCGTTGACCATTCTCTCAATATCTTCTTTCGACAAACGACCTGTTGAAAAAAAATAATTTAACAGCTATAGTTTCCCCAGCAAAATGTGGCAGCACTCGCCGGACAAACACCACAAGATGACAGCGAGATATATTCATAAACACTAGACTATCCATGGGCAATGATTCCTACACTACATTGTCTATGTATGTAAAGTAAGACAATAAGAGATAAACCCACACTACACTGTGTTGTGTGAGACAATGGCAGATAAACCCACACTACACTGTGTTGTGTGAGACAATGGCAGATAAACCCACACTACACTGTGTTGTGTGAGACAATGGCAGATAAACCCACACTACACTGTGTTGTGTGAGACAATGGCAGATAAACCCACACTACACTGTGTTGTGTGAGACAATGGCAGATAAACCCACACTACACTGTGTTGTGTGAGACAATGGCAGATAAACCCACACTACACTGTGTTGTGTGAGACAATGACAAGGAGAGACAGAATTTCACTACAATGTTTATGTATGGGGGTGAGATACAAGGACAGAACCCAATACTACATTGCCTATGTGTGAGTGAGACAATGGCAGATACACCCACATCTTTGCTTTTGCCGTTTCCACATCCAAACGGTTGTGTGGTGGTATTCAATGTAGTCGATAGACGGTTTACAGGAGCTGATAAAATAATTCTACTTGTGTATAACTAGCTTACTGTGCTCTACTATGTGCTCTACTACTTCTATCAACGACAGACTACATTTCTGGTGGCAACTGTTAACTTGGCACAACTAGCAACTGAAATCAGCTTTTACTGTGTGCGCATATTTCTGTCCATTTAAAGTGAGACAAACACACACACACTACATTATCCATGTGTAGACGAGACAATGGAAAAACGCCCACACTTTATTGTCCATGTTTAGTTAAAACAAAGACAAACACTCCGCTACTGTCCATGCGTGGGTAAGATAATGACAAACAGACGCACCAACACCACACTGTCCACATGAAGACAAACTTACCCTTGTCGTTGGTGATGGTGATCTTATTCTCTTTGCCTGTGCTCTTGTCTGCAGCCGAGACATTCAGGATACCATTAGCATCAATGTCGAATGTCACCTCAATCTGAGGAACACCACGAGGAGCTGGGGGAATTCCTGTCAACTCAAATTTACCAAGTAGGTTGTTGTCTTTGGTCATGGCACGCTCACCTTCGTAAACCTGAAACATCAATGCAATTAACACATTTAAACATGTCAGCGCTGTAACATCAGGAGTCAGAATAGCTCTTATGAGTGTCTAGGTATGATCTAACAGATCTACAAGATGCGATGGAATCAGTACTGGCTGCACCCAAGTATGATGAGTGACAGATGGAAGATACTTCCTAACAATACCAGACATAGATAAGAGAGATAACCAACATTCTCTCACTCCAGGTGATAAACAACAGCAAACAGAAGCCATGTCAAGCAAATCAACAATGGTCACATTCTCAAGAGAGACAACAGTTACAGGAAGCCAGTACAAACCTGAATGAGTACACCAGGTTGGTTGTCAGAGTAAGTGGTGAAGGTCTGAGTCTGTTTGGTGGGGATAGTGGTGTTTCTTTTGATCAGCGCAGTCATGACACCTCCAGCAGTTTCAATGCCCAGGGACAGCGGGGTGACATCCAGCAGCAGCAGGTCCTGTACCTCCTCAGACTTGTCACCATGGAGAATTGCAGCCTGCACAGCTGCACAACAAACAATCTTTTAGGCCAGCAGACTATAACTTATGCATCACATTTACAGCCCCTCCCGACAAATAAACCCTCACATCCCAACAACGAATAGCCCTTCTATTTTTACCAATGAGATCACAATGAGGTGTTTTGTACTGATGATTTACTGCACCATAGGCTACTGCTTCATCTGGGTTTATGAATGCATGAGATCAGATATACTTTCAACAATGAGCTGGTGCAACTATGAGATCAGATACACTTACAACAATGGGCTGGTGAAACTATGAGATCAGATACACTTACAACAATGGGCTGGTGAAACTATGGGATCAGATACATTTAATTTGGCTGTTGAAACTATGGGATCAGATACATTTAATTTGGCTGGTGAAACTATAAGATCATATATTTTATGACGATGCGCTGGTGAAACTATAAGATCATATATTTTATGACGATGCGCTGGTGAAACTATGGGATCGGATACATTACGATTGGCTGTTGAAACTGGGATCAGATACATTATGATTGGCTGGTGAAACTATAAGATCATATATTTTACCACGATGCTCTGGTGAAACTATGGGATCAGATACATTATGATTGGCTGGTGAAACTATGGGATCAGATACATTTAATTTGGCTGGTGAAACTATAAGATCATATATTTTACCACGATGCTCTGGTGAAACTATGGGATCAGATACATTATGATTGGCTGGTGAAACTATGGGATCAGATACATTTAATTTGGCTGGTGAAACTATAAGATCATATATTTTACCACGATGCGCTGGTGAAACTATGGGATCAGATACATTACAATGATCAAATATGTTACAATGATGAGCTGGTGTCACATAAACTAGTATGTCTGAATTACCTGCACCATAAGCGACAGCTTCGTCAGGATTGATGCTCTTGTTGAGTTCTTTGCCATTGAAAAAGTCCTGCAGCAATTTCTGGACCTTGGGAATACGGGTGGATCCTCCCACCAAAACAATCTCATTAATCTGAGCTTTGTCCAGCTTGGCATCACGCAAAGCCTTCTCGACTGGATCCATAGTGCTGCGGAACAGATCTGCACACAGCTCCTCAAAACGAGCTCTGGTGATACTGGTATAGAAGTCGATACCTTCACATAGGGAGTCAATCTCAATGCTGGCCTGAAAGAGAATTAACAATGCCATGACAGCTGACATATAAACATGGCCTGCAGAGAGTTTGATGTGATGATGACATGATTTCTAGCATCAGCAATGTATCAATGGCAAGCACACACGATATCTCATAATTCACTGACGTCTAAAAAATCAAAATAAAATCAAATAATTGTCTCTGAAAGAAAATATACCTAACACTAAATGTATCTAAGAGAATGAGAAAAGAACAAACAAAATAGCATGTCTTTAGATAACAGCCAAGAATTAGCAACAACTGGCAGCCTTGATGTCAAGACCAGACATAAGTACCTGCATAGCATCACATATACCATGAAAGAACATATAAACATGGATAAAAGCATGTTTAGGGCACCTACCTGGGTGGAGGAAGACAGAGTTCTCTTGGCCCTCTCGCAAGCAGTTCTCAGTCGTCTCAGTGCTCGCTTGTTGTCACTGATGTCCTTCTTGTGCTTGCGCTTAAACTCATTAGTGAAGTGGTTGACCATGCGGTTGTCAAAATCCTCACCTCCCAAGTGAGTGTCGCCAGCCGTTGATTTGACTTCAAAGATTCCATCCTCAATGGTCAGAATGGAGACATCAAAAGTACCGCCACCAAGATCAAATATGAGGACATTGCGTTCACCACCGGTCTGCAGGACAAGATGTTTATATATGAGCAAACAAACAACAATATCTGTCAGTGCATTAAGATGTGCCACTATGGAAGGTAATGTTTATCAATGTTCAATGTGCTGCTTGTAAATCATTTGTCCACAGCAGCTCTTCTATCTGTTCAAATGCAGTGTTTAATACTGAAGTAGACAACAAATGTGGTAAATCACAGTCATAAACCAGCCAGTAAACAAACTAGAAATGCGGCGAAGTGTATCGCAGTACAAACCACTTATGTGAGGAAATGAGGTAAGGATCAGATTAAACAGTTGCAATGTTTCAGAAATAAAAAAGGCACTGGTGAGATCAGATGTAAAAACTGACCTTGTCTAAACCTAAGTGATGACAGCAGTAGGGATCAACACAGGATGGACCGTTACAGATGTGGAAAAACTAAGTGAGGGCTGGATTAAACACAAGCATGTTTCATACATATATGAAAGCTTTAAAAAAAATATATATTAGAAATAGAGACTGACCTTCTTGTCTAAACCATAAGCAATGGCAGCAGCTGTGGGCTCATTGATGATTCGCAGAACATTGAGACCAGCAATAGTTCCAGCATCCTTAGTGGCTTGACGCTGAGAGTCATTGAAGTAGGCAGGCACCGTCACCACAGCATCAGTTACAGTCTGCAAAATGTCAGTTCACAATACTAAGAGCTGCCAACATGTATGCATCATAACACATAGTCCAGTCATTGCCAGGCTATGCTGGTGATAAAGATTATATTCTTTAACATAAATTCAACTGTTCTGCTAACTTAACAGAACTAATTCCAATCCAGATGTAAAATTCGAGAGCAATGTGTGTGTGTCAGTGGCGCCTGGTGGCTTGAAATAAAACATCCAGACTGACATGCACTAAGCACAATTAGCTTGTATCAACAGAGCTGAAACATTCTGCTAGCAGGCTTGGCTTAGTGTTGCACATCAAACGTTTGTCTTGTGCATTTTCTGTGTGCGCGTGCATGCTAGCTTTAAGTTTCTGTTAACTAGTTTTTAACCCTTTTGGGAATTTCTTTCCTGTTTTCCCTTACGCTGCTACGCCCATCTCTGGACATTTGTTTCTTGACCCTTAGTGCTATGGAAGTAATAACCCGTTTTTTTTTTAGACTTTCCCAACAGATTTCTGTGATATCTTGTCTCAGGGGCTAAAGCTATATCTAGATTCAACTGACCTATTTACATACGATTAAAAGCACGGACACATGCATTTTAATGGGTTAACTGCATTCCGTCTTATCCCGTCGCTTTGTATACAATGACAGCATGGTCGGTGATCTGTTTTTTTTTAGTCTGCTAACAAAAAATTAGAGACAAATTTTTACTTTACTGTTGAGAATGTTAAATTTCTCAGACAACAGTGCTAATGCAGGCATTGATAGACTTCCAAAAGTAGACATTATTAATAGTCTTGTCTGCGCACACATCGTTTCAGGGTGCATTTTCACTTTATCGGAATGTGGTTATCGATAAA